GGTTCTGGAAATGACTTCAGCATGGATTTGTTCCTTCCTGAGCACAAAACCGCGATTCTCCAGTAGAATTACAGCTAAAACAATCTTAAAATTTACCAGAGCTTCAGTTGACCCTCCTTTAATGGGCCTGTTGCATGCTAGAGATACAGCCGCGCGAATAGACTTTTTAGAGGTTAAATGACACGAAAATTACGATGGTCACATTAAAAAAGTCTGAAATACACTCCTTTCTGCGCAATTTGCGTTGTTAGGAACGCGCTTTTTCAAATTTCCCGCGTCTGGGGGCAGTTTTCTAATCACCGGAAACGAGCAAACGGCGGGCTCGGTGATTTCCGGAAGATGCCGAGTCGTCGTTGTTGTTGTTGTTGTTGTTGTTGTTATTTTTTCCTTCAGTTTGTTTACAAACCCAACGTGATCTCTTATAATGGTCCATATACGCTTTATGCGGTAGGTAACCAAATCGACCAACTTTTAAATATCCAACGCAATCCTTCTACATTTCATTTCTCGATATCACGAGCTCCGATTTGTAGGTTATGGTGTCAGTTTTAGTGGACCGGAGATAGCCGCGAGTTGCCGTTAATTGTTTCCGTTAGAAAACTGCCCCCAGACGCGGGAAATTTGAAAAAGCGCGCTCCTAACAACGCAAATTGCGCAGTAAAGAGTGTATTTCAAACTTTTTTAACGTGAACATCGTAATTTTCGTGTCATTTTACCACTAAAAAGTCTATTCGCACGGCTGTATCTCTTGCATGCAACAGGCCCATTTTTGGTTGGCGCTACTCTCCCCCATCCTTCTTCATTTTCCTCGTCACCTGCTAAGTGTCCTCCCTTCTTTCACTCTCCCTCATTTCTCTCCTTCTTCTCTGTGTCTTTCTTCACCTTTATATTTCTTTCTTTTTCCTCTCTCCCCTCTCCTTCTTCTCCTCTTCCTTCTTCTCGTGCTTTTCTCGCTCTTCTCTTTTTCCTCTCCTTCTTCGATGACCGCATCTGCGAGGGAGCCGAAGCTGACAATCAGTTGATCCCGGAGAGGTGGACATGGGAATGAGGCAAGTGGCCACGTTTCTTAGGCATTTAAATTCGATTCCGGCGGGAGAAAACATAAATTAGCGACGACCGGAGCCGAGAGTGGAGCCACGAAAGGAGCGCGACGCGCGCCATGTGCTAATAAAACCCGCCCGGCCGCACAGTGGATCTAGTCAATCGGGAAGGTCGGACATGAAATTTTTAACTAAAACTGAAAATTTTGATGTTTAATTCGTCACATTTTAAATTTAAAGGAGTGCTACTGAACGAGAATTACACGAGGAAACCAATGGAACCACTTTTAAAACCTCAAAGTTTTGTATGAACGCACTGAAAAAAAATCTCGGTGTATTTACTGAGAAAGGGGTAAAATTACCAAGAATTCAGGGTTCTATTTGATCCCAGTTTTTTCTTGGTAAAATTACCATTTATGGAATTGGTAATTTTACCGGAAATCTCGGTAAAATTATTGAACTTTTTTGGTAATTTTACTGGACCTTGGTAAAAATGCCAATATTTTTTTTCGACTGTGGTAGAATTACCGAGATAAAATGGCAAAGTTACCGGGAATTGATTACCAATAAAAGTGGTATTCTCAACGGAAACAAATAGTAAAAATACCGGTTTTTAGGTAAGTTTACGAGTCTGTCTTGGAAAAATTACCAATAATTGGTAAAACAAGTGAGATGGTAAAGGTATCTACGGACCTTGGTAAAAACGCCGAGAATTTTTTTTCAGTGCAGAGTTATAAGCTTTTAAAGTTTCCAACTTTTGTCCGACCTTTCCCATTGACTCGAACCACTGTGGACCGCGGCCGTTTTTAAGAGCGGAGCCCAAGCGAGGAGAGCTCCTGCCTCTGTCCAGACCATTTGACCTCTCACCCTCGATTATTCAACCCAATTCGCCTCAATTAGATACCTTTACTCAATTTCAGCCGAGGAATTTCGATCCGTTTCACCCGAGTTGCTCAATTGAGACATGAGACCTGCTGGGGGGAATATCCCCGACAGCTCTCGCTCAATAATCGATCATCGACGCCGCTTTTCTCTCGAGGAGATCTCATCCTCTCCACTATCAGATGAGGCCTGAAACCAAAGGTCCAAGAATCCAGAAACCAAAAGGTTCATCCACGTTTTCTTCATCTCGAATCATTTCCTTATTCTTCTTGAGAGCTCAGTTTTTAACTCAATATCACTGGATGAAAATAGTTTCCACTTGACGGTTTTTTTATGAGAAAATTAAAAAATAAATTGAAATCTATTAGTTTTTTTTATTCCGTGTACAAAGCAAAACCTAAAAGAAGAAAACCGACAGGACCATATTTTGTAATTGGACGTATTTCTGTCAAACGGAACTAAGCGCCAATTTATGTTCCTTTTGAGGAATTTAGAATCCTGGATAGCGCGTTCTGTCAAACGGAACTAAACGCCAAAAGCATTGCGAGTATAGGACGGAACGAGCAGGACGCCCGTTTCCGCCGCCAATCCAAGCCCCCCCTCTACCTTCCTCTCCCTATGGCGCTTAGTTCCGTTTGATAGAAATACGTCCAATTGGGAATTACAATTTCTGAGTCAATGCAGAAACAACGTATACTATTGGTTTTCCTATACACACAAGTGTTTTTACGGGTGAGCCAGGGATTGTAGCTTTTAATTGCAAAATGAGGTTCAATCGAAAAGATACTAATAAGGCAAAACATATATTCAATATGAAAATTGTTCCGGCAATGGACTCACCAATGATAGTTATCATCCAAGCGATAGTGTAGGAACAAATACCGATCCAAACAACGCACATGAGAAAAGTAAGCGCGAAGAGGTTGTGGGTGCCGGGTTTGTGGCACGAAGGAACAGTGTAGTGGAGCAAGAATCGGATGGGCCATGTGAAGAGCCAACCGATGTTCTCGCAAAGCGAATAGTCACTTGGCCATTTATAGAGCCTACCTAATCCTGCGCAGAAAAAGAGGTAAGTGGTGAGAAAAATAAACACAAGAGAATGGCCACACAAGAAAAAACACAAGAAAAACCACAAGAAAATGGGCAATCAAGGGTAAGAATAAACAAGCAGAACATTTCCGGGTGAGTTCTACCCCATCTTTGACTAGGAAACGAAAATACAAATGTATTCAACGACAGCAAATATATTTGGGAGTGTCGTCGGTCTTAGCACCTGGGTACGGATCTCTGTCATAAAATTTATTTTATGCCTCTGTGATAGCTTCTCTCCTTTTTTTGTTATCACAAATGGAGGTCTATAATTGTAAGAGGTTCCTTGATTTTTGTGATCTGTTATGTTTTTTGTTTCCTGGTTGAGGAGGGGATTAAAACCACCCCGAAACGTCTCTTAGCCTTGGTTGCCCATTTTCCTCTATTTTTTTTTTTTGATGAATTATTCGGGCTATTTTTGTGCATTTTTCTTAAACACAAAAATGAATATGTAAACCCGCACGTGATGAAAGAGCAATAATAGATTTATATAGAGACTATGTAACTCATGCGTTATTCGGCATATCGATTGTCAATGTTACCAACCATAACAATAGAACTCAACCTCAGGTTCAAACTCCATGTTGAGTTTATCGTGTCGATTCATTATAATTTTGTTAATAATCAATTATAAATCAATTACCTTAATGACTCATTGAAAAGATATCACGGTTACAAGAAACATTTAGACAAATTTTGCCACGCACCATGAGTGTTTTTTCGAATAGATAACTATTCATGCTCCCTGATAGGTTTTGTTGCCTATGCGCCAAATTGAAGGCGAACTTCAGATTAAGTGTAATGTAAAAATGTCCCACACATTGTCTTACAGAGGCCTTTGAACTATTACGTAAGTCATTTTTGCGGAATTTTTTACACCCATTCACCCTCCTTGTAAGTTGTAAGTTGTAAGTTCCTTGATGTTGGTGTTCTGCATCGAACTACTAAAGAACGTTGGCGAAGGCCAAGTCAACCAAAAGATTCAGAATTGTTTAGGTAAAATGACATGAATAACATCACTTTTTAAAATGGAAGAATGCCACGATTAAAACAAATTAATAGAAGTTAAGTGAGCGTATTCATACCTTCATCTTCCTCCAAATCGAGGAAATCTTCCCCGTTGTTGAAGTTGTTTGTATATTTTGCTGAAAAAGAGGAAAATGTTGGCATAAGTTATTAAGAAACTGCTTGAAGAAAATCTAGTAGGTCAGGTATTCCTTGTTTACATACATATGTTACAGAACATCTTGCCCATAAGTTTGAAGAAAGAACATGAGTACAGACTTCGTCACTTATGGCCGGGTGATATCAGTCATTTTCCGTGACTGGGCACAAGAGAGATGGATTGGCAAAAAGGGGAATTATGTTTAACTATCTAGTGGTAGTAATCAACACAGAGCTAGAAAAAAATGATGGAGTGAAAAAATCTCAGATTTTTGGCCCTGAAGATAATTTAGAGGGGCAAAGACATGACAGATGAGTTCAGTTCAGATTGCAACCAATTGACCTAAAAAAATAACAATCTGACTTCAGAGTAAAATTTGCATGAATTCTTTCGTGAACTTTATTTTATTTTATTTACTTTTTTCTAGAAGGATGAAGAATTTTGTTTCTCTTTGCAAAAATCAGTTTTTTCTATTGAAATTTTGCCGGGAAAATTATCCCAAAAATTAAATTTAAAATTAAAATTTTATTTAAAATTAAAAATTATCCCATGTTCCCAACTTGCTGTACATACCAAAAATATCTCCGTATCTCTACTCTCCCACCCAAAAAACCTGAGCCTGAGAAATATTGGTACTTATTTTGATAATGCCTCGGTAAGTATATGCATTCAGTCATTAGGATAGGCTTTACCGCAAGCCTCGCATCAGTTTCTGGCTATGTGCAAAAAATTCGATACTTTTTTTGATCCATCTTGTATTTAAATCTTTGAATGCGTCGCCAACACGCCGAGTAGACACGTTTTCTCATTTCTCAAAATGTATCAGAAAAAGGTAATTATTCTTACCAGGACAGGGCATAAGCAGCCATGTTGTTTCTTCAGCATCACGACCTGCTAGTCGCCGGCAAAACGATTCGATGGCATAGCGGATCCTTTTATTGTAGTGCATCACTGAAATAGAGAGCATTGCTAAAATCAGAGATCGCAAACCTGCTCTGTTAGAAAGATTGGCCATGAAAGCACTCCAAAAGCTGTTGGTTAGTAAGAAGCATGAGAAAGAAGGGATATAACCTGAGAAAAATGTTTGACTCATATTTAGCACCAAGCTTTTCTCGTTCAGGTAATTGAGGTTGTCGGTCTTAGGGATTGAATTTTGATATAAGCAGAACCAAATTTCGGTTTTTCCTTACCGAAAATCTTGGTTATCTAAACTGAAAAATTTCGGTTTTCAACATGAACTTGTTTTCTCCACGAGAGTAAGAGGAAGAAATGAAAAATACAAGAAAATGCAACATGGTGAAAATTAACTGTTTGTTTTGAGAAGTTGAATTGGATCATTTCCGAAAAAAGGCCATTGTCAGAATTTTTTTTTAATTTTTCAAGAAAAGCTAGCAAACTGACGCAAAATTTTACTTCCTATTAGAAAAAAAGATTTTTGGAGCAAAACCAACTTCAAGAGTTTTTGGGTTAACCCACCTGCATTTGGGGGTAAATTTCCGTAAAAACATCATTTTTTTTTTGACACATATGACATGAACTCTTTTCAAAACTGACAGTATATCACGGTCACAATGCACTTGTTCGCAGTGATTCATTCCTATTTATTACTCAATTTTTATTTATTTATTTTTTTTTAAAAGAGGGAGTGAGGGGGAGGAAAGATAATGGGAGGGGGAGAGGGAGAGCGAGAGAAGAAGATGATGAAGGACGAGAACAACAAGAAAGAAAGAGAATGAAGATGAAGAAGATAAAGAGAAGGAAAATATGAAGATAAAAGAAAGAGGAAGAAAAAATTGGATTAGTGGTATCCCCGTAAAATGGTACGCTTACATGGGAAAAACTAGAAAAATATAGTTTTTCATCAAGCAGGAAGAGACTACACTGATGCCGTGTCAATTCTCCTTCGATTTTTAGCTCCCACGTGATCGAATAGTAGTAAAATTATGAAATGGCACGAGCACACTCGAGACACACTCAATAAAAAGCTTTTTATAGAAATGTAAGAGGTTGCTTTAACGGTATATTGGTTCGCCTTCAATTTTTAGCGTAGGCAAGACGAGCTCCCACGTGGTCGAATAGTGGTATCATCCTTAATATAGTAAACTCCAAAAAACCCAAAAACTTGGGTAAAGAGACTCCGGGCAAGTCACCATCCTCTTGCCAAAAACCTCCAAAAGCTCTTCTTCGTTCCCCTCTCCGGGGGAAAAAAAATATCACTTTACGACAGCTTCCTAACAAAATGTCCAGGAGGTTACAGACAGGCTGCTAGCCCCTCATCGGACCAAAACGCACACCGTAGGTACCATTTTTTCCTTGTATGTGCCTTCAAAGTACATGAAATGACTCCTTGAGGGGCGGGCAAGTTTTATTGAAATTCACGTTGTCTTCTGAAAATGAGCTAAAATTTTTTCCTTGAAGAAGAAGAAAATCGAGTTATCATTGTTTTCCATACACGGTAGGTATGCCTATAAGAGGCACGAGGAACGCCTTCCAAAATTATTGATGCAACCCGCACGACTCCGAAGTCAGCGGGAACTTTCTTGCAGCGTCTCCTAAGATTTTCCCCCACGCAATAATCCCCTTCAAAAATGAATGATGCAACAAGCGCGTCCTGTATGACCGCGAAAGCTCCTCAGATGAGTAGTCTTTTGATCTGGTCAGAAAAATATTCAAACTTTATTTTTCGTCTTCTCCTCTCATTTCCCGCATTGACAGAGGCGAAATTTTTTGGAAAGCATGACGCGCCCGGCAACAATGCTCTCACTGAGGATCAACCTGTAGGTCAACCTGTAGGCTGGACACTGCAATTTGCGTCTACATCTCGCAGTATTTTTGAAGTTTCAAATCCTCCAATAAATCTGAGAAATTACTTTTTGCATTTCTGCCAACTTGTAAATCCACTGAAGAATCTGAAACATTCAATTGAGCACATCTGCAGTCGCTCTTAGCATCGTTTATGATGGAATGAAAAAGATCGTCCTTCACTGGGCTAGGTGCGACTCGTTTTCATGTTCGTCCAAATTTTCATTTTGTCACACTGCTGAAAAAGATTTAGGAGCAGATGTTCGAACTCACTCAGAATGAGGCCAATTACCGAACTGATAGTACGGGATCAGAATAGAAAAAGTCAATCACTACGAGAAGGCTTCATGGACTTTCAAAGAAACAGTACCGACTTTGTTGTACAAGTATTCCTTAACGATCATTCATAGTGGAAGGCCACATTCTATTCGCACTTTTTTTACGCATTGTTGCCGGGCGCGTCATGCTTTCCAAAAAATTTCGCCTCTGTCAATGCGGGAAATGAGAGGAGAAGACGAAAAATAAAGTTTGAATATTTTTCTGACCAGATCAAAAGACTACTCATCTGAGGAGCTTTCGCGGTCATACAGGACGCGCTTGTTGCATCATTCATTTTTGAAGGGGATTATTGCGTGGGGGAAAATCTTAGGAGACGCTGCAAGAAAGTTCCCGCTGACTTCGGAGTCGTGCGGGTTGCATCAATAATTTTGGAAGGCGTTCCTCGTGCCTCTTATAGGCATACCTACCGTGTATGGAAAACAATGATAACTCGATTTTCTTCTTCTTCAAGGAAAAAATTTTAGCTCATTTTCAGAAGACAACGTGAATTTCAATAAAACTTGCCCGCCCCTCAAGGAGTCATTTCATGTACTTTGAAGGCACATACAAGGAAAAAATGGTACCTACGGTGTGCGTTTTGGTCCGATGAGGGGCTAGCAGCCTGTCTGTAACCTCCTGGACATTTTGTTAGGAAGCTGTCGTAAAGTGATATTTTTTTTCCCCCGGAGAGGGGAACGAAGAAGAGCTTTTGGAGGTTTTTGGCAAGAGGATGGTGACTTGCCCGGAGTCTCTTTACCCAAGTTTTTGGGTTTTTTGGAGTTTATATCATCTCATTTTTGCAAGAAAACTGTTATTTTACCAAATGAAGTCCCGCACTTGTGAAGGAATTGGATTACATTTTACAATAAGGAACCATTACCTCTGGCTCTCCCATAGAAGCACATATCTGCATAGGGAAACCAATAGCATGTATTCTGTTTCTAAAATGGACCAGAAATAGTGGCTCCTAATTGCAAAATGTAATCCATTTAATGCTTATAGCTATGAAGTGGATATCTCCTTGCTGTGTAGCAAAGTTTCTCGGATCCGTCTTATTTTTTTACACCCTTGACTGTCATTTTTAATTAATCAGTTCAAAGCTATTTCGACGATTAATCATTAATTGTTAGATCGAAGAAGAAATTTTCTTCGGAAAGCTATGGCTGAATTGACTTTACAACTGAACTTGTGAGAGCATCAACTGAGGCAAATTTTGCAGAAAGTTATACATGGTAAGTGATAATTATTTCAACGCTCTCTTAGTTTTAAAAAGAGATGAGTTTTAAAAATCAAAATCTACACAACTGTAGATATCCCTGAAAAGAAATACAATTGTAGAATCCCAAAAAAAGAAAAAGAAGAAAGAAAAGAAATACGAAGAAATTCAATGATAAATTGCAACAACGGTAGGTACTTATTTCAAATTAATTGCTCTAAAAATTGTTCCTTCAATGAGTAAATAGGCAACATTCTCAACACTACAATGCAATAGAAATAATTTTACCATGGAATTGAAATTCAAAGAAATGTGTGCAGCTGCTTGAGTAATAGAAGTTTGGAAATCAGGGCATTCAACAGCTTCCCAGACCTCATTAGTGTTACAATCTAAAAATTGTAAGGATTAAAAGTGTCAAGCTCTCAAAATTTTTGTTCTCTGATGATCAAGAAGCCCTGCTAAAAATGTTCAGTGTCATTTTTATTTTTGTTTGTGAAAGGAAATTATTTTAAGATTTTTTGGCATTCTTGGTGTCCTCTGAGACTCTGAAAATTTTTGTACTTTATTTTTCATCAAATAATGAACATTTTCATTGTAATTTTTGTCTTTATTTAGGAGAGTACATTATTCGATGATTATCTTCAGTATGTATTAGATCTTTCCCCCAGCGACAAGGTTTACTGAAATTTTATGAGATCTATATAGTTCTCATAGGTACTGACCTGCATCATGGTCATAGTATCATCTTTGAGGAGTAAATGAAAACAAATTATTTTCTCTTGGTTCCTCAATTCAGGGCTCTGATGAATAAACCCTGTTAGACAACAATGTTAGTGGGTAAAATTGCTCCCTCCAAAATCCTTTAAGCGGTATTAATTTAGTGGTAAAGTTATCAACGACCCTCATTGAATCTCATCTGGTTCACTGAATTTCTGAGGGATAGACAGGGTGACAGGTTCTGTAAAAGTTAGGAAATTAAGCCCTCCTCACTGTGAAAATATGTCAGGTAGTTTTGCTGCGGAGCATTGAAATTCCTTCTCCCAGTAAAAAAATTGGACTTTTCAGTTTAAAGAGACTAAACACTTAAAATTAAGTCAAGTAAAAACTTGAAATTTTTGTGAAAAGAATTTTTATCTGAGACACCTAATGTCAAAAGAGGACATTCCAAAATCAGGGAAAAGTTAGTGACCACTACGCTTAAAATCCCAGAAAAGAATTTTCTGCGCATCGAAGTCATTAATTACACGATTTTCAGAAATTATGTTGAATTATTTATCAGCAGAGAAATGAAAAGACTGAAAGTCTTTGAGGATGAACTTTGTGGATTGCGGTAAGTAGTTTCCCAGTTTGGCCATGGTATTGATATATTCGTTTCGTCATTAATCATTATCAATAAAAATATCCCTATCTACCGTAAATGTTGGAAAACCAGTGTGCATGTAATCTGGTAATCCTTAATTAATCAACTGTAGATTTCTTACCTGCTAAACTGCCTGATGAGTTGAAAAAAATGTTCACTTAGAGACAGATTCTTATGTCCTGGTTCATGCTTTCGTAAGTTGAGTTGCACTGTCAATTCCGTCGCATAGCTTTCAGCAGAAAATTTCTTCCTTGATATGACGTTTGATGATTCATCGTTGAGATAGCTTTGAACTGATTGATGATGAATGGAACTAAAAGTGCCATTAATCGATGAATCAGAGATCAAAGTAAGATGTGAAGCTATAAGAGCAGGGAACGTAACGGACAAAAGTGAACGTCTGTTCTACGTGTCTAAACTGAGACTTATCTGAGAAATTTAGCGACACCACACAGAGGTTTTTACTTCGTAATAAAGCTTAAAATTATTTATCACTGGAGGAGTTTCTTTAGTAAATTAGCATGCTTAAAGGTACATCCTGACGTGAGAGAAAAACAATGGTATTGGTACCTGAGCGTAAGTATGTATGTCCTTGAGTGTTAACGTAGAATAGAAAGACTCTTAATAAACATTAAACAAGGAAACAAAACTGGACGAAGGTACTGTAATACCTAATTTACTTTAAAACTGCTAAAAGAAGAACCAAAAGACAAACCTCACTTATCTTAAATGTATAAACACTTGGTATCGCTCAGAGCTCAGAAAAACCTTGAGCGAAATGGACTCATATCCGTAGAACTTGAGGAGTAAAAAGGCTGTAATGCCAGAAAAATGTGAGCTTCACGCTCTTAAATGGATTCAGGGTCTCATAATTTTAGTGAAGCGACTTTAAATCACTTGATTTGAACCAAAAATGAAGAGAGAACAATGAGAGAGTAGAATGGTGAGGTTTTGAGTTCTAAGATTGGATATTCAGAATTCACTTCACGATGAGGCGATAAACTTCTGCTCCAGGTTGTAAAATACGATGATAATGCTTGTCACAAACATTGTTGAAGTCGTAAATGGATTGAAATGATTGAAACCAAATGATTCCGTATTGTATCGATCGTTTTTGTTGCTCTGTGAAACAGGAACTAACCTAACATTCGTGGTTTGTTTTGTTGTTCCGCTGGTGAGATGCTGACTGCAGAGAGCACTAACATTGTCACTCTACCGTGTGTATGTGTTAGTAAATTCGGGTTTTACGATTTTTGGGACATAATCAAAGCTACAGCCTAAACGGTAAAAGTAAACCCCTACTCATATATAATTTTTAGAATCCTCATAACTTCAGGATGTTCCCTCGAAATAACCATAATTTCATTCCAGAATAGTGTAAGCGAGAAATTCAATGATAAACGTCAGCAGGTCGGGTCGCCCATTGCACCCGAAAAGCCGTTTAGACGCAATATTTTTCTTAGGATGCCTTGGTTATTAATGAAACTTAAACGCGCACTACACGAGAACATGACAATTCTTTTGATATAACATTATATAGGGCTCCGATGTCTCGTATTCTCCATAGCTTTGTCTGAAAGTGAAAATGGTCAAAGTGGATACTTTTCGCTATTTTAGGCACATATGCGTAATTATTTCTTTTAATAAATCATCAACCTCCTTGAAACTCAACAGTTCGTTAGACGGGACCGAGACGCATCTTTAGACACCAAAATTTCTGAAATCCGTCGCTCCGTTGCTTTGAAAAGCTTTTGAACTCGCAACTAAAAACCCAAATAAGCAAGTTACCTGTAACTATGGTGTCGTTGCCTCGATCGGGCTGTGCTGTGTTGCCAATTGTTGGAGGATAGGTTACTTGCCCGGATGTGGCTACCGCCACTCATGATCCAGGCGGTCTGCATGGCGAATTTGTTGTAGCCACGAATAGCGTTTCAAATCGCGTCAACTTCTCCAAATTTTTCATTGGTGTGCTTTTATGTCGTATCAACATTGAGTCGATTATTAATATCATTAAACGGTCATTAATATTAGTACGCCCTTTTCGCCGTTTTCGACCCAAATGCTCTTTTTTATTTCATATGCTAGAAGGACAATATGAGAAGATAAAGGTGAGGATTCAGATGAAATAAAGGAGATGAAGGAGAATGAAAGGAGACGAGTTAAAAGGAAATAGAAAGAAGAAGAAAAAGGAGAGAAGAGGAAGAAAAAAGAGAATGAAGACAAAGAACAACAGGAGAAGGGAAAGAAGAGGAGAGAAAGGAGAAAAAAATAGAGAGATGATGAAAGAAGAAAGAAGGAAAAAAGCAGGAGAGGAAATAAAGAGGAAAGATGAAAGAAAAAATTAGGAAGAAGAAAATGAAGAAATGAAGAGAAAGGAACGAGATAAAAGGAAGTAAAAGAAAAGAAAGAAAAATAATAAGAGAGGGAGAGATGGAGGATAGAAGAACAAATGGCAATTTTTTTTTTTGGGGGGGGGGGGGAACGAGAGGAAAGGAACGCAAAATATGGTCTACTGGTCTATGTAATTGCAAACTTAGACGAAGGCAATTAAGTATGCCTCTCTCTTCCCGAGACTAAAAAAATCGAGCAAATTCAGGTGAAGGGTCTGTGACGCGAATAGAGAGCTTGTTTTGAGCGACGTTCAGACTCTATAATAAATAGGGCATGATAAATGATGATACACTGTCATGTCACAGTATCATGCCTTGAAATTAGTTTTGCTTGCAAATCTTTTCAGACGAACTGAACGACTATATGGATACATTCGTTCAGATCATGATCCGGAAAACAATAACGATGCATGAAAGTCTCCTCTTCAATCGAGTAAACAATAACGGATGGAAAGATTTCTGTGTCCGAGGCTGATCTGATTGAGACAAGGTGAATATTAACAGTGCGCCATCCATTGAATTTTTAATCCGCGGAAATGTAACACGAGTAATGAGGAAGGGGAAAAAGAAGCAATTGAGAAGAAATATTGAGACTATTGAGATGCACTGAAGCAAAAATGTGACTTAATTTTTTCAATGCTCGTGAGTCAGTTATCAGCTCGCACGAGGATTATTTTTTTCTGTCCATTACAATGAAATTCATCGAAGATGTTCCTTTTCGATAAATTTTTAAACAGGCAGTGTATTGACATACACTTTTACTAACTAATGCGTAAGATTGTATTGACATGCAAAGAGTGAATGTGGTATTTCTCACGTCGTATGATACCAAAAGACCAATAAAAGACCACAGAGAATTTTGAATAAATATAAATATTTTAGTTCAATTAGTTCTGTTTTTTGTTTTTTGTCAAACTTGACGGTTATAATTTTCTCTCACTTAGGTAAAAAAACGTATTAAATGAAACTCTCAAATAAATAAAAATGAACGCAGATAAAAAAAAATAAATAAACTGAGACAAATTACAAGTCATTCCTCTTAATTTGAAGTAGAAATTATAAGAAACTTTAGAGTGATCTAGAGACTTTGTGTGTGTAGTCTTATCAAGTTTTAATCATCTGTTGAATCCAACGAAATAAGATATCAAGATATCATTTCGGTATTCTTTTGGAAAAACATCATGCATTAGATTTAAAATCGAGTTGTCCAAATTCGACGTCCTCAAGCAAAACGGACTTATTATCTGAGAAGAAGTATAGAAGCTAAAAACCCGGGCCCAAAAGGAGTTCAGGGGAAGGGTCAAGCCCTCCTCCCTCTAATGCCACCCATGGTTGCAGCTGGCGTTGTATCCATGATTTTGAATGAATGACCATTGCTGTGGCTCCGTAAGCAATTTAGTAAGACACCGATGAGACACAAGAGCTGGAGAGGTACTCACCTACAATATAGGAAAGATAGAGGACAACCATGACGGTAGCCTCGTTTTGGTTCACCCTTCCGTCCCGGACTGCGTAGGCCAAAAGCAACACAGACACACCATAGACCAAAGAATCCCGCGTCAGTGGCCAGTAGTCTACTTTCACTGGCTGCAAAACATAAGAAATGTGTTATTAAATTTACAGTGGAGGAACCCTGGTAAAAATTGGCAGTAGAATCTGTGTTCCAAAATACCATAGACCTACAGCCGGCTGTAAGATTTCCAATAGCTTCTATAGCCGGCTACACAATTTCTTATAGCCTTTTATAGCCGATGGCGATTAAGCAACAGCCAGGCGATAACGTGTATGCTAAACGTCACTAATTACGGATGCTAGGACTTAGTGAATTTGTGGAATACTGCTCTCTTTTTGGGCCGTAGTATCTTGATTTATTTTGCGAGGAAAGCTCCGTACTTCTGATGGATGCCTGCCATTACTAATATATTAGAGCGCCTTCAGTTTCGTATGATACTGTGCAATACCTCTGGTGTGAAATAGTTGCTTCAAGCGCCGTGGCACGCTGCGGTGCGGCAGGCGGGCAGCCAGCGCGGAACGCGCATTGGCGCCTACAAACCTAACAGGGATACTTCACGCGTTGCGCAATGCGTGAAGTATCCCTGTTAGGTTTGTAGGCGCCAGTGCGTCGCCGCTCCGCTTTGTGTTAGGCTCTAATATTTAATCTGGCGGAGTCAGCGTTGTTCAACTTGTGATTTTGAAATGTTTGCACATCCTGTATGGATTATTCTCATTTTAGTTGATGGAAAAAAAGTATGTATTAAAGGAAAAGATAATGTGCGTTTTGTAAGTATTAAGGTGGTTCCGTATCAAACTTAATGATTTCCAAAGCACACGAATTTCTACACAATTTCTTACAGCCTTTTATAATCGATGGCGAGAAAGCAACAGCCAGGTGATAAAGTGTAAAGCCCGGCGATAGGAACTATAGCCCGGCTGCATAATTTTTTATCGCTTCGTATAGCCCGGCCGTACGATTTTCTCCGCATTACAGCCAGCTATATGATTTTCTGTTGCCTTCTTTAGCCGGCTATGAGAATTCCTATGGTATTTTGAAACGCAGCTCTTATCTCCAATTTTACCAGGGAACAGCTGAACGCATCTAAGAAAAAAATAAGTCTATCTGTATAAGGAGACTTGATAAACAAAAAGTCATCGATTTGTTGAATTTCATATTGTTGTTGGTGCATTTGTTGACACGCAGCTTGAACCCGATGTTTCAAAGTAGTTGCTGTAAATTTTTGAGAGGCTCTTTTGCAGGAGTCGGTGGATTTTAGTTTGAGCATAATTCTGATTGAGGGGGGGGGGGGTGAGAACTTTTTTTTAATTCGTTCACTATTGCAATTTGACCAGGCTTTGATTCAGTGCTGCATAAGTATTAAGTATACATATAAGAAATGAAAATTGAATGATGTCGGTAACTGAAGTGTGAGACCACGTATCTCCATCGAAGTGTCTTAAAATTTTCGCTCCTATTTTATTTTTTCGAAAAGGCACCAGCCGACAACATGGCTTGAAGTCTTTACAGAATATCATTCTAAGCGAGAAGGAAAATGAAGGACGTTTCCAAGAAATTCCAATGAATAGTTTTCCGAAGAAAAATAAGGAACGATAGGAAGTCTGCGACGTGGCAATTGGAACTACTTTGGTTTCCTGCTTTCGCCATCAATATACAATTATTAGCAGTTGTGTCGTGGGATTTGGCGAAGGTTCTATAATACAAAAATAAAGCCACATAGTTTCTAGTGGGATCCCGTATAACGTATATGGGACCCCGTCCATCACGGGAGCTCCTCCTCAACTTTGAGCGCTCTTTTTCGAAGTTAAAAGTTCATGTTTGAGAAAGCACCGTCGTGTTCTCACGCATATCACAAAGGGCAATATTCTCAAATCCCAAATTCCCGCGGCACACAGTGGATCGAGTCAATGGGAGAGGTCGGACAAAATTTGGAAACTTTAAACGCCTAAAACTCCGTGTATACAAAACTTTGAGGTTTTGAAAGTGGTAGATATTTTCTTTTAGGAACACCCCATACAATTTAAAATGTGACGAATTGAACATCAAAATTAGCAGTTTTGATTAAAAATTCATGTCCGACCTCTCTGATTGACTCGATCCACTCACTGGCGTGGCGTGCTTTGCGATATATCGATCGATACGCCCCTCAAACATATGAAAAAAGATCGATCATTAGGGTGTTCGCAGCGAACACCTCATTAATCGATTCTTTACCATGGCTTCAAATGGCGAGATATCGATAATCGATCATTCACGCCACGCCACTGGATCCACTGTGCGGCATCCGAGAACTCCATGCCGCCCAAAACAGTATCTAAGTTGAATCCTGAAATGGAATCCGTTCGTTTAAAAAAATCTTACCGCACTGGTGAAGAGGCTGCAAAAGCAAGGGACAGCGAGCATGTTCCAGACGCCGCTACCCACCACCGTGCTCACCCCAATGTCTCCTTTGGTGAGGAAAGTGCCGATCAAATTTATGAACAACTCCGGTGACGAAGTTGCCATCGACATCAGCGTCGCGCCGGCAACGTCCGTGCTTAAGTCTAATTCTGAAAATACCAAAAAGTCTCCAAATTACATCATGTCACATGGGTAACAAAACCTTGTGTTTTTTATTTGATATTCTGAGAGTACCAACAGATTAGATTGAGTGGTGATTTATTGAGTATTTTTGTAGTCAAAATCCCGGATAAAACCGTTTCCCAAAAGTCTAAAGGCTCGATTAAGGAATTTTTAACGCGTCGAAATGACGGGCAAAGGATGGTAGTGAAGCACTGACGCGGTCAATTCGCTGTATCTCCTCTCATTTTCCACTGATTTTTTTTCCAAATAAAACGTATTTAAAATTGGACGTATTTGGAATTGTCGCTTGTTGATAACAGGTAACATGAAAGAGATTCGATTCTTTAATCCTAAAGGTATAGTTTCGACTTTCCTTCTGTTTTTACTTACGAGGAGTAAAAAAAATTAAGGAAAGTCTTAGAAACCAATGCTCGCTTCTGATTGATGCCAGATCACTCGACTTAGCTGGGGGGGGGGGGGTTTAAAGCGGAAAAGTTGCGCTTTTTCAACTGCGTATTTCTTGGTTTCTGAGTAGTTTCTCACGTTTTTAATGTGCGCATCGTACTTTACGCATCATTTGCCTTTAGAAAAACGTAGGTATTCGCATGTCAAAATTTGTTCATGGTTTAACGACTAATTGGTATTAAAATGTAGGTCTTACTTTTACAAATAAGTTTGATGCTGTGTAAGAAATAATGATCACAGATAGAGGCTAGTGCTACAAAAAGGTAGCCAGTGACGAGGGCCGCCACGAGGATATTGACTATGACACCGCCGGGCAGTGTCAGCTCAGGGAAGTGGTGCGATTTCGCCGGCGAGCAGTTTGCAATCCCGCCGTAATCCATCCCCAATAAGTGTCGTTGTCCATCTGAAATAAAATCAAAATTAAAAATAAGGTTATGTAGACGAGCTCGTTTAAGGTGACATGTAAGCTCTCAAATAAAAATGTTACACACAACGAAGCCACTAATTAAGAACACAGTTTGCCTTTTAACATGAGATTTCACTGAAGAGGGATACATTTTGGTATCAAGTATTTCTGAAAATTTGTTACGTGCTTGCTTGAAACAGTACATCTGTTACTTTTGAAATACATGTTTTTTAATCATAAAATTTGTTACAAGGATCCATAATCTTTTATAATCCCTTCATTCAATTTTGTGAGTAAGTAAGAGACCTCTTTGTAGCACGAGGTGAGAGTGATGAGAAACAAGGAGGGAAAGCGAAAAAGAAGGGGGAAATGATAACGTTTATTCGATATGTGTATATGCACGCAGTAAGTGACTCTACAAACCTGAAGTGGGTACTAAAAAATTATCTTTGAGAGTGGTCTTCAAAAATTAGTGAAAGTGCAACTATGGACTTGGAAGGAGAACCAAGAAGTAAATAGAGAACGTAAATACTCTCGAGTCACCGTTTTTGCTGTCAACTTTTGAAGTCATCTGCCTTTTTTTTTTTTTTTTTTTTTTTTTTTTTTTTTTTTTTTTTTTTTAGATGAGTGGTAATGTAGATATTACGGTTCGAAAATATTTCAAGGTTGGATGTGCACACGACCATGACAGGAATTTTAACAAGATTAAACGATGTCTGTATATGAGGACTTCAGAAATGGATGAGGTTCTCAAGTCTCATAAGTTTGATGAGAATAATCTCGAGAGACGGTTGTAAAAAATCGTGTTATACATATATATGTGGACCCTTATGATCACTTCGAAATTTCAGGCAAAAAATAGGGGGTCTCAAGTTGACCAATCATGAATGTAAAATCTCCTCATCATTCAGCTGTTCCTAGAGAACCTCTGATGCGATTTTGAGGTTTTTGTGGCCAAATTCCATTGTGTATGCGTTCATTTTACAGGGTGATTCACGGTTAGATGGCCAGACGGAAGGAGCCGAAACATCCTCAAACCCTTTCTTTAAATTGAGATTTCGATTTTTTTTTTTTAGATCATTTATGAATTCAGGGCATAAAAGTACAGAGGAGTACACATTTACATGAAATTTGATTCACAACCTTCATCAAAATTCAGGAAAAACGAATTTTTCTGAAATTTTGGGCGGGGGGGGGCGTAGCTCCGACTGGGGGCTCTTTTGGAAAAAAATTGATTCAACAAAAAAGTCTGATTTTGACCCATAGAACGCGCTCCTGCAGTCTGGTCGTTTAACCCTGGACGTGCATGAATTCAACTCAAATTCTAAACTTCGCGTCAGACGTTCTCTGGGAACAGCTGAATGATTGGAAAATTTTATTTCCATGGTATGTCGATCGGAAACTTTGTTGTTTAAATTGAAGTTTCAAAGTGTTCACAGAGTGTCCAGTGGCCATAGAGGGACCACTGACTTCCCCTGACGTCATTTTTACGGACAGCTCCGAACATCGGAGTTCACGACTAAGAAGTTGGGACTTTTTCGAGTGTTTTATCGGAGACGATTGTGGGATGGGCACGGCTGGAAGTGGCACGGAGCTAGAGCCTATGTTTTGGAGGCGGAGGAAGCTGGGCTTTTAACATTGTCGTCACGTCTAGATTGATCAGGAGAGCAATCAAACAATTGAAGCTGAGCAGCAAAGCCTCCTCCGCCAACGGATCCACATGCCACCGACTCTGTCATTGTCGTTCCTGCTCATCGTGAGTCGTGCGTCTTTTCGTGGCCGAATCGAAAAAGTCAGCAGGCAACCATGAGCTAGGGGTCCTCTGTCAGGAAAATTTTGGAAGTCGAGCCTTCCCAGAAGCAAGTCGGGTATCCCGAAGAAAAGTGGGGCATTGTGACATCACTCTGATGTCATAATGACATTCACAATGTGTTCCATAAAGCAGTGTGACGTCACAGTGATGTCCGCTGGACGCTCTGCCATCATAGTGTCATCATAGTGATGCCTGAATGGTCAAAATGCTGTCAAAGTGATGTCAGAGTGAAGTCAGATTGATATCAGAGTGAAATTATAGAGATTTCTTCCATAAATCATTGTGATGTCTCAATGACGAGGTCGTTATGCTCCACTTTTACCGGGGAACTTAGCGATAGGGAATTTTCTCCGTTTAGAGTTTTGAAGGATCACCTAGAGTCAGTTGAACCCCCTGTAGACACTTGACTTCCTATGGATATGAATACTTTGAAACTTTAGGGAAGAAAAAGGTTTCAGGTACCTAAGAGTAAACAGAGTAACAGAGTAACAGAGTAACAGTACCACACGAGAATAAAATAGCGCACGTCATTCAGTTGATCCTGGAGAGCCTTTGATGCAATTTTTTTTTTTTTTTTTTTTAAATTGTATACCAACGGCAACGGCAATACAACAGAATTGAACCAAAATCATCTCGATTTCACCCATTCGCGAGTGGGTATACGCTATGAGGTTAAACGGTCTTCCATTGCATAGCGTACATTTCTATCAGAATACGTCTTGCGCGCTACCATAGAATCGCAACTAGTCGGGGGCGTTACATCAAGATATTCGTTCTCGCTATTTTTGGCTCTTTTACGTAATTCAAACGTCGGTCTAATTATTCGTGAAGTCAGATTTGTAAAAGATGTGTTTAATAACGCATTTGTTTGTCCGGATTTCCGGAAGTGACACGCGTTCTGTTCTCGTGACCAATAGTGCCATGTGATCTTTAGCCTTACGTTCCGATAAGATCTTATTCTTAAAAATCATCCAAAGGGCATCGCATTAATAATTTGAACGTCCACTCCATGAGAGATATTTTGTTGAAAATGTTATGCTGCAACTTAACAACAATTGGATTGAATCTTGCAAAAATGAACTGATAAGATTGCAGTGCCGATATTACTAAGAAACAATGCCAATGCTGCTGTAATTAAACATTTTTTTCCATCTTGTTGACAGAATCTGGAACCGTAAACAATATTCAATTAGGTAATCCAGAAAATTATTAATTGAATGAGAAAATTACCCTGAGCATTACAAATATTCATTTTCGATTAAGTGAGGGTATCAAAAAGGGCCATATTTGGTTCCACTCTGAATTTCTTCAACCCTACAATTGTGTGCCCTGAGTTCGCCCTTGAAATTTCATGTGAAATTTCATGTGAAATTTCGCGTGAAATTTCAGTGAAATTTCAAAAGGCCTCATAAATTTCAATTTTTTTGAAAAATTGATTTATTTGCCCCTTAATTCCTTTTCTTCACTGATGTTCCTAAATTTAATAATAATACATTGTCTTACTGTTCCTCACGCCTGTTTTTTCTTTCTTTCCGAGTAGCTAGTCTTGTTACTCTCCTATAAATAATATGGCATCGTAAAACAATTGTGTCCCTCAAAAAATAGTCATGATTGTGCTATTCCTTTCAGTAGGTAAAATTCTTCTCTAAGATTAGAATAAATAGTATGTACCTAAGTACCTTTCTTTTCTATTGCTCTAAACTTTATTTGCATTTAAATGATAAATTTCAAGAATTATAGATGAAGAGCACAGTACTCAGTGCATTGTATGTAACGTTGGAGTACATATCTCTGCTGTTTTTTATTTTTTGGTTTTTTTTATTTTTTTTTTTTACTGAAAATCATTTTCTTCGCAGTGAATACATGAAGTTTAGAGCCAAAAGAATACGAACAACGTAAGGTAGGAATTTTCATTTTGTCTTAGTTGACCGGCAAAAATCTACAGTACCAACAATCTATGGCACGAATGCGGACGAAACAAACAACGACGGTTGAATCATTTCGATTTTAGCCGCCATTTTGTTGCGTGACGGCAATAGGCAGGCAATAGGGCACGAGATACGACTCCCTAATATTCCCTATGCATATTCGTCTTGTTGTGGTAAGCAGTCGGGCAGAAAAAATTACTGGAATCAAAAAATTACTGAAAATCAAGCTTAGATTTTAATTTTTCACGGTTTCATTGAAATTTCATGAAATTTCAAGTGAAATTTCAAGTGAAATTTCAAATACCTTATTTTTCATGAAATTTTCCATCTCAGTATTGCACATGGAAGACCTTTATTTTAGGGAATGCATCATGATTTTGTCCTTTTGGGTCTCTGTCCAAGCCTCACCGGCTTTGATATGGATCTGAAGACCGGTTTTGGCGAAAAATACGAGGTGTTGCGAGTTTGCAGTCGAGTGCCGAAAGATCCGCACTTTTCACCGAAATCGACCTTTAGACCTAAGCTAGTATTAGATTTGGATAGAGACTGAATAGGGCCGAATCATGATGCATTCCGTTAAATATAAACTTTTAAAGAGTAGAAAATAGTAGAGTCGAAGAAATTTATGTATAGAGTGGGTCCAAAAACAGCCCTTATCGTTACCCTTCTTTGCTTTAAACAAGAATTTGCACAATATTGCCTCAATATTGAAATTCAATCAGTTCTTTTTTTGCAAAACACAATCCAATCGAATCATCAGGAGCTGTGTCTTTCATCACATGACATACCTACGTAATTTCTGAGACATCGACTAGATATGTTATCTGTGAAACTGTTTAAATATTATTAAAGTACCCCGAAAGTTACCCCCTAAAAATGAGATATTACTCCGCACGTTTATATGCAATTTATATACAGGTGCAAAACATTGTATCACAAAACGAATGCGTTTCTCGATTGTTCAACCAGTTGCAAAAGTGTTTATTCACAACAATCAGTTATTTTAAGAATACGCTAAAATCAATACGTTTATCTCTAACTAGGATTTTAAATTAGATTTTGCTCATGTTGCACTGCCTCTAGGTCGGAACGATTTATCAAAAATCAACAAGCAGTGATATCATTGAATCACCACGGCCGGTATTGCACATGTGTTCGATGAGATGTTACAGAGTATTCTTATCTACTGTAAGGCTAATGACGTTAATTCGAAAATCACGTAAGTTTTCGGCTATGCACTGGACCTATTACTGAATCTCGTATCAGTGGGTAGTATTGATGAATTCAATATTAGCTTTACCTACTCCTGCCGCAACCTGGCGCCTCCTCACACGTAAAGAATGATTTCAATTTTCAAGATCAATCGCGTATTATGCTAGCCTGCCCACACATGAAACTGTACCTATTTGGTCTCTTTTTTCGCGTTGAACGTGAAAAGTATGCCAACGCATGCACCAACTACCACTAAATTTAATTTTAACTCCTAGATGCAACTATTCGGGCTCTACGGATGTCCTTGTTGCACACGCACGAAAGTTAAGGCGTTTTGACTTTCATGGCACCCACCTGTTCCACCCGCAGTATAGCGCGGCAGAGGACTGTACATTACGAGGATCGAAAATGACAAATCGTCTTCAATTCTTCGTTGATACCACGAATATATCTCTGAGGCACGAATTAACGAATCTTGCTCAGCACAAAGCTGTATCAAAAATCTAAATTTGCGCTTATACTCCCATTTTCAAAATTATCTGTAAATACGTCTATAGCCTGAGACGCTGAATGTCTTAAAATTGCACTAACTAACTAACCAAAACTCAAACGAAAAAGATGCTCATATCCTATACGCATTTGTGCAAATACTCGTGCGTAGTAAATGCCTTTGTAGTATGTAGTGCGTGTTTTTGTGTTGTCTATGATGCCGCTCTTGCCATTTTGAATTCTCGCAGAAGAACCTGCTGTCGCGGCCGCGCCGCGCTGGCAGCAGGCATAGTGATGAGTGGTGACTGGTGAGTGCCTGAAGACTCAAAACGCCTTCATTTTTGTGCGTATGCAACATGGACTTCCCTGGAGCTCGAATAGTTGCATCCTTGTAATGCAATTCGCTTGGTGCTAGTTGCATGCGGTACTAACTGACAATGAGAATGTTTTGCTTATCACTCATGCATCTCAACTTAATGCCAGCGTCGCCAATTTTTACTCTTACCAATTTTTATCGTAAAATTTTCAATTTTCAAAAAATGTTTTGATCGTTTGAAATTTTACGACATTGCCCTTCTAAAATAATATTCCTTCGTGAATCAAGAGTAAAATCACTTCAATAAAGCAAGTGCCTGTTAGGTTTTGATCACTGTACAGAAAACACAATCTTAAAACCCCGTTGCCTGCTAAACGCTCATGCAGTGTTAGAGCATCCGGCTTACTTTAAAATTCGCATTTAATTTAATTTTGTTTTAAATTAGTCATATTATTGGGAAATCAAATTTATTAAATCATGTGCTTGTCTTATTTAGATGCCGATTCTGAACTTTAATTTAGGTTCTTTTCCTTAATGCTCCGAAAATATCAGCACCTCAACAAAATCAATGATAATTTCGTCATCAATGACGCAGTGAATTATCTTAAAAATTAAAAAAGGCACAGGTCAGGTGCGTACCATCAGTCAGGTCATCTTAATCTCCGGAAGTAGAGACCTTTTGATCGATATCAGGCTTGAAAAGCCACTAGAATCGGATCTCATCGATCGGAAATACTGGGCAGTAACCCTCACTGAAATAAGGCCACAAATCGTTCAACTATCAAGGTTATAGCGGCAGAATGACGTCCGTACGTAAACACAGCTCTTTCACGAACATGAGGTCAATCTCATCCAAACTTTCCTCGCTACGCAGCGCAATCTCAGCGCTTTAAGCCGAGTCTAATCTCTCGATGAGCAATTGAGATAGGTTGTTAATTAGGGTGATTTGGGTGGTGAAAAACTTCGCGAACACTTTCTCGTTTATTTGCAATTGCGTAGGTTCACCGGTAGCCGGCGCGTGATCACCTGACCCGCCCGCACTGGATTCGTATGAACACGAAATAAATGCGCTATTTTTGATATTCAATTACGCTGAAGACGTCACTGCTCAGCGCGAGGACGCCTGAGCATGATAAACTTTGCTGAACTTTCCCGATAAGAAAGCTCGAAGCCTTCGAAAATAAACCACGAGGGTGATTCCCTCCTTTAAAATTTTCCGAGGCGTTTAGTGGCCGTGAGAATTAATTCACGTTGTTCACATAAGCGGAGCTGAGAGATTTTTTTTTGAGAAGGAAAATAATTCTCACGTATCCTACACAAAAGGAAAATACTTTAGGGTGCTTGCTTGCAGTACATAACGCATTTGTGACCCATGCGCAACAATCGGAGGACCCCCCACCCCCCCAACACCCATTATTTCTCCAAAACGCACGGAAAAATTCAGGTGAGAGTTGGATAAAATTGAGGCGATTCACTTTAAATGTCTCTGAGATACAAAAATAAAATTAGGTGATGTGAAATTTCAGATGATTTAATTCAATGTCATCATAGTCTGTGAGAATTGAAAAAATGACTTAAGACTAGCTCAACCTCACCCCCCCCCCTCTCATTTTCTTCCTAAAATGATGAGGATAGTTTGAAAATAGCTGAAAAAATTATTTTAATCGAAACATATTATTTTTTCCCTGCAGAGTGGAAGGCTTGCGTGATACTGAGCTTAACTTCCTCCCCTCTTGTATGAGATTCGGTAACGCAAGTTCAAACACCGACCCCCCCCCCCCCCCCCCCCCNNACCTTAAGTAGCTTACCTAACACTTGAACTCCTAATCGTTGGGGGATCTTCCATCGGTTACGAACAAACAAATCGTGCTGGTTAATGCACAGGAAAAGAACAGTTTTTTTGAGAATTGATCTTATTCGATTTGGGGACATCAATATGTAACGGTAGATATCTACGATTCTTGAAGTTTTTTTTTTTTTTTTTTTTTTTTTTTTTTTTTTTTTTTCAGCCGATTATGTTTTTTTTTTTTTTTTTTTTTTTTTTTTTTTTTGTTTATTTGCCGCATAAAACTTTAGTACAAAAAATTCTGTTCATACAATGAATGAAAACATAATTGATAATAAAAAAAGTAAAGACATAGGGACCGAGGCCTCAAAAGAAAAAAATAGAAAAGAACAAGAGAATAGAGATAAGAGGCTAGTTTTTAAGGGCAGGACTTCCTTGAAGAGGAAGGTTTAAGATCCGTTTGCGGCCCCGGAAACTGCCGTCTGGCATACATCGGAGGGGGTTGGTTGGTCGAGAGTCTTCCTCTTGGCGGTCAAGGATGCTTTCAGGAAAGTTCCAATAGATGACCAGTTTTTCTTGAAGTTATGGGTGATCTGTAAAAGTTTGTGAGGCACAAGCGATCTAGCTTTGCACCCGTCACACACGAAACTTTTGATGACTCATATATTACATCATTGCAGTGACTAGAATGTTTTCTGTATGCGACCTGGTCGGAAAGGCGATGATCACATTGAAGATTAAAAAAATACTATGACACCGGAGTGTTATCATTTAATTTGGAGGCTGCTCTGACGCTATGCTCGCTTTATCGAGGAGCGCAACATTTTATGAATGAAAATCGCCAAAGCACGGTTATCAAATCCGATCGCACGATCAAATTATCATCTACGACACAAAATAAGATGACGATATTGGGCTGTGAGAACAGTCAATGCTCTGACAACAGCTGACAAAATGGGTCTGTAGGTTTCTTATTATTAGGTATTCATGATGTAAAATGTTAGATAATTTCTTGAATGCAGTGCGCTCAGCCTCTCAGCTCAAAGTTTAAGAATATGATCAGATGTATACAGAGTGAATCGACTCATATGCTTCCGTGAGATATCAACTCACATTTGACGAGATACATTACTTTACGACCATCCACATGGAAAAAATAAGTTAGGACTACATTGAACATAAACATTTTTCGGTTCAGGTAACTTTTACGTCAACTTTTTTTTATTAGCCGTCCAGCTGTGCGAAGCTCAATTTTGAGTTTTCCAGTCTCATCATTCCACGAACGATCACTTTTCATAACGTCAATTTTCCTCTAAGTAAAAATAGTTCGTCGCTTAGTTCTTCGCTATTCCCTAGCTACCAATGTTTGAAATTTTCCACCATATCTTAAAAATAAATGTAAAAAATAAAAAAATTAAATTCATAATTCTTTATAGAAAAAAAATTGAACTCTCATATTCCTTCGGCACCGATCTTCACGAGTTAAGATCCCTTGGGAGGGAGCTTTTGGAACGGAGAAATTTTGTAAGGGATGTTTGTTGAATTCGATCAGAAATTTTGTAGGCTACCCTTGAAGATGCTTGGGTCATTAACATTTGGTATTTAAACACTAAAGCCCACGTAAAATTTTGCGAGAAGTACGATCCCCGGATTTCTCTGAAACGAACTCGCATCAAGCTCATAGAAAAAGTTTTCAAAGTTGAAGCCTCAGTGAAGGGGATTTCCTTCGTTGTGAGAAAGCCCACTTCTATATGTTATTGTGGAATTTCGGAAAATAAACAATTTACTGACCTCTGATGTAGACGACCGATTCATGTGATGTCTGTAGCTGATGTCGCGAAGTCACGAAGGAAAAAGCACTTCTGCAGAGAATATAAACTGCTGGAATGACCAGAATGGCAGCAAACGGACGCAACACAGAGCGTCTTGTTGAACAACATTTTATCATTGCACTGTGCCGTCTGCGCAGAAAAGAAAAAAAAGGATTAAGCTTAAGGGGAAAACAAAAAAGTGGTGAAATAAACATACTCGATTCATGGATCTGTTTTTATAGTCCAGCCAGGGGGATACGCAACCTGACCGCTTCGTGGTCCAATATTGTGGGGTACTTTGCGCTTTAGGGTGCCTCACTGATAGCAAAGATATTTTCTCCCACAAAGTAATGTTTGCAAAAATGTCAGGGAGTTCATTTTTAAATGACACACTTGCGTGGAACTAGGAACTTTTTATGGGGGGATGGGGGGAGGGTACAGGAAGGTACCTCATCAGGGGGGTCCGACAGAGCACAGAAAGACACTTTATCGAGTTGGGTTTGGGAGACTCACCAGTTCCAAAACTGTTTTGGCTTCAAAAGAGGATCTTAGGGACTCTCTGGGAAAATTTTAAAAGCCTGAGTCTTCTCGAGAGCAATTTTGAGCTATCCTTATTGACAAGTTGGTTAAAAAACTATATCAAAGATGAATGTAGAGGACATATTAAGGAAGTCACTCGCATTTTCTTTGAGAAGAAGGCAGTCCCCCTCCGACTCCCACTGGATCTGCCTATATTATAAAAATTTTAATGATTTTCCAGGTTTGGCTAATAAACCAAATTTTCACTCTTACAACGATGGATTTGTGAAAAAAACTGCAAAAATGCTTGAGGCATGGAATCACTCTTACTCAACCCCAATCGCGCTTTCGGGTAAAAACTTGTGATGGATGTTGATTCCTCACTTTACAATATACTCAAACATGTCTTTTTAATATTTTATTTCCCGCAAAAGTAATGAAAGAGCAACAACTATGTGGGGGAGGGACGGGTCAAAATTGGATCTGGAAGGGGCCTTCTGAGCAGAGATTTTGAGAGGGGAGGCTCATTCCACGTGCCCTCATTCTGTGAGTTTTCTAATTAGTGCTCTTGCATGGGAATCTTTCATAGGAAGATTATTAGAATTTCATATCTTTTTTAAAATGATAAAATTATTACCATATTATTTGTTTGCATGGTCTTTACAATTCAATTGGGATTTCCCTAAAACTCTGTTTGTTATGATATGAAAAACAAACGTTCAGGTAGAATTACGTCAAGAGTAATAGCAAGAAAAAAGTACCGATAACAAGTATTACGTCTTAAAATATTGCGAAACCTCCCCCTCGTTCCAGAAGAAACTGGTTTAAACTAATCACAAACCCGCGAGCTTTTTTCCTTTTTTTTAAATTTTAGGAAAGATATAATTAAGGAAACGCTGAAAAAACGTAGTAAAAAAATTCAAGCGCCCACAATCAAAGCGTCTTGAAAAATGTGGTCTTACACAGACCGACCTCTAACCTTTGTGTCTCGGTAAAAGTGATAACAAATTGTATATCTGCGTGAAGAAGAAATGGAAACGTTCTAAAATTTCTATATCCTTCCATTTGACTCCGATAATTTTTTATTTTAGGCCTATATTAAAATAATTGACGTTGGTTGTTACGTTCATTTATTTATTTATTTTTAGTTTTTCTTGGCATGACCAGATGCCATTCTCGTACTCTTATTTTTGCCTATGGTCCTAAATTGCCGGTTTTTACATTTTTTCGGGTGTACAGTAGAACCTCGATAGCTCAATAACTAATTAAAGCCTCAATAACTTGAAGTAAAAGGTCATTTCCTTCCGCTGAAGGCCGAAAATTCTATAATCCGAAAAAATTGTTCCTTTAACTTGGAGAAATTTCCGGCTCATTTTAATTCATCAACTCGATAAAATCAGCGAATTAATTCTAAAACTCGAAGAATTCCCACGCCTCATAGAGTTACCTTAGTAACATGAGGGAATCCGCAAATTAACTTTATACCTTGAAAGACGCTTAGAAATCAGTTCCTATTTTTTAGTGACAGATGGATAGATGCGACAAAATGCGTAAATGTAATTTTCTAAGTGTGGCCCAAAAAGTGCTTATTGCAGAGGAATGCAATGACATCATCAGGAGATGCGAAAACGAGGGACCAAGTTGCGAAACAGAGGCGTGCTTTGCGATGAATCGATTAATCTGCCATTTAAACCTAAATAGAAAAGGGTTGATAAGCAGGGTATCCGCAGCTAACACCTTAATAATCGATTCTTTGCGATAGCTTCCATTTGGGAGGTATAATGCACGCCTAGCCACTGTTGCGAAAGACTTCGATATTCGGTATTCCTCTAAGCGCGCTTTTTTAGAGAAGTTCCTTGCCTTGAACTTTCAAAAAGTGACGGAGCACCTAGCCGGAAAAGAAAACGGAAGTATGAATTTGACGAGGTTGAAGAGTGTCTCATTGTTTGGGTCCAGCAGTGTCGGCCAAGGACGTGAGATAGAGAATGTATTATTGAAAGAAAGAGTCACAGCAAAGTAAAGTAACTAATTTTTGGGAGGCTTAATTTTTCTTGTACAGACATTTTCATAAAACCGGTGTCCACTCCAAATTAGCCTCAGTAATTTGAATTTTTCATCGCTGCCCTTCAGTCTCGGGTTATCGAGGTTCGACTGAGTACATTTTTCACTAAGAATATTTCACGAATTCAAGTTCAGCTTTATGTAAAATAACTTAAACAATTCCGAATATGTACAGAGATAGATAGATAAGTACAAATAATACTAAGTTAAAGTAAAAAAATGGAAATTTGAAACGTCGAGTCTCACAAATCTTTCAATCATCCCTAAATGCGAGTCTACATACCTGCCAATCGTATTCAAATCCATGTTAAGGGATTACGATAACGCCACAGTAATTCAACTAATCCAAGATAGTAGAGTGTTAAGATTGAGTATGTAAATAGAAAAACGATGATGAACTTCTTCCGCCTTGAATTCCGTGTAGCTTTCACGTGTTCTATGCATTTTGCTTCTGCATGGAAACTTGGATATATATAAATGCTATAATAGCCATTTCCTTAGCATTATATTTTCAAACAAGGCTTGGCAAGAGAAAATTTACTTTTAGGGCGGCTGAAAATTATATGGAACTTAAGTTTTTGACAAGTTCACTAGGTTCCCTCCTGCTAAGTGATGCTCAATAAAAATTTATTGTTTTAGTAAAAATTCCGTAATAATCAAGGATTTAGCGTCGATAATTTTACTTTTTTTCCGCTCTCGTTCTTTGCACCTCTCAAGGGCAAATTTTTATGGATATGCCAAGCATTCTGGTGAGATTTAGTGTAAATTAAAACCTATTTTAAAAATCATTTATGGTTTAAACGTGATCCTGCTGTAAATTTACATGCAGATAACTCTTGATGTTATCATTGACTGTTTAGAGGAGGATCGATTTTGAGTCAACCAGATTTGCGTTCCAAGTATTAATTTATTTTTTGTGACTTACTGGAGAATGTAACCAGATTATTATTTTTGATAAAAGACTAAAAAGAATTCATGCATGAAATTTTAGGGAAATGTTTCAAATTTGATACTGGACACCATGCAAACTTTGAGGAAGGTAAATAAATTTAAGTTTGAATTAATTAAGGATACCAGCATGATCTAAGAAGGGCATCGATGAGTCCAAAATCGAACGACTTTCTTCCTGGTTTCAACGTCAATGTGCACTGTACAACATGCACTAATGATAATTAATACTTAATGAACTGAAAAGAATGTCCAGAATTTTAAACGAAAAGAGCCACCTGCGTCCAACACCCCGCAGCAAATCCCAGCCTTTGATAAATCTTTGACTATTACGAAATATACCAACTTACTTGACGTAAGTAACGTGATCTACTTACTTTAAAAATTGTTGAGGAAAATAAATAAAGGAAGGAAACGAAAAAGCACGGAAGCCGGAACAGTAACTTGGGTGGTCGCGCGCACGGAGACTACGGGAACCACTTGGTAAATGAGCAAATCGCTCGGTCACAATATTTATTTTGATGATAATTTTCCTCCGTTATCATCACCGCGGTAGACCTGGGGATCCAAAGTTCACCGCTCGCCGGCTCGTGAATCGCTTGTTGCCCTGCTGTGCGCCTTGCGTGAAGCGTGAAGTGCGTCTCATACCTCTCATGCTCTCTCTACGTGAGAAGAACCTGCTTCAAAACCCTCATACGTTGCCGTCTCACACGGGGCCGTTGATAAATATTGCCGTGGTGTGAAATAACGTCGTATGAACAGTCGAGAGTTGCCAAATTTCCCTCAATAAAATGTTCATTTTCTATAAAAGTTATGAATATTTTCCCTTGGAATTTGCAGCATTTTTCGGTGGAACTGCGAGCAAAATTATCTAAAAAATTGGAAGGAAAATACTCATAAGTTTACCAGGAAATCCGAGCTTTATCAAAAAAGATTTGGCAACGCCTGAAGGTTCATACGGCGTTCTTCCTTAGCATGGCAGAATACATGACAGTCTAGGGGAGAGAAGCTCTGAGCTGGCATTACGGGTGCGCTACTGGGTGACGAAGGGATGAAGGGCGGCGCGGCGCACAGTGGATCGAGCCAATAGGAGAGGTTAGAACAAATTCCGACACTTCAAAAGCTCATAACTCCATTCATAGAAAATTTTGAGGAAGAGGGGGCATACAGAGCGATACGTATTTTTTCTTTTTTTGGCGTCAGCATTTGGCGTGGCGTCAAATGTTGTCGCTCCTTTGACGTATGAGTGTATCGCGATTTCCGCATGAGCTCTAGAAAGCATGGATTTATATGAGAAACAGGGGTCATATGGAAATCGAGATACGCCCTAACGTCAGAGGAGCGGCGATGTGTTAGTTTATTTCGATTTTTTTATTAAAAAATCATACATTAATTACGATAATTAATTACTCATTAAACACGATAAATTACGATTTCAAAGAAATTCGAACGCATTCCACCACCCTGACATAAGCACGACGAGATCGTGCGTAAGTGCGTTAAGATTGGAACTATCGCTTAGCAACGTATAACGTAATCTATTAGGCGAGTCCGACCAGCAACACCCTACGATGAACGATGACGTCAAAATGACGTCACGAGGGCGATCGACCTCATGACCCTCGCTCAACGTAAATCTAATTCAATTTTCTTTGAACTGGATGACACATCGAGCTTCCGTGAACTTCGGCAGGTAGCACATGTTTTTCGGAAGCGTGTTTACGTGCCGAGCTCGAGATGAAAATAAGTCCATTCGGATGCGTGGGCAGTATAAAAAATTACTTTGATTGGGTGTCCTTATCAGCAGGGAAGTACCGTGAAAAGTCATATGCGTGTTGGTTTTCGTCTTTAACATTGATAATTTAGAGGCAAGGTCTTCAATTCATACAAAGAAGATAAATCTAAAAAAGAGAATTTATTACGGTATAAATTTCAAGAGGTGAAGAGAGGCACTAGCAAAATGGACGGAAAGACGCTGCAACCGGCACACAATGGATTGAGTCAATTAGAGAGGTTGGACATGGAATTTTTGACTAAAACTGAAAATTTTGATGTTTAATTCGTCACGTTTTAAATTTAAAAGCTGCCTCTGGAAGAAATGTTCACGAGGAAACCAATGGGACCATTTTTAGAACCTCAAAGTGTTATATAAAAGGAGTTATAAGCATTAAAAATTTCCAAATTTTGTCCGACCTCTCCCAATGACTCGATCCACTGTGCGGCAGGTCACTTCCTTGCGCCCCACCAAGAATTGAGGGAGGCCGGGACTCTTACTCAGAGGTCGAGGTCCACAGAAAATCGCCAATTAAAATGTTCCCAAATTTAAAAACCTGAATTTTATCTTTTAACCATAAAAAGCTTAAGCCCTTTGACTCATTAAAGTTTAAAACAAGTTTGCTGGGGAAGCATTGATTTTGTTGCAATATTTGCGAGCAGGGCCGGATTTATCTACTTGCCGGCCATGGGCCGCTAGTATTTTGCCGCCCCCTTCTCATTCGTTTTGAAATATCAATGAAAACCATCAAATGAACGTGCCAGCGGGGAAGGGGTACATAAGACGCGTTTACTGGTGAACACATTTTTTGGGAAAGCTCTGTCTACACTACTAGCAAAAGTTCACGGAACTTTGCGCGAAATTTAAGTTTCGTAAACCTATCTCTGTGTGAACAAGGCCTGCCATTCATAAGAAATGAACGAAAAAATAATGAAAGAACAACCATAAATGTGGATTAATGATTTTAACTTCCGCCGCCGCGCCTCGCAGGTCGCACTGTGTTTGACGCAATGCGTGAAGTATTCACGCAGTCTTGTAGGCGCTATGCATCTCACGCTGATCGCACTGTGTTTGCCGCAGTGCGTGAAGTATTCAAGCATTCTTGTAGGCGCTATCCGTTTCACGCTGTCCGCAATGACCGCACTTTGTTTGATGCAGTGCGTGAAGTATTCGTGCAGTCTTGTAGGCGCTAATATGTGTTACATGCCGATCGCCGCGCCGAGGGCTTCTCCTTTTTATCTCAAGTCCTCGTCATCATTTCTCGCCAAAAGTCGCGCCGTTCCAGGCCAAATTGCGTGTTTGGGTTCTCTCTTAACTCGACTAATTAAAGGTGCTGTCTCTTATATCATTGAAAGACGACAAAAGTAGAAATTACTATACTTTCAGAAAATTAGAGATTTTGTCGTCTTTTCTCGTTTGTAATTTTTTTTTCTAAATCCGAATTTTTTTTATAGCTACATTTAAAAAAATTGCAAAATTTGCCGCCCCCTATAGATTTGCCGCCATGGGCCGCGGCCCATGTGGCCACCCCCTTAATCCGGCCCTATTTGCAGGCTGATTTTTTTGCCGATTTTACTCTCTTTTTTACAAGAATAGCAATCGCTATGGTAAAAATAACGAAAGATTTACCAAATAACAAAATCTTTGCAGACAGCTTCTTTTCGCAGATTGCTAAATTGGCGATATTTGTTTCGTAAGAATTGCGAACACTGTTATATTTTCTAGGTTTCCTTTTAAAAGTTAGGTGGGTTTTAAACTTTTCGTTCCACAAAATAAAGTAAACACCTTTTTTGCATGAATATCAACTTTGAAATTGATAAAACTACAGAAGCTTTTGTAAAATTTGCAATTGGAAATGTTCTGCTATCGCAGCAGTGGTGTCGTCGCTTCTTTGATAAATGGGTTTCATCAAGGATCGAAAAGAGCTCTTACGAAAATTGAAGTACTCGATCGACACCGAGTGCAAACCTCGTCGTCATTTTCGGAGCAAGTTTTTTCCGTGCCTAGGATGGAGTATGGTGAAAACTGGTTCGATTGTGCCGCGAATCAATGGCCTCATGCTGCCGTTCTCAATACGTTGCCCCTCTGACGTAAGAAAGTATCTTGATCTCCGCATGAGCCGCAGGAAGCATGGATTTACATGTGAAACAGGGCTCACCTGGAAACTGGGATACGCCCTTACATCAGAGGGACGACGAATAGGGGGCGTGTGCCTCTGGCGACACGACCCAACTGCCCCCCACCCTCACCCCCTTCCCCCAGCTCCACCAATGCATCTCCGCAGCTCGCATTCAGTCCTCCGATTGCAATATGCATGTAATTACCATTCAAGAAAACAGAAACATAAAAAATTGTGTTTTCGCATTGTTGCTGTTCTTTGCGCCTGTTATTTTCACCGGGACATTCGATGTCCCGGCAGCTCATTAACCGAGAAGCACTTAACTCCACTGCGAGTCAATGCTGCATAGACCCTTTCTGCACTTAACGCGAGTCTATTGTGCTGTGAAACAAATTACTCCGAGCGTCCTCTTTTGCTCCTGGCGTTCGTTCTTCCTTAAACTGTGAATTGATCGTTGCTAACACGTAACATACTCGCTTCCTGGTGAGCTTTGCCATGTAAGCATGTTTATGACTGAATCGATACTTATCCATTAGGTGAACATGCTACGCTCTGGCATTGGGCAATTCGTGCATGTTGACCTGATTTCTCATTTCAATGGAACTGCAGGAAACAAACCTGTGTGGACTCGCGAGGTTCCAACTATACGGTGAAAAAGAAGGACGAAGAAAAAAAAATCAGTCGTATGAGCAGAAAGTTCGATGTTTTGTATTGATTGAATTTAATTGATTGTCAAAGCGAAATTTCGGTTCTTAGGATCGTAATTCCGGTTCACGAGATCGATTTCTTCGCCAAATTCGAGCTGATAATAGAAATGCGATGGCACGAATTGGAATTTTGCGTTGACGAAACAAATTCAATAAGGAAAATCTAACGTTCGGCTCATCCGATCATATCCTATTTTCAGCGTATAAACGGTATGTCCAGGAGTTGTCTTGAAAATAAGTGAGCCTACAGGATAGATTCAAGTGAGAAACGAGTTTCCAAAGCTGGAATGAGCTTAAAAAAGATTTTCTTGCTGTAATTTACTTAGAAAATAAGGTTGGGTTTTTGGAGACTGTGACATCAATTTTTTCAGCTAAACTTTGATTCAATGAAAAACGAAGTATGCAGAGGTAAACTCTTCTTTCGGTTCATGCTATGTCTCCATATGCAAAAATTGGCCTTCAGTTTCATGTCCAGTTCACGGACCGAAAATGATCGAATCATGATGTCCTCCGTAAAATAAAGGCCTTCAACGAGCAAAACATCGTAGAGTTGAGGGAATTCAGAGTGGGCCCCAAACCGGCCTTCATCGATACCCCTATGGCTCCTTTGCTTTAGAAAGTCAAAGTACGGTCACATAAACCAAAGCACGGTCACTCGCACCGAAGTATAGGCCGTGTTCGATACATCAAACAGGTGAGATTGTATCGATATAGATTGGCTCAATACGTAAGCATAGCCTCAAAAGTCAATTTTAGAAATCTAAGGTAACGGGTCTTTTGTGATCAAATTTGTATTCTTTCGAGTGTCAAATGGCGATGAAAAGTGAAATTGTTCGGAATTTTCTCATTTTCCAAATTAGATCCTAAAATTTTTGAGACGCTACGTCGAACCACTATCGAATCTATTGTTACATGGACCGAAACGATGAATCATTTTACGGTTCATAGGATGGAAATTTCGTTCTCTGTATACTTGGCGACACCCTGCACGATGGGTGTTTCAATAATGAAGCGAGGGAATGGCACGGGCGGTGATGCTGCGGCGCGGCGCGGCGTGGAGGCGGCGCTGCGGCGGCGGGGCACTGCACCGGGGATCCCTTCGCCTCGGTCCGGGTGACCCACGACCCATCCTGGCCCTGTCCCTGTGGCATGCACAGGCATACCGCCAGTCTTTTTTACGGCGTTTCCAGCCGAGCCGCAAAGCATCGCAGCGGCCAGAAATTTCAGCCTAGCCGACCCCGCGGACAGTGCAAGAGAACAGACCGATCGGGTTTTTTCGGACGCGGCCCGCATGGAAGGAAATGATTTAACTGAAGGAATTAGTAGCTACTTATGAAGGATGGGATAGAGGATGATGGGATATGCTCATCGTTGGGTGCCCAGTGACCGATCGGACGGGGACAAACGCAGTTGTGTCGACTCGCTTTTTCCAGTGCGCCAGCTCCCCCGACCCTTCCACTTTTAATTAGCCCCCGAATTTGTGCCCTTTCCAATAAGTGTCCCGCCTTTCACGGCTCAAGTGCGGATTAATGTGCTGTCCTTGTGTTGCTGTGTTCAAAACGTGCTCCTCGATTTTCAGTGATGAACATAGATAGTTTCCATCTTAATTTGAATGTATGGATTGGTTAATCGTTTTTGAAAATGGATAGTTTCTCCTTTTTTCCAAAGCCACCAGGTAATTTCCTCATACATTCCTCATAATTATTCATGGACCAGTGATGTGTGAGTTCTTCATACCTGCTTCTATTTTTTTCGATGATTATTTCGTGGTTTCACCCATTTTCGAGATAGAATTTTCACATGCCGACACCGTGGATTGGTTCGCGTAAAAATATTCTGAAATACTCAAGTACCATTAAAAATATGAACCTGGTATTCTAAAAATGCATTTATTCGAGGTAGTTTTCGTTTCTGCTTTTCATGGAATTATATGAAATTTTGACTTTGCCATTTTGCGTAATTTTGCTCTGGAGCTTTTTGAATGAGTAAAATAACGACACGCCCCTAGCGTCAAAGCCAATTATTCAATTATGCGAGACATAATTAAATAATTTGTATTGTTATTATAACCACTTAATACCCTGAATATAGGAGACGATTCCTATATGAAGTCTACGAGAAGCGGCATTTTGACTTAGGAGAAATATGAAATTAAATATCTGTGTTGTTTTTACAAAATTTCAACCTGATGAGTTTACCTCGTTGAAACGAAAAACGCCAAAAAACACGACAAATGAATAAATTGTCCCTAAATGAAGGACTGATTATCATTTCTGATTTTCACTTTCCACAAACGTCTAAGTGTCGCTCATTACTGCATTCAAATTTCTCCTTAGAAATGTTAGTACATGTAGCAATTAAAATGAACAGAAGCATGTGTTTATCTTGCCTGCTCTAGAAATGCAATCGGCATTTAAATTATAAATATTTTCATGAGAGAATGAGACAAAACCTCAGGTCCAAGAGACATTACTTTATCTTATTAGCTAATCGCCGATCAAAATGACTGTTTACTCCTTCATCCCCAAAAAGTAATACTATGTAACCCATCCTCATCGCTCATTTCTTCATTGAATTTGGTTCATGTTCAATGAAGGTACCTACTTAAATTTTAATTAATTGAGTAACGTATTGCACAAAAGCCTTATAATTTTGCATCACTCTCTACTGGGAACATTTCTTTCATTTAGTTTTTCATTTGACAAAAAAAATCAACGCATTAATCTCGCTTGCTTTTTCGGGATTGTCTCCTTACAAGGTAGTAAACAACTGACACAACTAAAGTCATTTTTGCTTAATTAATAATCATGACAATAAGTTTTTTTTTTTTTTTTTTTTTTTTTTTTTTTTTTTTTTTTTTTTTTTTTNAAATTTGTTTTTTTTTTTTTTTTTTTTGCACAGTGAACGATTAATTATTTTCTTTTGTATACCCGCTAAGCGCTTAAGGGTTCAGGTTACCAGAGTATTATGAAGTTATTCACGTAGACATAATACTCAAGGATACCTATACGGAAGTAAAATTTATCTTGAGCAATGCGTTTTTGAATACCTATTATCTTTTACGCCTCATGGAAGCGTTTTATCTAAAGAAAAAAGTGGGCAAAGATGGAAAATTTGAATGAACGAGGAAAGTCTGGGACTCTAGTTAGAGTGACAACTTTAAAGAGTACAGTTTGTTACATTCTCGGGACCGTGACACGCCCAAAAATAGTGAAATTTCTACATGTTATCATTATTTTTTGGATGACTATACTTTATCTCTACACTAGCGAGGAAGTATAAGCCATTCACGGTGTGCGCGGGTGAACAAGAGAATAAGAATGCATGGTAAACATTTTCGGCGCGTATACTTAGTATATGTCGCTTTTCTCGTTTTTAAATTTTCAGATCAAAATTGACAAGGAGTGAATGAATGTAGGATACAAATTGTATAGGATTTATAAAATAATCCATGCAAATAATTCATTGTCCGCGGGTAAAAAGACGTCAGTCACAGGGGCGAAGATTTGATTATAGTGAGATTTTTGTCGAGATGGATGGAAATATCGGATTTTAAGATTTCAACGGATTTCAGCTGAATTCAACGGAATAGTGTCGAACAGAATATGTTGTGAATAACTTTTATCACTTGCTTTTGTGCTACTAAAAGGCGCGAGGTTGCACAATGATCTGGCGATTTTGTGCCCTGAATATGGCAGATCAGAGTTTCCAATAGCTTTCTTTCGGAATTACTAGCTTTAAACTGCGAAGTTCTTACGCATACTTTATACGCTATTTTTGTGTCAAATTATGCAAGAAACACTCCCCTTTGCATCTGCTTCAATAACTAAATGCTGAGTTCTCCTGGAACAGGATCGCTCTCCCTGTGGTCGGTCACATGTTAACGAAAGTCAACGCTTAGGGCCATTTAGCCACAACATGGGCGAAATAGGGGGAACCAGGGAGGCATGATCCCAAAGGAATCTACTATGGCCCCGCCCATGAAATCTAAGGGATTTTCCTGAGTAAGTGCCTGACATATTTTTCATCTTGGTAATTATGATTTAATCACTTTCCCAGTGAGAGGAGCTCAAAATTGCTCTTGAGACGACTCAATTTCTCAACATTTTCTAGGAAAAATCCCTCCAGACCCCCCCCCCCCCCNATTGAAGCTAAGAATCTTCCGCAAAGCCTTTTCTAGAGCTAGGAGAATCCTGCAGACGCAGTCAGACCCTCCTTAGTTGAGTATGCCTTAAACCCTCCCCCCCTCCCCCCGCTGTGATGCACTTCAGGCCTCTCCCATGAAAAATTTCTAGTTCCACCCATGCCCATAAAGTTTATTTTCTACATAACTGTAAGCTCTCTGAACTCCTAAATTTTAATTTTTTGTCGCAGTTTGTTCTAAAGATCTACCGATAATTTCATGATTTTCGCAATCGATCAGGAACAGTCCGTAATGATAAGCTCAATCTATTCAGATGAACTCACGGGGGCCCGCAAAGCCCCCTTTAGGGAATAGGAAACGCTTTCTGGGGGTTGGGCCGCGTAACGGCCAAGGGGTGTAACCTTCTAGTCAGTTAAGTTACAAGCTCATGATTCGTTAATAATGTCGAGGGTCTTTTAAGGGAGAAAATATAGTTTTAAAGGTTGTTTCTCCAAAATTGAAATATTCAAGTACCGTCAGTTGGTCTAACATGAGCCGGTTTTTGACTTTGAGGCTTTGCATTTTTGCAGTCAATTTTTTTTTCATGCAATCAATTTTTGTTGTAGATCAGTCCCACATAGAAGAGTAAGAATACCCCATTGAAAAAATTTTCCANAAGGTTTATCGAATGGTACCCGATTGATCGTCTGGAAACGTTATGAAAATTGTCTTGATTTGCAGGTCATTTCCGTCGAGAAGGTCAGTGAAAGAATGTCACTGCCAAAAATTGATTTGTCACCTGCAGACTCCTCTCTCCCTTTCTCTTTTAAGAGGCGACAATTTCCAATTCGCATTGCGTTCTGCATGACCATCATCAAAGCTAAGGGTCAAACACTGAAGCGAGTCGGCATTTATTTACCCCAAACAGTTTTTGGCCGTGGTCAACTATATGTTGCACTCTTACGAGCTACATCGCACAAAAATTTTGAAGTCCAAATTCTTCCCAAAGGCAACCGTACAAAAAACATCGTGCACAAAGAGGTGCTTCGATCTTTTATAAATCCCAAAAGCCTCATAGTCATTAGAAATTTATCAAAAATAAAAATTAAAAAATTAAAAAATAATACAAAAAAAAAAAAGAAAAACTAATAATGCGAGCTTTTTATAACATTTTTCGGTAGAATGACAGTCTCCACCCTGTAACGCAGAGAGGCAGTTAAATTCCTTGATCTTCTGCCGCAGAATCATCANCTAGTCAGTTAAGTTACAAGCTCATGATTCGTTAATAATGTCGAGGGTCTTTTAAGGGAGAAAATATAGTTTTAAAGGTTGTTTCTCCAAAATTGAAATATTCAAGTAATTTCTAAGATGAAAGTTTTTCATTTGTATGTCATTCAGCGCTCCACCTCGTCGAACAGTTTCTACTGGTTTATTATCGCGGTTCAATGATGCTGATGCATGAAAAACAATTCATGCGCTCCCCTCCGAAGTTAAAGGTTTCAAGGTTAACAAATCAGTCAGATAGTGAATACTCGCACCTTTGCGAACACCAACACAAACTTTTTGTTGTCGTCTACCNGACGGTAATTTCTAAGATGAAAGTTTTTCATTTGTATGTCATTCAGCGCTCCACCTCGTCGAACAGTTTCTACTGGTTTATTATCGCGGTTCAATGATGCTGATGCATGAAAAACAATTCATGCGCTCCCCTCCGAAGTTAAAGGTTTCAAGGTTAACAAATCAGTCAGATAGTGAATACTCGCACCTTTGCGAACACCAACACAAACTTTTTGTTGTCGTCTACCATCAATATGAGCAACTCTGAATCATTATTGGCCATTCTTGCAGACTGTTACCACTGAGTCGCGCGCAAGTAAAATGTAAAACAACAGATATCTATTGAAGCAACGTGTCTCGCCTAGAATTAATTATTATTGGTTTACACTAGTTAAAGTTGCACACAATAAAACTTGGGAGAATCGCTACCGCCCCGACGCATTGCCAAGTAAAACTAAGTAACTCGCGTGATTTTAATCCGAGATAGCATCCAAGCTCATATTCCGAAAACCATTGAGTACTAAGAGAAAAATGTAAAAACCGAAGGGATTTCAAAAGTTGACGTTAATATTTTGTTAATCGGATAGCCGGTTTTTAAAACTACCCGGCACTAGTCCCTGGTAAAAATTGGCGATAAGAGCTGCGTTTCAAAATACCATAGGAATTCTTATGGCTGGCGAAAGAAGGCTACAGAAAACATATAGCTGGCTGTAGAATGCGGAGAAAATCATACGGCCGGGCTACGAAGCGATAAAAAATTATGCGGCCGGCCTAAAGTTCCTATCGCCGGGCTTAACACTTTTTCGCCATCGATTATAAAAGGCTATAAGAAATTGTGTAGAAATTCGTGTGCTTTGGAAATCATTGAGTTCGATACGGAACCACCTTAATATTTACAAAACACACATTATATTTTCCTTTAATACATATTTGTTTTCATCAATTAAAATGAGAATAATCCATAGAGGATGTGCAAACATTTCAAAATCACGAGTTGAATAACGCTGGCTCCGCCAGATTAAATATTAGAGCCTAACTTAAAGCGGAGCGGCGACGCACTGGCGCCTACAAACCTAACAGGGATACTTCACGCATTGCGCAACGCGTGAAGTATCCCTGTTAGGTTTGTGGGCGCCAATGCGCGTTTCGCGCTAGCTGCCCGCCTGCCGCGCCGCAGCGTGCCACGGCGCTTGAAGCAACTATTTCACACCAGAGGTATTGCACGGTATCATACGAAACTGAAGGCGCTCTAATAAAGGAATGACAGTAATCCATCAAAACATACGGAGCTTTCCTCGCAAAATAAATCAAGATACTACGGCCCAAAAAGAGAGCAGTAGTTAAAAAACTGACTAAGTCCTAGCATCCGTAATTAGTAACGTTTAGTATACACTGTATCGCCTGGCTGTTGCTTGGTCGCCATCGGCTATAAAAAGCTATAAGAAATTGTGTAGCCGGCTATAGAAGCTATTGGAAATCTTACAGCCGACTGTAGGTCTATGGTCTTTTGGAACACAGATTCTACTGCCAATTTTTACCAGGGGTAGTAATCCTGCACTAGTATTGCGATGGTGAAACTGCGGAAATACAAACCTTGGTTTAAGGCGGTGCAGATTTCCTGTCTTGCTTCATTTTCTACATGGAAAATTGCTGAACGTCATTTTCCTGAAAACTTCGGCGTTTTTTCCTCTCTACTCAAAGGAATATTCTGTGAAATTTTAAATCTATAATGCTGATTTGGTCTTCTTTTAAAGAATAAATTAGGAGCGGAAATTTTGAAACACCGCAATCGAGTCACGCATTTTTGCAGTTTCACCATCGACCGGTGGCGTGAAAGTGCCTGAAATGTTCGTAGAATATTAGCGAATTGTTGCGTATTTGTTCGTTAGAATGTTCGTAGATTATTATTATTATTATTTATTATTTTTGATGTTGTCCATGACAAACTACGAGGCAAATTTTTATGAAAACTGTCTTCGGGCGAGATAGTTTTGGTTTTCACAAAAACGGTCGGAATTTCAATGAACGCATTTGTTATATGTTTCCAAAAACTCCGCAACGCTTCTAATTTTACTTGCGAATCGTGGAAAATCGACTGATTTTGTAAACTTTGTTATGTTTATAGTAAGAAATGCGCACTTATATTTGAAAATGATAAATCGATCGCTCAAATGTTTCCCTCTTAAAAACTAACTACTATCGAAAATATATCAGTGCCGCAGTGCCAAAAGGTATACCCAACTCACATTTTTAGAAAAAATCGGGTTATTTTCGTTTTGAAAATCTTCGATAACGGTTCGTGGGGGTGGAAAATTTGGTAGCCCTATCTTCCACCGGTTATGAGATACAGGATTTCAAAAATTGCGATTTACATTGAAATCAACGGGGCCGACGCACAATTTTTCCTTGATATCTCGGGAGGACTAAAATGGAGTTAGGTACCTTTTGGCTGTGAGGTACTTATGCACAACATTTGATTTAAAACACATCGGTTGCTGGAGTGCTTCTTTAATACCGCTGTATTAGAGCTTCCCGTTGTTTATTTTTGATTGATATATTTAATATTATTCAAATCATAGTAACCCAGATAAAAAAAATTAACTATTAATACCTAATTTTAAGTGATATAGCGATTGCGGTTGATTTAAGTGTTCTTGCATTGAGGTAGAGCCGACGGAGGGCTTTAAGCGACAATGGGAGTTCGATAGTGCTGAGGCCGCCAGCAGTGGGGGAGGAGGCTAGTATTATTATTTCATAGGTTACATAATTTATCGGCCATTGCACTATACCTAGCGGAGGAGGAGCAGAGTGCTGGTGAAGAACGAGCTTTCAGAAAAAAATCAACCTTAACTTTGGCTAGATAATGACATGGCGCCTTACGAGCCGATCTCATGTTTATCTCCGGTTTTCAAACGATAATACTTAAAATTTTTCTATAATTTTGGCATAATATTATTCTTACAGCAAGGTAGAGTGAGTAAGAAATAAAAATTAAACGACTTGGAGTGAAGACATACTTTTCTCATATATGGAGTGTTTATTCATGGCAGTCCCTATAGAGAGAATCGGAATGAAATCCGATCGAATGGAACACTGCAGGATAAAATCTATAAAACTGAACAGGATCTCGCCAGTGGCGTGGCGTGCTTTGCGATGTATCGATTGGTCTGCCACTTAGTCCTATGGGAAAAGGATCGATGAATGAGGTGTTCGCGATGAACACATTAATAATCGATTCTTTACCACAGATTCAAATGAGGGCTACTGATAATCGATCATTTACGCCTCGTCACTCGATCTTGCATATTTTCTCATCAAAATTGCGCGGAGACAATGATTTTTGCAAACTCTAATCCATGCTCATCATTGCTCTCAAAAGGAGACTGTAATGCTAAGGCGCGGCTTATTTGCATGCTAAAAAAATAAGTTGGAAAAGTTCAGCTCCCCAGTTTCCAATAGAGGTCATTACATAAACATTATGCATTGGAACAAATTTACTGCAAGGCCGGAAACAATTGTGCCTGCTCTCCAATAGAATAGGCAAAAAGAAGTTTTTCCCTCGTTTGAATTTTCTGTGAATATATTTGAAATGAATAAGGAAAAATCGCAGAAAATTGTAATAAGACATATTGTTTCTTAGTGTAAAAAAATGAAATTACAATAAAATACGAGTGAAGTTATGCATAGTTTCAATCGGAGATAAAAAAGTTAATTTTTGCAGGTAGTAATCGATATTTAAAGACAATTAGGGAAGGCGTTTGTGAGATAACTATTCGACCACGGGTGATGCCCATATTGCCGCTAGCTGGAATTGAAGGCGCGTCAAGGTGCGATTTCCTAAAAACATCGTTGTCAGCGGAAAACACGTTATTGGCGTAGAGAATCGGTTGCAGCGTGAGCCATTGGTGCTATTAGCAAAATCCTGTTTTCCTATGACGTTCGGCGCGGCGTGTATTGTTGCACGTATTGTATAGCAGCTTTGATTATTTATAAAAAGTGTCATGTGTTTCTCTTATTTTGGGTTTTTATTAAAACATGGATAGTAATAAGAAAGAGAAGAAAAGCATTGGCGATTTACCACGTCAAAGAGAAAAAAAGCACTACAATTTTATGAGACGTGCCACAAAATGATAATGCCTGTAACCATATAATATGGTCGTTTCACAACTATTACGGATAAGATAAAAAATGCCTTCAATTCATCGATTATGCATTTTTAATGCAGGTGAGGCAAGTTGCTATAAGTTGAATTTTGTCAGTGGGAGTTAGATTCTTTTTTGTACTTGTATTGGTTAATAGTTACTTTATTTTTTAGCAAAAAATAATACACTTTGCGTCAGTTAGCGTACTTTAGGGAACCCTATTATGGTACCGGTGGCTCGCGACGCTCCAATCAGAGATGCCCTCGGGCTTCGGGCTACATCCCGCAACAGTCGCGGCAATAAAAGCCGTGATATACCTCACATGGTGGCAATCCACACTGTCATTACTTTCCGTCCGTATGATGATGATTTACTGGCAAGTTTACGAGTGTACAAGAGTTGAGTGATTTTTATACAGCGGAGTTACACGCTAAAGAAGGGAGTCCTGATCAAATGATGTTCCGATTAATATCTTCCAGCTTTTTCATCCATTGTTGATGGATTCCTTTTTTTTTTAAACAAGATCCTCTCTACCAAAGTTTTCAAATTTCATGAATACTAGTCGCGAATAGGGAAATTGAGGACCCAGAGTTATACTTTTAGCCGAACGAGGGAACTAGAAAATGTTTTGATGGATTCATTTTAGTTGCAACGATTAAGAATATCTTAGCTGACGACGTCAACGATTGAAATTTATTTTTATTTTTCCAAAAAAATCGATAGAACGAGGAAAAAATATCCCATTGTGTAAAATTGTATGATTTTTGCAAGCTGACGGAAGAAAAAAATGTGCTACACCAACATAAATTTGCTGCAAAACTTACTTTCTAAGTAATACACATTCATACATCGCTACCGCTGTATTTTTTATTTAAAGTTTCTGTTGGGACGAAACCTGAAACCACCCGATTTTTCTGCTCCAATTTGAATGCACACATCTTGAAATATCTTAAAAATGGCGAAGATAAAATAGGAACAATGATGGAAACTAATTAGAATTTAAATTGAGAATGACTTTATACTTTTTGTGTGGCTGATTGTGCCTAGGCACTAAGGGGAAATCTCCCATTAGCGACAAAAAATCTAAAAACCGAAAATAAAAAAAAAATTATTTTCTAATTCCATTTATATTTAATCGAAAATTGTTTTTATTCTTCTTAGTACTTGTGAGTAAGGACAAAATGAAGAGTACCGACGCACCATTTCGCTGAAAAATTTTAGTGGCTAATCTAAGCTTGCAGGGAAATAATTTGCTTCAAGTTTCCTTTTTGAGATTTTAGGGAAGTAAAGAAAATTTTGTGCAGCCGTGCAAAGGAGACAATTTTATAATTTTAATTTGTCAACACTAGTTTATTATGCATTACTCTTGACGCATGAGCACCGCATCTACCACCATCCGCCAGTGCAATGAGGCGACTCTTATTCTGTATTCATTCTATCACTTTTATGATTAATTTTCCTTTTGTAATGACTGATGAATGGCGTAATGTTTCAGATGGAACACATAATTGTACGCCGCCGGCGATAGACGATTTCCCGCGGGATTTCTTCACAAAACGACAAAGACAGGAGGGTGCTGTGCTTTTTCACGCAGGCGCTTCCATCTACCTCTTTATAGCTTTAGCCATAGTTTGCGATAAGTACTTCGTGCCAGCCGTAGAAAAAATATGCAAAGGTAATTTTACATTTCTCATTCTCTAATTTACATTTTTAATCTGTTAATGCTTGTTTTTTCCTCCATTTTAAAGCTATGAATACGGAAAATGTCTAAATTATATTTTGATCTGCTACTGTCCTTCTCAAAGGACAAAAGTATACTTTTTTGGGGGAGAGGAGGGGGGTATAATACCTTTCTCATTTTTCCAAGTATGCTGTGTGCAGAGGGAGACACCAAGGTCATATTCACAGTTGATTCTGAAACAGCTCTTTTTCTTAGGGGGGAGGGGGCGTATGATTTAAATTGTGATCAAGAGAGATTCAAGGTGTCTTTTAACATTGGGCCATGAAAAAGACAATTTTTACGAAACCTGAGTGTAATTTGACGATTCAACTTAGGAAATAAATCCTTACACAAGGGATTACAATGATTTGCTACTGAAAAAAAGAAAAGAACTGCAGAAGAAAATATCATATGATTTTGGTAAATTTTTAAGTGGGCAGGAAGAGACCTACCTTAAAATTTGAAAAAACCTGCATTCCATTTTCAACTCGTATTATGTATTATTTGCGAGAGCAAATCGTTGAGATCCCTGTGAGAATCTATTGCCAGAGTTGATCCGTTGAATTTTGCTCAAGGTCCGAAAAATTTGACTTTCTCTTGATGCTCCGTTCAAGGCGCTTTTAATATCTCTTAATCACAGTGCTCAAAGAGCTTCCTAAGGAGAGGAGCTGTTCAAAAGAGACAACCATGAATACAGTCCCTAGGTTGGGCCATTCAAGTATCGCATACCACTATTGTGGCTCACGGAGACTGCTTTGCCTACCCTACTCTAATGCAGGCGATTCCACCCGAGATGGATTTATGAAAGTCGAAGTGTACGCGGCAGACTCTTTCGCTTTATTCCCTGCATTCAATCCAATCAGGAGTTGATCATGGGATAAACAGCCAGACTGTAGGATCGGATAGTATGAGTCCTACAACAAAATTTTCGTTTTTCACAAAGTTTTTTTTTTTTTATTTTTATTTTTTTTTTATTTTACCGTCAACTACGGCTCTCCCAAACTTTTGAACGAAACGTGCGGCTTTTTTTATCTTTTTCGTTTTTGTTTTTAAATCGTGACGATGGCAATTGACAAAAACTCATGAATATTGGCTAGCCTCCCATAAAATTAGCCTTAATAAAATCGTTCATGACCCTACAATCATCGGAATCTGAAAAAAGGGATTTTGGGAGGTCTCAGATCTTTCAGAGTAGGATTCTTGGTCTTTTAACCATTCAGACTGAAATCTATAAAAATTAGCATGTATACTAACAATAAGATCCAATTTCACAGCGTTCTCTCATGTCCCTCCGTCATAAGCTATCTAAAATGGTACTCTGCTTTTTTTCAGTAATATCGTAGACGCTATACATAGTACGCCAGGAAGTATTTAAACTCGGTTGCTATTTTTCCAGAACTGTCTAAATGGATACATTCTGCATTTTAGGTTCAAACCATTAAAAAACCTCGGCATTGAAACCTGGTCACTTACAATTAGACATACCGTCCGCTTTTTAGGTTCAATGACTAGAGGTGCGGCTTCGGAATGCGGAACTTGCGGCCACTGATCCCGAAACACGGACGGTATGTCTACACAGCCATGATTACGGCTGGCTGTATGTCTGCCTGACCAAATATAGGTATTCCAAAAGAGTTACCAAAAAAAAAAAAAAAAAAAATATAATATCCCAATATACGTGTGGTTATTTCGCTATCTTTCTTTTGTGTGACTTCATGTTATCATTGTATAAAATTGTAAACACAATCCCTCCGTTAAAAATCTGTCTTTTCTTGGTTCCAATTTGTATAAACTTTTTAAATTCATTTAAACAAATAATAAATAAGTAAATACCTGTAAGTTAAAAAAGCTCCAGTGTCATTCATGTCCAATGAACCGATTAGTTTCAGTTGATCGTGATTTTATGTTTGAGGAGGATAGGACTTGGAGTGCTTAGACGATGTAATGTGTTTTGATAACCGTTAGTTTTACTCATTAGTGGTTGGTTTATGATTGCAGCCCTAAATATGTCAAACGACGTGGCGGGGGCGACATTTATGGCAGCCGCTACGTCGGCGCCAGAACTTTACGTCAACGTGATAGGCACCTTCATCACAGAAGGAGACATAGGCGTTGGCACTATTGTAGGAAGTGCCGTTTTCAATATCCTAGCCGTGGCTGCTTGCTGCGGCATCGGGGCCAGCATGGTGAGTTTTCTTCTCTAGTGGGACTGCATTTTGCAATTGTTAGAAACAACGTATGTGCCATAAGTTTCTCTATGCAGATAGGAGCTTCTATGGATGAGCCTGAAGTTTTATTTGCTATAGTTCGAAAATTTAGTCCAGTTTTCAGTAGGTACCTTACCAAGGACTCTTTACCAAACATACAGCATTTTGCCGTGTAAAAGAGGGCAAGATATCTCAAGAAAATTGAACAAGACAGAGAAATGGGAACATTTTTTCATCTTTCTTGCACTAAAGTCATTTTTTTCTATTTTTCGTGATCGAAATTTAAAGCCTCAGAAAGCATCGCTCCGAAATGTTTACGTGGGAATTGGAAGACTCTAGAATTTTATCAGTGATTCAAAGACCAAAAGCAAGACCAAGCAGTGGTGACAACTGCGCGGATAATTGTTTCACTTCTTCCTTTATCCGGAGAAGATATTGATGGCCGAAGTACGAGACCACCTATCTTCATTCGCAACGTTGCAGACTCCCCATCATATTTTATTTTTTCTACGGAAAACTATAGGCAACGAAATTTCTTGAAACTCCCTTGATTTTTCTTTTCCGTCGGGAGAAGATTCTGTAAAAATTCAAGCTATTAAATTGACTTGTTTTTCTTCGATAAAATAAAATACAAATGGAAATTTCACGGAAAATTTGAAACATTGCAATGGAGATACGTGGTTTCGCACTTTGGCCATCGATATACCTCTATAGTTTAATTTCTTCTCTTCAGCATCCTGCTCAATTCCTCATTGATCTCAAACTTGCTTTACTGAAAATATAATTGATAGAACCCTTCGCAGGATGGTACCCGCGCAGTCTCATTTTCAAAGTGTCTGCGATGACTTAATAAGAGGCCTGTTATAAACTGAATTAAAAAGACCTAACAAAGATCCAAAATTTCAAAAATAAGAAATATTAGAAGGAGACCCTAGATCTACAATAAAATTATTAATTTGGCTCAGATTAAACTTACGAACAAACTTATAATTGTACATTTAGATTTTTATTCGTAAGGGACCCCTACACTTTTCAGTTATTCATTCTTTTATTTCAGGTGGTGCCTCTGCACTGGTGGCCTCTGACGAGAGACTGCATAGCATACGGCATCACGGTTACCATTCTCATCTGCATCATCCATGATGAGCGCATAGAGTGGTACGAGGCTCTCATACTTGTTATCTTATACGGTGTTTACATCCTAGGTAATCAACAAAAACGAATTTATGGCTGCTATATTTTCAGCTAACCTTTTAAAACACGGATCGACTGTTTTACGTAAAGATATTAACTATTCCAACAGATTTCGTCGATTTCTCAACCGGAGTAATACTGAATGCACTTTATTTTGCTAAATTTCCACAGATACCTTGGAGCTGTTCATAAAATACGTAACACTGTAAGGGGGAGGGGGTCTGCGTCAGAGTTACGGGTGCGTTATACAGGGAAAGGGCGTTCAAGGCTGCGTTACGTAGCACTAGATTGGTCGCGTGGCACCGGTTTTGTCTAAAACCTAAGTTAGAAAACCAACGTAAAGTGACAATTTTTCAATCAAAATTCGTAACAAATTGCTAATTTGAGCGGCGGTTGAATCAAGCGGTACGCAATTTTTTTTACGGGAGAGTAGATCTACGCTAAGGGTGTTTTACGAAGGGATGAGAGGTTAAAAAAATCCGATGCTTAGCGTTACTGATTTTATATGTGACCCTCTTATTTTTCTTCAAAAGTACAATATTTTGACCACAAAAGTTCCGGTTAAGTTTCTCTTAATATGAAATATTTTTTTCGGCTCAGTACGACTATACACTTTTTTTGGTAGTATTGAGAAGAGACGGTTCGCAATGTTTCTAATATATGAGCCTGTTTTCCTTTTCTTGTTCCCGATCTCCTTGTGTACTTAGATGTCTATTATAGACGATACGTGTTTCAAGTTTTGCGAAGCTCATCTCCACGTCCTTAAAATTTTTTGATGGATTACATCGCACGCCATATTGTGAGAAATTGTTATATATATTGTTATTGATAAAACGAACGAAACCGAGAAGCTATAATTTGAGCCGCAGGGCAACCGTGATTTTATCGTTATTTTCCATTTCCATCTTAAAGTTTTTTGTTTTCGTTCGTTTTATCAATTTTTCGTTTCACAATGTGACGTGCGGTGTAATTCGTCAAAAGTTATTAAGGACCTATAGGGTGAGCTTTAAAGCTTGAAATACGCGTCGCCTTGACATCTAAGTACAAAAGGAGATTGGGATCAAGAAAAATAAAACAGGTTCATACACTATTGCCCCATAAAGTATAAGCATATTCACCCTGTTTCTACTATAACTATTTTGCAAGTTCGCCTGCACGATTTGAGTAAATTATTAATTATAACACTTTCCGCAGAAAATTCGTAAAGTTCGCAGGAAGTAAGTTTTTGAAATTTAAAACTGTTCTAGTCAATACGGCAGCATATTTTTCCCTCGATTTTTTCCGTGGATGCATTTTCAATAAAAATGTACATTTTTTCTTTTTGTTTCAGTCATGTACTTTGATAAAAATATTCAATCTTGGGTGCGAAAGCAGCTGAAGAAGCGAAAGGGGGTGAATGATCAAAACAATGATCAAAATAACGACCAGAAGCAACCAACAGAAGTAATAACTATTGGTAATCTTGAGGAGACATTTTGAATTTACTTTGCAAACTAATCAAATCACGTTTAGATATTAAGATTCCATAATTCTAGATGCTGTCAGTTAGACAGTTAAGAAACATAAGGTACTGCCAATTTATAAAATTTCAGAACACGATGCTGTAAACTTACTGTTAATTTTATATGCGAATCAGGGCCGGATTTAGGGGGTGGCCACATGGGCCGCAGCCCATGGCGACAAATTTAGGGGGCAGCAAAGTTTGCAATTTTTTTAATTGTAGGTATAACAAAAATCGAATAAAGAAAAAAATTACAAACGAGGAACGACGACAAAATCTCTCATTTTCTGAGAGTAAAGTAATTTCTAATTTTATCACTTTTCGGTGATACAAGAGACAGCACCTTTAATTAGGAGAGTTAAGAGATAAACCAAACTCGCAATTTGGCCTGGAGTGGCGTGGCGGCGCAGAGAGCAATGATGACAAGGACTTGATATGAAAATGAGAAGCCCTCGGCGTGGCGGTCGGCATGTAATGTAACACACATTAGCGCCTACAAGACTGCATGAATACTTCACGCATTGCGTCGAACATAATGCGTTCAGCAGCGGTTGGCGTGAAAGGCATAGCGCCTACAAGACTGTAGGAATACTTCACGCATTGCGCCAAACACAATGCGCTCAGCTCATGCAGCGATCGGCGTGAAATGCATAGCGCCTACAAGACTGTGGGAATACTTCAGGCATTGCGCCAAACACAGTGCGGTCAGCGGGGCGCGGAGCGACTGCGGAAGTTACAAATATGCCACTTTATGTTTGTTCTCTCATAATTTTTTAGTTTATTTCTTACAATTGGATGGCCTTGTCTACACAGAGATAGGTTTACGGAACTTAAATTTCGCGCAAAGTTCCGTGCACTTTGGCCAATAGTGTTGATTGATGTTTCAAAACGAATGACAGGGGGGCGGCAAAATACAGGCGGCCTACGGGCGGCAAGTAGGTAAATTCGGCCCTGATAGGAATGAGAGATTAATTCTACGTATTGTTCGTATGATGTCATTTAAGGATAAAATCGACTTCATACAAGTCTTGAGTTTAACGATGAGACTACTGCAACTCGAAGCACATGCACTGATCAAAGTAACTTGTTTTCTTACGTTTGATAACGTGAAATTTTTCACATCGTTTTTTACCTTTAACTTTTGGATATAATCTGTGCTTCGATGAGGATCGAACAATTCTGAGGTACTAATGTTCACTCAGAGTTAAAATTATAAAACCAAGAAGAAATAATTGATCAAACATTTAGCAAAGAGTCTTATCTACATATTTGGTAAATTTTTTGGACTTGAAATAACTGCATGGTCCTTGTTTGACTCTCGCTACGCAAAAATGAAGTGAACGAGCTGAAAATCGTAGCCGATTGGCTACAGAACTTACAAACAAATTTCCGAAATGCAAGAGATTACGAAAAGAGATAAGGCAATGCACCTGACGTAATAGTATTAATGTAATTTATTACGTATCAAGCTTAAAACTATTTAATTTCCGTCTCCATGTCCACAGAATCAAACGACAAACTTGACTCAATTCAAATGGCTCAGTCTCCTCAACAAAACGGAACAATTGTTAAGCCCAACGCCGATGAAATCACACCAGAGAATGATAATGAATCATCTGGAGGTAAATTCGTTATTTAACTTAAAATCTGAGGGTTTAAAAAAAGGATTTGGCTCATCATACTTTCGCTTATTACATTTTCTGCTACAAATTGTAAACAAGGATCCCCGAAGTATAATATTCAAGAAAAATAAGAAGATTAGTCATTTCCAAGAATTTCCAATATAATGGTCCAAGTGGCAATGATTATCGCCCCCTTCCCTCTTAAGATGCAAACAGCTGGATTTCATTTAGCAATTAGCAACTACAATTTCTGGCTCAGCTTAGGAACAACGTATTCTGTACGTTTTCCTAAAGGGGTCTTTACTTTTTAGGGATGAGCCTGGCATTGTAGTTCCCAATTGTAAAATGAAGTGCAACTAAGCAAGGTAAGGAGTAGAGAATCAATTTAACTTATTATCTCTTTTATGCTGCAATTGACCGTTTTGCAGTTCTTGGACTTTTCAGCTATCCAGAGAAAGGAGGATGGTTCCGCAAGGCGCTATGGATGCTCGTGTTGCCTATCCACGCGGCGTTTTATATCACAATTCCTGACTGCGAAAACCCGCGCTTCAAGAGATTTTATCCTCTCACATTCACCATGTGCATTGTCTGGATAGGCAGCCTTTCCTATTTCGTTGCCTGGATGATTACAGTAGTCGGTGAGTGAACTTGATTTTGTTCTTTAGGCAATTGCACTAGACATAGGACTGAATTTTTATAATTATTAAAATTGAATCGAATTTAAAAGGGGGGCAGAGCAATTAAGAGAAAAGGAAACGCAAGAAAAAGGTAAAAATAAAAAAGAGGGAGGAAAAGAAAAGTGAACGAAAATGAAGAGACAAAAAGAAAAAACGGGGGATAGGGGCAGGAAGAATGGGAACGAAGATGAGAAGGTATTCATATGAGGGCTACAGGCGTCAGCGCCTCTTTCGATCGTAAATCACCCTTCAGAGCTTCATTTTTAAACAAATCGACGGCCTTTGGTAGCGTCTTTTGTCTCTTTTTAAAAAGAAGAAGCTCTTGTTGGAGCCTCGTCCTTACGAGAGGCACATTCGACGACGGAGAATGACCTTAGACACCGAGTACTTGCATCATTTAAAAACGCAATTAACAGAGTAGCAATGACGATTTCTCAGTAAAGCGGTTGCTTCAGATAGTCATTTGATGAAGATTGACGAGGCATAAGAAACGCCTTCATTGGGAAAAGATACTTCCAAGCGTGATCGCGGAGGCCGAATAGTTGCATCATTCGAAAACCCAATAACAGTGTAGCAGCACGCGCATTGGTGAGGAAATGCAGATGAACATTTCGATATCGGGGACGGGATTTGAATCACCATTTTAAAATTTTACGGTAAAAAAAAAGGAAAAAATTGTACACACCTGATTGATTTCGTATCGACATTGTGCACAAATCATACGTATTCTTTTGATCCCAGGCGATACTCTGAATATTCCGGATTCTGTTATGGGAATTACGTTTCTCGCTGCGGGAACCAGTGTGCCGGAAGCAGTTTCTAGTGTCATCGTCGCAAAACAAGGTACGTTCTTTTCATTCCATGATATTTTCTCACATTTAGTTGTACTAGATGTAATGCCTGTCCCTATTAACTCCATGCACCAACAATATTTTCAAGTCATTGAAATTTTTTGGCTCCAATGGATCTCCTGCAGAATTTTGCTAGAACGAGGAAAAGTGTTGTTTCTGAAGGATAATTTCTTAAAAATTGAAGTGTGCGAATTTGAAAAGTGTGAAATTTACCCTTACTTCACACTGTATACAAAAAAACTTAACTTCTCACCTCAAAATGTAAACTATGGCACACCCAAAATTTGGTATGGTTGAATCACCCTGCAATTGTAGATTCTTGTGAAACTGAGAATAACCGCCCTGAAAAAGGGGCAAAAACCCTGGGGGCTATAAGGGTGGGCTGACTATCTTTTCCGCACAAAGTACATTAGTGGTAATTTTTTCGATTATCGTTGCCGCACAAAACCACTTTCGCACAAATAATACTCTGTAGTATATGGCAACGTCAAGAAAAATATACGGCATATTTGAGAAAAATGAGTGCACACAGATTGCAAAAATTATTTCTTACCTTACACAGTAGTCCAACAGGGATCGTCAGGGTCCAGATTTTCGTCCGTGAAAAAGAGTGAGCATGGTTGTCCTGCTCAGCTGCTGTGCGATGTTGCCAGATGTTTGAGATTTGATTTGTGCGAAAATGATTTTGTGCGGCAACGATAATCGGAAAAATTCCACAAATGTACTCTGTGCGGAAAAGATATTCTGCCTAAGGGTGGTGCGGGACTTTTGGATCACCCTCCATAAAATGTGGCTCTTTTTTACCCTTCACTGGAAAAAAACACATTGGATCTAGAGTCCAGACTCTTGAAAACATTGACAAGAAAAAATACTCTTGATTCAATCGGATTTTTGCTTGAATCAAAACGAAATCCGCTTAAATTAAGAGGCTTGGTTCTTGATTTAAGCTAGATTCTGATTGAATCAAGAGTACTTTTTCTTGTCGATGTTTTTAAGAGTCTGGACTCTAGATCCAAAGTGTTTTTTTTTTCCAGTGTTGAATATTACGAGGTGAATATTGAAATAAATAATGTTTTGATATGATGGTGAAACGGTTGCAGGTCACGGCTCAATGGGAATCAGCAACTCTCTGGGTTCAAACACGTTCGACATCCTGTTGTGTCTGGGCCTGCCGTGGTTCATAAAGGCCTCGTTCCTGCCCACCGACGCCGGCCGCCATTTCGTGAGCATCAACTCCCGCGGACTCGAGTACTCGGCCATCTCCCTCCTCTCCACCCTCCTCCTCCTCTACTGCACTTTCGCTCTCAACAAATTCTATCTCGACAGAAAGGTATGCATCCTTCCATCCTCACTTCTAGATCAACGCTCATACTGCCGTGCTAAGGAAGAACGCCGTAAGAACATTCGGGAGTTGCCAAATTTCCCTTGATAAAAAATGTATTTTTGACGCAATTCTAACATACTTTCCCTTGAAATTTTCAGATATTTTAGATTAAATTGGGTGCAAAACTGTCTAAAAATTCTGGGGAAAAATAGTTGCAATTTTCGCAGTAAATTCGATTTCTATCGAAGGACATTCGGCAACGTCTGAAGGCTCATACACTGTTCTTCCTAAGCACGGCAGCATAGTTGGGCTACAGTTTGCGATAAGGAACTAGATCAGGCTCATTTTAAAAGCAACGGAGATTGGGTTTTTGAGCCATGCAACTATTCAACCTCCGCGGTCACGCTAGGAAGTATCTTTTCACAATGAAGGCGTTTCTTATGCGTTGACATTCTTCATCGAATAATTATCTAGAGCAATTGCATTTCCTTAATCTACGTTCCTTTGTAGATGGAGATTCCTCCTTCTTCATCTTACTCTTCCCCTCTTCCTTCCACTCTTTTCTTTTCTCTGTCTTCCTCTTTTTCTTCTTGCCATTCTCAAATCACTACGTCTAAGACATCTCCTTCCTTTTCTCCTCACTCTCTTTTTCTCTCTCTTCATCTGTCTTCTCTTCTTTCCCTTCTCTTCCTCTTCCTGGTTTTCTCTTCATCTTTCACACGCCTTTACCTTAGGATGATAGGTGCTTTTAAAGATGAACCAGAAATACTAGTTCCTTATTACAACCTACAGTTCAACTGGACGTATTACTACCAAACGGAACTATGTGCATTATGTTGTGAGCCCTGTTATGCATATATTCTTATGGGTCTCGGGGCTCATGACTTAATGCACAAATTTGTAGTTCCATTTGGTAGAAATACGTCCAATTTATACTAGTAAAAAACAAGACAGATCGCTAAAGATCGTTGCCAAAGTCAGACATTTTTCATGGCTGACGTGGGGAGGGGGGCCCACGATCAAAATATTTCGTAAGGGGTGGGTCTGGAGTGAAATATTTTTAAAAGTTTCAAAAATACTCATCTTATTTGAGGAAAATTTCGGCCTGAGGTAGAGCCAGGGGGAAAAGAAAGTTTCGTTTGTGCATGAAATTACACAAATATTGATGAAAAATGTAACTCATACTCAAATCAAATTTTCGACGACATGACGCACGTATTTTACAACCCCTAGCTATGTTGATTAAGCCACCTCACCTAGTCACGCGTTTACCACTAGTAGGCTTACACTGGCAAGATATAAATGACTTAAATTTAAAGAATGAATGGAATTTTCATTCAAAGGATTTCCTCTGAACTTCAGACTAAAATCGCTCGAGTCAGGCAGGTTTTAGTTTGACATAAGTGACTTTCTTTTCGATGCAAGCAATTCTTCTCTTCAAGAATACTTCCACTGAAATCAAGTCAGTTTATTTTCCAGTATAAAAAGCTGAACCAAATTTTTACCGTATAAAAAGATAAATGATAAGATAAATTACCCCCCCCCCCCCCCCCCATGTAACATCAACTGTTCGGGGAAGGGGGGATTTAAACTGTAAGTGGAGGGGAATTCTTTTCCAGTATAGTTCGAAGGAAAATTTACGAGAGGCAAATAAGTTTTGAAAAGAATCTTGAAAGATCTACCATATTTTAATACTTAAATTGTTGAAGAATATGCTCATGAACATAGTATTTCAAAGACTTTTTAACTGAAATTTTATCTAAAACGATACTGAATGAGGATTTTTTTCTGCGAGCGTGTAGACAGTTTTTAGGAGTTTTCTTTTAAAAAATGCTTTACAACAATCGCTGCCACTGGGGAACACCCATTGTGCGACAGATTGCGTCATAGCACAGGATGTGAGCAAAGCACGTTAAGTGAGTATCAGTCTGGGTTAAATAGGACATGAATCTCGCTTTGATCTGAATCGAGACTTGAGAACAATTATTTTCCAAGAGCGCAAAGCAACAAGAAAGTGCCAACATCCGTCTTTGAAACTCCGTCCTGTACAGGTTAGCTCTGTCTGCCAGAGTGGTGAGTTGTTAGGAGCGATATACAGTTCAGTCTGGCTCCAAAATGCGGGTGTGCAGTTCCAAAGCCTACAGTTAATAGAGTATCTATACTGCTGTGCTAAGGAAGGAAGAACGTCGTATGAGCCATCAGGCGTTGTCAAATTTCGTTCGACAAATCAAGAATTTTTAGGAATATTTAAGAATATTTCTCTTCGGGTTTTTAGAGGATTTTGTTCGTCACTTGAACTGAAATGTTTGAGAATTTCAAGGGAATATATGCATGAGTTTCCTCAAAAATACATGTTTTATCTGGGGAAATTTGGCAACTCTCGAATGTTCATACGGCGTTCTTCCTGAGCATAGTATATATGTATACATTTTTTTTACTACTTCAAATAGATCGAGATTCTTTCAAATTACCATTTTTCATAGTGTCATGTTGATGACTGCCTTAAATGTTCCCTAATCACAATGTAAACCATAGGTATGAGGTCTCTTAAGGAAAGGAGCTGTCTGAAGAATGCCAATAAATATACGGTTCAAGGAGACTTTCAAATCAAAGGCATTTAAACTTGACGTTTTCTTCCAACAGGTGGGGCAAGCTTGTTTGGCAATGTACATCTTGTTCCTCATATTGGCGACTCTGATAGAGCTCAACGTGTTTTTCCCAGTCAACCTTCCAGCGTGCATCAGGCCACAACAGTGAAACCACCCAACAGACCCCCGACGGAGGCCAACGATCTCTTGATTTAGATTTTTTGTCTTTTCTCTCCTCGAAACGCAAAAAACAAACAAATAAGTTATTTTATTTTAAGTTCCTAGTTTTACTGGATGGAGCAATACATTTTGTAATCTCGAGTGCAAAGTATGATTTTTTATATGAAGACCCCCACGGATGTGTATTTATTAAATAAATTTATATTTTAATCTTTTTGGATATCATAATTAGACACTTTGGGATGAAGGACGTCTGGTTTGAATAAATACGTACAACTAAGGAGGAGAAATCCGGAATATTCGACGATGAGAAAAAAGTAGTAACGTGGCGTTCTATACGATACATCGATTGATCTGTCCTTTAAACCTATGGAAAAGGATCAATAAACAGGGTGTCCGCAACGAACACCTTAATAATCGATTCTTTACCATAGATTCAAAAGGAAAAATATCGATACTCGATCATTCACGCCTCGCTACGAGAAAAAGGTCTCTACTTCAGGAAGAAACACGTTGTCTTTATTACTTACTTCTTTTTGATACCATAATTTTGGATCAAATAAGCGCGATTATGCAAAAGAAAAAAACGTATCTTAAAATCCACTGTTTTTTTATTTATTTTTTTTATTATTATTATTTTTTTTAAATTATTAATGTTGGTTTTACCTTAAAGGATATTTTTTGCTGTCAGTGTTTTATTAAAAGAATAGAGGTCTTAAATGACGACTTTCGCGATTCGGCGAGTGGTGAATTAGTCCATGTCTACAGCCACAGCCACACGTCGGATGTTGCTCGGCACTTTATTGGCAGACATCAAATTTCTGAATTCCTATAGCGAGGAGATAGACTGCGTGCCGAGTAAAGAGTGTACACTACTTAACAGCAATTGGCTAATGGATAAAAATACCAAACATTTGATGACGGGGGAGGAGCACTACGAACAGTAGGGATGATGTAAGGCCAACTTCGAGCAGGAGTGACGAATGCCGAGCAGGTCCATTCGGCTTAGAAATATATGAAAACTTTTTTCGCAGCAGCTGAAATTTTATTTAGCGTAATTATAGCCTCCTTGAAGTAACAAGTATTCTCTTAGCGGAACCAGAGACTGCAAAAGAAAGTTGAATGATCCTGATTTTTCTTAATATTCACACCCTTTTTAAAGGCCCGGCAAGAACCAGCTTGAAAGACACTCACAGCGGAAAGACAATCGGAAATCGTGTTCAAAGTTGAACTCAACAGGCAGGTATGATTAAAAACGGGGGAGAGAAAATATTGTACAAAATTCACACGCGGAAACAGAACCGTTCAACAGAAATTCATGTGCTGAACAGTATGCCAACTGTTGATTAATACACTTCGGGCTGGTGTGACAATGTGACATAAGTCCAATCTTTTCTTTCCCCAGTTCTAATACGTGCTCCTAGCTAGTAGCTTGGTCACTCGTCAATGACATTCGTCGATCATTGAAGTATCGCTGCAATGCTGAAGAAGAACGTAGTATGAACATTATCACGTTGTCAAATTTCCCTTCGTAAAATATTTATTCTCGGAAAAGTTAATGGACATTTTCTTTTGAAATTTTCACATAAATAACTATATGTTGCGGAGAAAACGCTTTAAAAAATTTGAGGAGAAAAATTCCACAATTCCTCGAAAAATTCGTGTTTAATTAAAGGAAATTTGGCACCATCCGAGTACTCATACGACATTTCTCCTTAGGGCGCTACCGAGCGGCCGCTGAACGTGTCGAATGGTCGTTGAGGCTAGGAGATAGATTTTAAGGCTTCACGAGGCTATTTTTACTTGAGGTTCGATATATCCTTGACACTATTATCACCTCGGCCTACCAGGGTCAATAGAGTGCCCTGCTCATCATTTCGGCGTGGTCGCTGGCGCCGTTACACGTTTACATCGTCGCTTCCCTTGACCACTTCTATGAACTAGTAGCGCGACATTGATCTCTTTAACCTGATCGTTACGGATGGAAACAGGAAAATTGCAACTGAGTAGAATGAGCATGTTCCGAATAGAAACTGGAGCAAAAGGGACTATTGTACTTCAGGGGGATTCGAGAACGATTTGAAAGTCAATCTCGTTATGCATAATTTCTTGAATTTTGAAATTGTCCCGCTCGTTTGTCGCCCTGAATCCAGCAACGACTCATTAAACATTGACGCATGCTCGTCAAATAAGCAACAACACATAATATACAGCATACATATGCATTTGACATTTGTGACTCAGGCTGGATAAATTGCGCCAGCTCTACGAATCTTTTGACATTGAAAAGTAATTATTACGGCCAATACGGCCTAAAAAAGGATAGATGTGTTCGAAGGGGCAGTTGTGAAGAATTAAATTGTGTTGAATAAAAAGTGGGAGAAGATACATTAAGAATATTATTTGAACTAAATTTTGCTAGAAATATACTATTTCTAGCTTACCTTAGAGACAAAAATTTGTGCCAGCAGTTTCCCCTTGCAGATATAGGTCCTTCTAACAGTGCACCGTTGAGTATTCGCGAGGTCGGATCAACAATCTGTTTGGTTAAATCAAGCGAATCTATGGGCTACTCCAAGCATGAGCGGAACTAGGGACTTTTCGTGGGGGGAGGGGGGGGAGGGCACCTCCGTAGTGCTGCAGGATTAATTGGAAGTTTTTTTTACGGACAAAGGTCGAATCCTGGGGGCATCGCGAAGAGCAGTCTACGAATTTTGGACGATCCCAAAATGAACACAGACTTCGAGATTTGCCGAGCAGAGCGCCATGTGCTCAAATTTCACCATTTGCCCGTCACAAATGTATTTACGCTAAAGGAAACTAGGTATTTAGAAGAATAAATTCAATAGGAACTACTAATGAGACACGCAAGTTATTTGTACATGCTTAGTTCCTTTTGATTTAATTAATGTGCGCACATGTCTGTTTAGCATAATTTCGTGCAATTAGGAATTGATGCGATCGTGTCCTGAGGTAGGATTAGAGAGGCTCTTCAAAAGCATCTTTTCAAGTCTACCAGAACAAGGAGCCTCCTAAAGTAATGAAAAATAAATGTTACTATGGCTTCATCCTGTATTTTGTCACTGGAATGATATTCATTGAGACACTGAACGTGCTAAATAGCCCTCTGCCTATGAAGAGTTCTCTTGTCGGATAATAAGTGTATGGATATGAGTATAAGGAGGACGTGTCGAGGACTGAGGAATAACAATTGCCTTCAATATGAGCTGATATGCAACCCCTCGACCGCAGTTTTTAAATAGTTATCACCTCAATAAATAGGAGCTGGTCAGAGAGCGCTACCAACAATGAACGTACTTTGACGGACTTTGGTCTACTCGAAAAGGCAAATACAGTATCAAATTAAAAGAAAGTTTATTGGAAATATTAAATGCTGACGAGTACTTTTTAATTTGAAAATTAGTTGAAGCATTAATAAGAGAAGTTGCATATTGACTGCAGGATTAGAAGGGCAAGGGGTGCAAAAACAAAAAAAGCAAGTAGAGAGGGACAAGCCACCGATTAAAAAGGTATTACACTGATCCGAAGATACTGCAACAAATGAGGTGACAAAATGCTTGAGAATGTGATATACAGACGTTGCGCGAGAATACATCTAAACAAACGGTCAAACACTTGTAACACATGCTTCACCTGTGTTGCGATTAATTTGACTGATGCAGAAGAAGTGTGCAAATTATGTATAGCTCTAATCTGTTTCATTCAAACCCATACATTTGAATTCGACCTACAGAATGAACCACCAGATAGGGTAGAACTCTTTGAAAATCCAAAAATTGACTGAGTGAAGAGTAATTAGCATGTTTAGTTCATACTAGAATCAATGAATTTAAACGGTTCTCTCACGATAAACGACCAATTTATGAGCTGAATTTGAAAATTTTAAATGGGCTCACTTCATTCTACACACGATCTTAATGATAAAACACAGTTGTGGTGTGTAATATATAAACCATAGTCATTAATTAATTAGGTAAGACTTTGGGATGATTTATCTTTCTACCCTTCTCGTGACATTTGGTAACGAATCCCGATCTTCCCCAAAATTTTGGAGTAGAATTTTCAGTCTCTATTTAATCTTAGTTTCTTAAATCATGTGTATGTATCACGGGAAAAAATTTCGGAGAGCTACTTTAAGAGTTCCTCTTAATATTTGCTCTCTGTTAATATCCTGTCCTGTTAATATTTACTTCTGCGGATTTTTCTATGAGACACCAAAGTGTCAAAATACGAGATTCCCGCCAATTGAACGAGAAGCCCTTTTGGAGGAAGGGGAGCTCCGGTTGCCTAAAAGAAAAATCCGATAGGAAAATATTAACAAGACGTTGGGAAAGTTTTAGTGCTCAAATTCAGTTGCGTCATTAGAAATGGGACTGCAAAGGAGCCAATGGCGATGCTTGGAAGTTGGCAACCGTTGTTTCTCAATTTAAATGTATGTTAAACAATCGATTTTAGGTAAGGCAGCCTGTCTCGACTCGATATATTCAATGGATTTCAAGGGAGTATTAACGGTGTTGCCAACTTGCTAGGATCGCCACTGAAGGGAGCAAACGACCTTCAAATGACGATACGAGGAATTGTCGGGAAACGTGACAAGTGCAACATCGATGACTCACGTGTCTAATATAGTATTGCCGGACTTAGGAAACTCTTCGTAAAAATATTCGGATGTCACCAAATTTCTCTCTATAAGATATTTCTTTTGAGGAAAACCAATGAAAATTTTCCCATGGAATTTTCGGATACTTCGGATTGGGTTGCGAGAAAAACTCCTTGAGAAATTGGAAGAGGGATATCCAAAAACATACCTGATAATCCTTATTTTATCCAAAGAAAATTTGGCAACGTCGGAAAGATCATACGGCGCTCTTGCTCAGGACGACAAAAATAAATTGGGATCGTTGAGAGCTCATGGGCTCATCTTCGTTCGGGAGGAGATCCGTTGACCCTGTCCCTGTCTGATGAGCGTCCAAGGACAAGGAAGAGGGGGCAAGGGACATGCAGCCAAAGGCCGTTGTCCGACGTCTTGACTTAAAAGTCACGGACACATCTCAAGGAGCTCGGACAGGAGGAGACGTTGTTACTATGCTTTAATGCCTTCTGCCACGGTTATGGCCACATAAGTTCCACGGTTGTCAAGTTGCATATAGTTAAAGTCGACTCAAGATGGATCGATCTTCAGTCTTTAGTTCCGTAAATCGTCACCTCTTCGTTGTAAAGTATATTTTTCCCATTGCATGAGTCAATATGCAGAAAAAAAATTGGAATGTCAGTCTCGAGCTGAATGTAGATGCAAAAGCCATCCTTTAGAACTTCAAAATAGTATCAAAGGTGCTGTCTTCAATTTTCAACAGATTTCGACGTATCGAAATCGATTGTTATATTTTTATACACAAGGGCACAGACTTGCCCGACGGGGGAGAAAGAGGAGGGGGCCCTAAAAATCGGGGTGACTGTTTTCGTAATTTACAAACATTTTTTAGCAGCAATATCCAAAATCAACACATAATGGAACACCTTATATATTTTTCGCCGAAACCGGTCAACTGATACTTCCCGGTTAAGGAAAACACCGAATCTAGTGGAAGAAATTCAAAATTTCACGTAAATGGAGGAGGTAAGTAAAATTTTTCAATTTTTGGACGAAAAACTTCAACGTTTGAGAGTTACAAAAATATGCACCTCAGGTCTCGTTACTCGTAAAAAGATGAACTTTTTTCATAATAATTGTTTTAAAGTTTTTAATTAAAATACATACATACAAGTCGCTTTACAGCACTCCCTCGCGCTCTACGACTCCTAACCTCCACTGCTCTCTTTCAAACCACAAATCTTGGGGGATTGAGCACCTTAACATTTCTGCTTCAATCCCTTCCCTCCAACCTTTCATAGGGCGCCCTCTGCGTCTTCTCCCAGGAGGAACCCAGTCAAGGACCTTCTTCGGCAACCTGTCTCCTGCCATTCTCTGGACATGACCATACCAGATGAGTTGTTTTGTCATAATATCATGCACGATGGTCTGCTTGGCATCCATGATATCCCGTACCGTCTCATTCCTGACGCGATCCTTTCTGGAAATACCAGCGGATCTACGCCAGAAGTCCATCTCTGTTGCCTCTAAAACCTCCCGGGTCCGCTGTTTCATCGGCCATACTTCACACCCGTAGGTTACTATGCTCTTGGCAATCGCGTTGTAAATCCTCCTTTTGTTCTCTTTGGAGATCCTTTGGTCCCAAAGGATTTAATTAAAATGCCAAGCTAAAAACTGAGTTGTATTTCTTTATTTATTTACTTTTTTAATGTCAAGTTCAGTCTAAAATGAGTTTTGCTAAAAACCACGAATGGTCTTTTTCTTCGATAGATGAAATTTTTAAACTTATAAAGGGAAAGTCAAAGAATAACACGGAAAGTTAAGAATATTTTGAAGCGAGTCAAGATTATACTAATATACTTATTTAATGACTTCAGCACACTCTGCAACTTCAGTGTTTTGACTACCGAAACTATTGAATTGATGTGCAAGGTAAATTTTACTTCACAAAAGTGTGTTGAATTATATAATTTTCAGCTGTTGATCGTAATTGACATGGAAAATTTTATTGAGAGATCATGTTCATTTTAATTGGTGCTTAGTTCTCATCGAAAGATTCCTGCATCTCAGGGATTTGTAGATTTCTATTAAGATTAAACACTTTTTATAACGCGTACTTCTAGAGCGCCGGCTCAGATCGTGGTTAAAAATCGTGAACTTCAAAATTTAGTTGAAATTTTTACTTTTGGAATTACGGAGCATGTGGACAACTACTCCCAGTAACCAAACATTATGCCATAGTTTGAGAATTCATTCTGATTTATTTCCTGCGTGGAATTAAAGAGCATTAAGCAAGAGATCACAAGATTAGATTTTTATCTTGACCGTGTTAATTTTAATTCTCTGATTTGAACAAACCTTCACAAAAATTACAAATGTTTTGATTTTTCACAAAATTTGACAACAGCCCATAACATTCACTTTTTGCTCTAAAAGAGGCGAGAAAAGGCATATAGACTACAATGTTTTTATCAGAAGAGCACAATTGGTGGTGATGCCAAATCAGACGAGTTTTACATTATTGTTGCAAGTAAATATTACTAAAATGAAAAGAAAACTAGTAATTTTGTTGCAGTCGTTTGAAATCGAGTTGTGATTACAGAGCACTTCATTTGCATTCGACCTTACTGTCTTGATCGAAATTATTGTGCATCATACACAATTGAGTAGTATTTTTAAATAACTTGGCAAGGACTTGACAAAATTTGAAACTGACTTAGGTCGGTCATTATGGTATATTTATTCTGCATTTTATAGCAGTGGCGATTCCTGAAAGTTCGCAACGCTGTTTTTCTCCGTTTAAATGTATGTAAAATAATCGATTCTAGCAGTCTGCAGCCTGTATCACCTAGAATCGATATATTCAATGGATTTAAACTGCATACTGACAGTGTTTCCTACTTGCTGGAATCGCCCCTGTTCTATAGGTTACTTGGTACAAGTCGAAAATTACATACATCAACGGCAATTTTAAAAAATCCCTGGTTATGTTTAATTTTTGAAAAGAAAACTAACCGCGAAAGAATGGTCTTCTTTCAAAAAATAAAACAAGAGCAGAGACTTGCGATGTGGCAATCAGAAATGCGCAATTTTCGACTGGTCATCGATTGATGAAAACTAGAATTGAATTCTTGGGGGCTGTAAGGGAAAGGTAAATGTATGATCTCTTTTTCGCACCCTCTGAGATCACCTCGTGCTCAGCGTTTTTCTAAAAGGCGTGCTCAGAACCGGGGTTACTGAATGCAATTGTAAGTCGACGGTGAAACTGCCAAATGCTAATCTTGGTTTTTGACGCTGCAGATTTCAATTCAAAACTTATATTTAAGTAAGATTCAACGTCATTTCTTTGAAATTTTATTCATTAAGGTTCATTAGGTTCTTTTCTGCGTGAGGACGATTCTGGAAAAAGTTCAGACAATAGTGTTGATTTGTTCCCAGTTAGTAATGATAGGTATTCGCGTTTATGTAGTTTTACCAGTGTAACAAGCATTTTAAGACGATGCTCGGACAAAAACAATATTTTTTTTGCGAATAAAATTAGCTAAAAGATTATGCAAGTTTCATGCAGTGGTCAAATTTAATATACAATATTTATTTGCATTAAAATTATCCAGGATGCGCAGCATATATTCTCTGTGAAGATGATGAACTTGTGCCCTTATCCACTCAGCTTGTCTTATTGTCCGCTCCTGGTTGAACGCAACGCCGGGACCAATTATGCGATACGACTATTTCGACACTTAAGTACCTTAAATTGCATAACCATTGAGATGAAGGAGAACTGAGATTCTCGCGCGTACTTCTCTAACAATAGAGTCTGCTTTTAACTTCTCTAACACTCGCTAGAGCTGAATCTATAACGAGGTACGCAAGCATCGAGCTAGCTAATACATTCTTGCTAAAATACCGGTTCTTCTTAACTTTTCTGGCAGAAAACAGAGCCATTACGCCTTGAATCAAATTTCAACTCTTGATTCCCAAATGATGTCGTTTATAAAACCTATATTTAAGGAGGGAGTATGCAAATGCGTGTACTAAATGTTTGAACTTATTGATCGATTGCAATATTTTGCGTTTACCTACATCCAGTTTTATTTTAGAACTTACAAAATAGATTCTTCGGGAAGAAACAGGTAATGTGCCTCACGGCATAATGAAACCGTTTTTTGTCAAATACGTAAAGTAAAACTGATAATTTAGCAGAATTTGTCGATACCTCGATAATTATATATCAGCATAGATTCACCTAAAGCAAACATGTTTACATTCATTTTTTACACATTTTAAATTCAAAATTCTGGGCACGCTTGAAAGTAAAAACTCTGATGTCAACAGTTGAGTGTTTAGGCCGGAACGGCCGTGGCAACTGAAACCGACTATGTGGCGTGGAGATACTGTTGTGATCTTCGGTCGATCAACGGTATGTGGCAACGCAGTAAACATGAATGGAGTTCGGCGTAATCCAACGAGAACGGCTCAGTTAAAGGGATTAGCACAGAATACTGAAGGGATTCAAACGCTGGATAATCTTATTTCCCTTGAACAAGTTAATCGGGTATAAAAAGGAAAATTACGGATTTGCTGCCATTCAGTATCCAGTGCTGAGTCCTCCGCATCTATCATGGGAATATTGAGTGGGCCTGACTTGCGGTCCAATCTAACCCAATGGGGCCCTCAAGCCCTGGCCAGGTAGGAACATCCAGATCTCATATTTGTAGTCCCTTTAAATGAAACTAGTTTAAAGACTATACTTGAAAGTAAAAGCTTGGTAAAAATGAAACAATAGGATAAAAAAGCGCAAGGTCATTTTTCAACTCCCAAAACTGCAACTATTCGGTCATCATGAATCTGTTGGGGCTAATAAGCTTAAATTACAAAAGTCACGGTAGAAGTTATTGCGTGAATTTCCTGGAGAGAGAATTTGATTCATGCCTTTTTTAAATCCTAACTTCTTTTCATCATTACAATTTACATTTTGATGTGCGCTCTCCTGATCCTATATTTTGTGGTATAACTTTAGAAAAACTTTGAGTGGACTATAGCAGAACGATAGCAGAACTATAGCAGAAGGAGACAAATTTTAAGATACACAAGACAGAACTTTAAGTGAAGCCAAGTTTCTCAATTTCAGTCCATTACTTTCCATAGAGTCCCAAGAGTCACTTTTGTCAATTTGTTTACATTTATTTGGATGCGGCTTAAAAAGCAATATTTAGTGATTAAATGATCTCAGTTTCGTAAAAACGTACTCTTGTGACCTGTGGATCCTGTATGCTGTAAAATTTAAATATTGATTTGTAGTTAAAGTTCAAATACCTATCTTTGTAGGGGTGTTTCTAAAATTGTGTTCCTCGTATAATGCCTCAAATAATAAGGGTGCCCACTTCCAATTGTGACGCATTAGGGCGAAATGTACCTTAAGGTGGAATCTTAAACAATTTAGGCCATTACAGCAAGGAAAAAAAATCAGATTTGGGATAAAAAATATTAATTTTCGGTTTCATACACCTTCTAATATACTTTCAAGAGCATCGGGTCTGAGTTGTCTATTGCCTGTAGCGTATTTTGCAAATTTAAAGATCCTATATCTTGGGCCTATAGTGTTATAGATATCATAACCGATTTTTTACATAAATTAGACTCTTTACCAACTATGTTGATGACTCAAATAACTTGGCTTTTTTCAAAATTGATAGTTACGTTTCTTGGACTTTTAACTGCACCTTTAAGATGTCAAAAATGCTAATGACGCCTTTTTTTTTTTTTTTTTTTTTGTCCAAATGAGACTTGGATACTTTTTTGCTTTGATCTACTGTACTAATTTAAAGATTCTTTTTAAAGATAGACCAAAGAGTCAAAGGGTATAGTGTTGAAACTTTGACTGAGTCTCCAGGTTCATTATATAGTCCATGGCAATTATTGTTTCCAATGTTTGATTGCGGGCAGGATGGACCAACAAAGCACTGGACCTCGTATGTTAGGCTGGAACGTGAAACCAGAGGACCTGCATCAAATTCCTGAACACTGGTTCAAGTACCCCGAACCCGACCCTCTTCAAAATTATATGCTCGGATTATTATACGTGTTATTCACATTTGTATCACTCTTTGGCAACGGTCTTGTCATCTGGATATTTTCAACGTGAGTTAAAATAATTAAGGTTTTATTATTTTGATCGAATTCATTAGTTTGCAGAGTTAAGAAAAGAGAATTTCTTGAATGGAGATTAATTTAGTCTTTTTAGAAATGAAGATTCTTTTGAGTGATTTATAATTTAAGGTAAAGATGGTATACTTAAAGGCATTGGTTGTTGAAAAACTCGGAAATTTCAAAAATAAAATTTCTAACTGTAAACACTGAATAAAAAAAAACCAACAATTTGCGCTGAGAAATTTTTGATCTTGAATCAAGAATGATGCTACTTACTTTCATCTACCTACGTTTTTGCGTAAACTCAAGCATTATTTATTTTTTCCTGAGAAATTTTAGCTTAAATTCAGTTATAAAAACTCTTTCACTTTCACGCAAGCCATAATAAACACTTGTAACAAGTCCGGAGTTGAGTGATGAGCAAGATGATAACGTTTGCAGTTCACATTAGAATCAGAAAATTTAAACTTCCTGCTCAAGAGGAAGCTAAAATCAACAAGGATGGGTAAAACCGGTCATCAATATTGAATTTACCATTTTTTAGTAATCATAAAAAAAAGAAGAAGAAAAAAAATTTCTCCGCAACAAATTGCTTTCCTGTTCCGATGCAAGTATGCAACGTTGCTCAGATACGTAACCTAGGTACGTTGTGTAAAGTTCCCTGCTTAATTTCTGTTTGTAATAGAGCGAAATCACTGCGGACGCCATCCAACTTTTTCGTAGTGAATTTAGCGATATGTGACTTCGGGATGATGCTGAAAACACCGATCATGATCTACAACTCGTTCAATTTGGGCTTCGAGTCGGGCGCATACTGGTGTAGGATCTTCGCTCTTGTCGGATCTTTCACGGGCATCGGCCAGGCCTGCACAAACGCAGCTATTGCTTACGATAGATACAAGTAAGTTCCTAAGTTGCCTTCTCAAACGTTTTTATTTGGCCAAGAGAATACGGCATTGGTGAAGGTATGACCAAATAATACAGTATGAAAATTTGGACATTTCCGTAAAATATTTCATGAAATTTCACCAAGTTGTGAAAAATATGAAAAAAACATTTTCGGGGGCTGGCTATGCAATACGCACTAAACGAAGCTGAAAAGCAAAAAAGAGCCATTTGCCTTTCATTTAATTTTGAAAAATATGTTTCAATATTATGGTATTTTTCTGAAATTTCAAGATTTTATTTTTCATGAAAAATTGCAACCCTGACAGAAAGACAATATGACCGGGAATTTTCGAAAGTAGAACCTCGTCATCAAACACTTCGAGGAGAGTTGTTAAAGTACACGCCACATGATCTCCAAAGTTTCTTAAACTGTAAAATTATAAAATGACCTTGATTATTCCCTCCCTTGCAAGTTTTAAACAGAAAATATAATTTTCCTCATAATACCTTGTTTTTCCCCCGGAAAATTCCGATTTTACGAAAAATTGATGGGTGTAAAGTTTCTAAATCTGAGATAAGTTTTGGACTCTGCGCTAAAAATTACATTGAAATCAACTACCTGATTTCTAGAATTTTAAATTGTTTCCTCTGCAGATTTAAGTTCTTTCTAAAACCAAAGAACTTTCCGAGTCTGCAGTTCCCTAAGTACACAGCCAGCTCAGCCTAAATGGATGTTTCTCAATGCTTGGGTTTTATTAAAAAGCTGCTACGCTAAGACCTTTAAACTTTTGCGGCCAGAATTAGCCCTTAATGGAGCAGATACAATCTAATTAGCTTAAAATGTAGGTCTTATTCGTGAAAAACTAATAACTAAAACCATTTGAGATGCTATAGGAAAAATCATCGACCGACTCCTTGGTTATTCTAACAAATAGAATGAAGAGAGGAAAATAACACAAAGAAACAAATCAGCTATTCTAATAGAATCATTTTTCTACAGCGCAATTGCAAGGCCATTTGATGGGAAAATGTCAGCAGGAAAAGCATTTATGGTGCTCTTAATAATTTGGCTGTATGTTACGCCATGGGCTATTCTACCATACATCGAAAAGTGGAATCGATTTGTTCCAGGTACTTTTTCTTTTCCTTCTACTAGCTTTTCTTAATGACTCGTACTGATTCATTATATACCTTACTCAAATCTCTTTATATAGGGCAAGAACGAAAAAGGCAAAGAGAAAAAAAAGGTACGATCAAATCAAAAGAAATTTTACGAGAATGATTCGAAGAGTAAGTTTCTCCATAAGTTTTCTTGAGAGAATTCAAAGTAAAGAAAAACAAAACCTACATCAATTATTTTGATACACTACTTAATGTAATTTAAACATTCATGAGTCTCTCAACGTGAGTCCCATGCGATTTTATAGACGATAAAAATCGAATCAAATCACGCCGATCGCTGCATGAGCTGAGCGCACTGTGTTTGGCGCAATGCGTGAAGTATTCCCACAGTCTTGTAGGCGCTATGCCTTTCACGCCAACCGCTGCTGAACGCATTGTGTTCGACGCAATGCGTGAAGTATTCATGCGGTCTTGTAGGCGCTAATGTGTGTTACATGCCGATCGCCGCGCCGAGGGCTTTTCATTTTCATATCAAGTCCTCGTCATCATTGCTCTCTGCACCGCGCCGCTCCAGGCCAAACTGCGTGTTTGGTTTCTCTCTTGACTAGACTAATGAAAGGAGCTGTCTCTTGTATCGCCGAGAGACGAACAAATTAGAAATTACTATACTTTAACTCTCAGAAAATGAGAGATTTTTTCGCCTTTTCTCGTTTGTAATTTTTTTTTTTAAATCAGATTTTTTTCTTGATACCTACATTTGAAGAAATTACAACATTTGGCGCCCCCTAGATTTTCCGCAATGGGCCGCGGCCCATGTGGCCAACCCATAAATTCGGCCCTGCTCAGTTGACTGTATCTCTTAACAGACCCCATGCACTAAAGTCGCAGAAAATCATTCAGTGATTTTTAGTGTAGGTATTTTCCGAAAAAATGCACTACCTATTGCTCCCTCTCTCATGTTGGAATCTAGACCTGTACGTAAACATGTGAAGAGTACCGATCTCGAGTCGTAGATGACACAAATGTGCCACTCATTTTCTGTTATATTTTACGTTGCTTTACAGAGGGTTATTTGACGACGTGTACATTTGACTACTTATCGCCGACGAAAGAAACGCAATTCTTCGTCTTGACGATGTTCACAGTCTGCTACGTCATTCCAATGTCTCTCGTTGTTTTCTTCTACTCGAGGATTGTTGGTCATGTGTTCAGCCATGAAAAAGCTCTCAGAGAACAGGTAAGGAGCGGGATCAAGTTACAAAATGTCAGGATTTTTACGGAATGCAATTATTTTGAACATAGTACAACAGATGTAGAAGGCCAAGGTCCAGAAACGCCTAAAAGCAGTAAAAGCTCAATTTTGAAACAAAATTATCATGAGTTCAACAAAGTTCCTCAGATTATGAATAAAAGTTTGTCAAAGTTCATTAATAAATCGGTTTAAATTTTACACTTTACTGATTCAAGTTGTAGTAGGTAAATCAAAGGCTGATAAAATGTTTAAAGTGAGCGCATTTTGCAATAATTAGAGAAATGCTACATTACTATTTGTGAAGTTTGAAAGCGTTGCCTTAGTATTGACATTCATATCTGCTATCAACATTGCTGTGAACATCCTTTATTTCTGGACGAGTCGGTGATCGGTGAAGTCAAGCAATAAAATCAAAACTCGTGGAACAATAATTCCGACGTCTGAGTAGCTCAAAATGCATAACTAGGGGATTGCAGGAGCGCTTACTCGCCGCGTGTTTGGACAAGGATAGACTGATCCTCAAATGTGAATGATTCGATTTATACACCAAGTATGTAATCGAAATGTTATGAATTCAGTCTAATGGGCCAGTTAATTTTGACGGTTCATTTTTGAGATGAGTCATTTAGGAATGCTAAAACAATGAGTCACCAAAACTTTAAGATTGAGTCAGAGGAACTGATTTCAGAGTTATCCTAGAAAATTATCTCCTAGGCTCTCAGTACGTAGAGGAAGCAAAAATTATCTGATTCAGTGTGCGAAGTGTCTTAATGCTTTGGAAAATAATGTGCAACGAACAATTTAATTCTACAGGCAAAGAAAATGAATGTCGAATCTCTGAGGAGTGGCCAAGACCCAAATGCACAGTCTGCTGAGGTTCGAATTGCCAAAGCTGCCATCACAATTTGTTTCTTATTCATAGCATCTTGGACACCTTATGCTGTGGTAGCTTTAATCGGAGCATTCGGCGATCAGTGAGTATTTTTGTGCCCGTAATTCTTGTTTGAGTGCATTAATTTTAGAATTTTGATTTTTAATTTTAACTTTAGTTTAGAGTATATAAAAGCAAGCCTTCTAATTTTTGGGTTCTTTCTTAAGACTTTAATTTCATAGGTGAAGGGGAAATGTGGAAATCGCGGATTTCTTATGAGTCCAAAAGCATCTGAACCTTGTCAAACTCAATTGCAATGCTTCATAATCTTGCTGGAGATCAATGGCGATAGGCGTGAATGATCGAGTATCGATATTTTCCCATTTGAAGCTGTGATAAGGAATCGATTAATATGGCGTTTGTTGCAATGGCGAACACCCTGATTATCGATCCTTTTGCATGGGTTTAAATGGCAGATCAATCGATAAATCGCAAAGCACGCCACGCCACTGTTGAAGATTTATTCTGAGAGATATGTGTCTCATTGCACTCGCGATACGTTCTTGACTCCTAAGCCCTATATATAAGAGAATCTACGACGCAAATGCTCATGTGGATCCTCTATTTAGAATTACAAACACTTCATCCATTTTATCTACAGCAACACAATTGAGCAAAGCAGGAAAATTTCAAAATACCAATTCCAGTTACCTACTTTCTTTCTTCAAAATTAGTCGATAAAAACTTCAAAGTTTAGGAGTTAAGTATGAAATGTTGATACCTCCATAAATTACATTTTTGAGGGCAAAGGGATAAAATTGCAAGAAACTAAAATTATAATCACTCCGAGATAACATATATTTTTTCTTGTTAACTTCCACTGACTAATTTTCTTTTTTAGGAATCTCCTAACTCCTGGAATAACGATGCTTCCAGCATGTACTTGTAAACTGGTTGCCTGCCTAGATCCATATGTATATGCTATTAGCCATCCACGTTACAGGTAAGATAATAAGTAAAATCATTAACTTCATCATAGTAAAATTTGGAAGAGCCAAAAAAAAGAAACAACTTATCAACTCAAGAGATAAGACAATCCTTACCAAGCTGCGGGCTGATTATTAAAATTGATAGACAAAGCGATAGGCAAAGGAGACAAACTGAAAATTAAGCGATACTTTCGGTGGAAGCGGGTGGTTGCAATGGGCAAATGAGGTAATTATTAGACTAACTAACGGCATCCCACGAAATGCCCTAGGTACTGTATTATTCCATCAGTTTCTCCCTTAGTCTATAGGAACTAACCACTTCAACCAATAGGATCGCTCCATACTCCCTGTGTCTTCTTTGTCTATCGCTTTGTCTATCGATTTCAATAGTCAGCTCGTATGAGGCTAAGGCAGCCTTGATTAAGGCTCGAACAGATACAAAACTTGAGGATAAATGAATAAGTGGCCTGTTTTGAATTCTTTAATTGAAATAGTACGATTTGAATTTTTTTGAAAATTGCACATTGAAAAAAACCTCGTACGTTGTGACTAAAATCTAGGTCATATGGATCTCTGAAGCTTTCGGGACGTATGTACATTCGATAAGACGGCCAGGTGACGTTCGGGCCACACATCTGAAGTAGGTACTTCGGTTGAGTCTTTCTCAGAGTCAACCGAAGTCCTGAAGGGCTTGAAAAACTGGAAGCTCGAAAAACTGCCTACGGCTAAAGTGCGAAACAACTTATCTCCATCGCGGTGTTTCAAAATATCTCCTACTATTTTATATTTTCGAGGAGAAACAAGTCAAATTTTATGCTTGAAATTTATGCTGGATAATCTGCTGAAAGAGAAGAAAAATCAAAGACGTTCCCAAGAAATTAAGTTGACTAGTTTCCCAACGAAAAAAAAAAGTATGACAGGAAGTCCGCAAAGTTGCAAACGGAGTTACGTGGTTTTGCACTAAGGCCAATGATACGACCTGAAATTCAGGTCCCTAGCACGAATTTCTTTTTCTCCGTAAGTCACGGACAGTAAAGCACCCGACCTGTGACGAGGCGTGAATGATCGATTATCGATATTTCCCCATTTGAAGCTATAGTAAAGAATCGATTATTAAAGTGTTCGTTGCGAACACTTTGCCTGGCGATTCTTTTCCTTAGTTTTAAATGACTTATCCATCGATATATCGCAAAGCACGCTACGCAACTACACCCGACTTCGCATCTGAGTGGAAATTCTGCGTAAAGTGAAACTATGAATCTGGTTGTACAGGTTAGAGCTATCGAAGCGAATGCCCTGTTTTGGAATCAACGAAAGTCCACCAGCGGAGACGGCGTCAACGACAACAGAAACGACAAATTCAGCGAACACACCGAGCAGCTAAATCGGAACCGAACAGACCTCATAACTCATAAAACCTCACAAATTTTGTCTCTGCTTGAAATCGGAGTATTCTTGACGAATATTCAAGCAGAGGACGGGGATGATCATGATGATAGATCGCCAAACCCTGTGGCTAGCGACGAGCAAGTTTTTACTATGAACCAGAAAGGATTTACATTTTGTATCAAGAACGTTGTTAAAAATCGAAGGGTCAAATTCGGTACCGGAGTCTATATAGCGCCCGAACACTCCGAGTGATATGAGAGGCGAAATTGCCACTGTAAAAGCGTATGACACATCGTAAAGAAAAGATTCCGCTCCGTAATAGTGTAAGCTACTCCGTAAGGGGAATGCATTCTGCTACTTATGCAGATTATTCGGCGGTTTTTTGGGCGCTATACAGATTCCGGCACAGAATTTCACTCCAAAATTTTTGACAGTGAAGCCTACTTACGCGCCAATTTCAATTTTGTTTGAAATTTATTCTTAAGGTGAACTTGAAAATATGGCGAATATACAAACTGTTTATTTATTAAGAAGTTGTTTTCTTTCAATTTATGTTTTCTTGCTACACCAAAATTTCCCACCTGGCGATTTAAACCTCCATAATCTGATTATATGAACAGTAAAAGCACACGGAAAAAAATGAATTGCTACTTGCTAATTTGACAATTAAATTGTTAAAAATATGTCCGACATGTTTCAAATATACTTACATTTTAAAAAAGAGGAAACTAATTTAACCACGAGGGTAGTTGAATTGGCATTTTTTTATTGTAAAATCTACATTGAAACATGCCGGACACTTTTTTAACTACAAAATTGTTGAAACAGTAATTTCATTTTTCCGTGCGAGTGATTTTTGATACAGCCATAGGCAAACTTTAGCTTCATTTCAATAATTTCACAAACAAATCACAGAGGCAATCAGTTGAACAAAAAAAAAAAAAAAAAAAAAAAAAAAAAAAAAAAAGCCGTCGTGTAAAAAAGGGAGAGAGGAAGAAATCAACTCGCGATGGTTCAAATATCCATCAGTTTTAATCAAAACCATTGATAAAAAGGTGACTTAAAAAATGACACTATTTAGAGTTTCTCTCGTTTTAATGAAACAATGAGAATCAATACCTATATCTTTTAAACTGTAAAATTCACCGAGATTATCAAGAAGAAACAAGTGAATGTAAGGACTTCTTTTACGTGTACACGGTAAGAAATGCTAAATTTTAAGGAGAGGCACTGTGGAAAAAACACTTACAAAACTTTTTTAATAGGAGTAATAGATACAAAACAGGAATTTTTAGATCCGAATAAGGGCAATCCTCACATACTCCTTCCAAAAACCTGAAGAGGACAGGTTTTAATTCGAATAAATCTAGTGAAATATATTTATATTTAGTTGAAGAAGAGATTGAGGGAAAGTAGGTCTTTGTTGCGTTGATATTTTTAACATTATAATTGGACTATATTTTGCAGATAAGAACTTCAATTTCTGCCTCTAGCTTAGAAACAAAGTCCACACCATTAGTTCCTCTATGGACATAAGCATTTTTAGATGGACCAGAAATTGTACTTTTGAACTGCAAAATGAAGTCCAATTAATCGGCATTATTTCTAATTTAAACCGGGCACAGTCTTTTCGCAGAGAAAAAGGGGGAAAGATGCTGAAATAACATCCGAAATGTCAAAAATTTGCACGAAAAATCGGGAATTGCTGATATAACCGCTCTACCTGTTCATGCAACAACATCTTCGCGACTCTACATTAACAGTTGCGTTGATACATTCTAGGGTTGTAGCACTGATTTTTAACAGATGTTAACTCAGCAAAAAATTTTTCCGTGTTCTTTACAGAAACGGTCTCATAACTTGCACCCAAAATTTTAAATTAAAGATCACATTCATAAAACCGTTCGAAAGCTGACATTCTGTACCTCAACACTTCTCAAATTTTATCAATGCCAAAATTACATTTGCTTTCTTAATATAACAAGTAAGAACTTCGGTGCATAAATTATCCATGAATGAAACTCTATAGTGCTTGGAACTAATTTAGGCAAGATACTAAAATTGGTAATTCATCGCGTTTATTTTCTACCATTCCGTTCACTATCTCCATACTTGAGTTTAAAAGCAGGGTAGTATTTCACAACTCCATTTTCGAGGTACTGCAGGTCAGGATTTTTCTTAGTGGTTGAGCCATGTCCCAGAGATGTGTAACCATCATCATATAGGCTACAGTAAGGCACATTCAGGTATCTTAAGAAGAACCATACGTCCTCGTAGCTCCAGTGGAGCATGGGATTCACTCGCATTACCCTCGGCCATGTTACATCCGTCATCTACACAGAAATGAAGAGGGATAGTAAAAGATTTTTCAGTTTGGCAGTAAGAAAAAACTTGTTCAATGGGGGATTTCAGTGACTACATTTTAATTTGTTTGTTTCTCCCTTTATTGAACATTGCAGGAACTGAAGAATTTTATCGACATACACGGTGAGATCTGTTCACGTGCGGTAATAGATATAGAAAAATGTGTACTAACCGCTGCTAAGATTATCGTGTATATATAAGCCTACCTTTAAAATTGAAATTTTAAATTATTTTACAACTATAGCCAGAGTTCACAGAAGGGGCTAATAATTTCACCCACCTTAGAGAGCACTGGAAAAAAAAAACACATTGGATCTAGAATCCAGACTCTTGAAAACATTGACAAGAAAAAGGACTCTTGATTCAAGCAGATTTAAGCTTAAATCAAAAGGAAATCCGCTCAAATTAAGAGGCTTGGTTCTTGATTTAAGCTTAAAACTGATTGAATCAAGAGTATTTTTTCTTGTCGATGTTTTTATGAGTCTGGACTCTAGATCCAATGTGTTTTTTTCCAGTGAGCATTCATTAAATTACGTGACGCACCAAGAAAGAAGGGGTATGAGTCTGGGTTACGCTACGTTAAAAAAGGGGAGGGGGTCAATGCCAGCGTTACGTAACTATCTTTCTATTAAAAAAAAAAAAAAAAACTCACAAAATATTACGAAAGTTTGCGCAATATTTCGCTGGTCGCCAGACGATCGCGGTCAATTGCCGATTTGTGCAATAGGGTGGAACGAAAATAAAATTTATCTCGGAATCGATTGCGGATTGAGAGGATATTTTTTCATCAGGGTGAAAATGATGAACATTCGTTCAAATCGCACAAAATGTTTTCTGAGGTTCCGTATTGAGCATTTTCATTCTCGTCTCGTCGAAAATTTGTCAGCGGACACAACTTTTTGCGAAATTTTACGTGATTACTAGTTTCCCTCAAAAATTATTGGGGACCCCTTTTTTGCGGAAAACATTACCACATTGGCAGTTACATCGAGTCGCGCTCATTTCACATCGCGTTCTTCGCCGATCGAAATTACAGGTAAAGAACAAATGTGTGCCATGTCTGCATGATGCAAAAATCTCTGCATGACGAGGTTCAGCATGAGCAAATTTTTTAATAATAGGGTGTACTCTGTTCATGCGTCAAGTAACTTCCGTTCGTCGGTGCGCCTACTTTTCTAGCCTTGCGTTAAAGTCTCTGAAAAGATTCCCGCATTTAACTGTCTTGGCGATCTCTCGTGTGGTTCAGCATAATCAAATTTTTAAAAATAATAATGCTCCCAGGCGACGAGCGACTCCTATTTGTCAGTGCGCCTACTTTTCTGCGGTGTGTTAAAGTCTCTGCGGTGATTCCCGCATTCTGATCCAATTGTAAAAAAATGTGGGTTTAAATTGAACTACATTTTGCAATTAGGACCTGTAAATTCTGGTCCAGTTTAAAAACAACGTATGTACCATTAGTTTTCTTGTGCTCATAAGTATTTTTCCTGATGAGCCAGAAATTGTAGTCCCGAATTGCAAAATGCAGTCCAATTAAAGCTGTGAGTGAACTGAAAAAACCCCGAAAAACGACGGGTCAAGCCAACTTCTGTAACATTATAGCGGTATCAGCAATGTGAGATGCTCAGGGTTTTCTTATTTAATTTTTCTTTCATGTGAATGAATATATACACTGGTTCATTGATGCTAAATTAATAAAAAGTTCTAAAAAAAGGCCTTACCTGAAAAGCTTGTAAACACGATGAAAACGGATCCGACTGACGAGTGCCCATCAGAATGGCTTCCCATTGAGGATTTTCCTTCAGTGCTTGATCGAGGCCGGTTTTAATTTCCCCATCGATGGTAAGCAGATTGATATCATACCTGTCAACAGAAAACAGAGGAAGGAACTTTACGATGGATTCTTTGAGAGCCTCGAAGTAAGTAACGGTTTCCAGATGAAACAATATGCTCCTATAATTAAACAGGGGTTCTACTGATTCGCTTGAAAAAAATAATAAAAAAAAAAAAAAAAAATAAAAAAAATCGATGCGTATGTTATATTTTCGATCATTATTTTAAAAAATTGGCACACATTTTTTCTGTAAAATTTCTATAGGCATTTTCTAACATGATTCAAACGAAACGATGGGATATTTGACGCAATATTTTCGCTCGTTCCACGTGCCTCTTTGTTTTAAACCGAAAAAAAGTAAACAAGGTCCGAACTTTTGAATCCTTGAAATTCAGATACATAATTTCCCTTAGAATATGGTAAAAACAGGGAGGGATGCAAGTAGCATAACTCGTAGTCTTAGTTTTGCGGCGATTTTAGAGTAGTTATCATTTAAAAGATCGTCGCAGTGTGAAGCGCCTTCAATCCAACTGGCCGCAATACGCGTACACCCGTGGTCGAATAGTTGTCTCATTACGCCTGCCGTGAATGAACTCAAATACCGAATACCGACGGCGGCGGCACGCAAAAAAAAAAACGTATTTATCTCGGATTGCAATGTTGCACGCCTTTTTTCATAATTTATTTTGGATCGTTTTTTTCAAAAAGCTATGAATAGTTCTTCCGGTAATTTTCCGAAATTTTCTTACACGAGTTCAAGCGAAACGACCGGATATTTTAACTCGTTTTATTTTTATTTTTTATTTTTAAACCGAAAAAGATAAACAAGGTCCAAGTTTCTGAATAGTTGAAATATATGTATGTACCTTTTCACAGTTTCCTCCACAAAATTTTCCAGCTCTTGGAACACATCATTGCTGCGGAAGTAGATGCACTGCAACTTCTTGGACGAAACATCTATAGAGCGAAAACGGCAATAAGCGTACACAAGATGGAGGAGAGCGGTGCAGTCTTTACCACCATTGAATGCCACTGCGATGTTTGATAACTGATACCTCTTGAAACATTCATCTAGGATCTATGGAATGAAAATCATAAATAAAATTATAAAAACAATCATAGTAAAAATGGGAGCTTTAACTTGGGAATCTGACTTTAAAGCGAGTGGGCAGTAAAAATTACTTCTATTTTTTCTCTATGTGCTATGTTTTCTGATTGTCCACATCAGAAAAAATTATGATCGTGGGTTTAGGAGGGAGAAAGATCAAGTCCCATCAAGTTGTAGCTGCAAGAAAAAGAGATTTAAAGTATGGTTAAAATTCAGTGATAAAGAAACAATTTACCCCTGTTTTTATCTTTCAAGTCATTGTTCATCTGTTTTGAATTTTTGACAGGATAACTGTAAAACTGGTTCAGCTCGAAACTAGTCCCAATACATACATTTACAGAAAATTTAACATACTCACCTCAACAGATTGACTGATGAACAGGAATGAGTTAATTGCTTTCTGCAAGTTTTCAGCGGCAACTTCAAGATTGTTCACCTGCCATTCTTGGGGTATACTTGACTTTAAGTCAGACACAGCCCCTTGAAATGTTTCCCTCACTGGCGACTCAACAGTGATTTTGGCATGATAAATACGATTAGAAAAAATAGGATAGGATCCAAAGGCGACTTTTTTATCATACTTCTCCACGACTGGATTCAAATACGGCATGACTTGCTCTTCACTTCTATTTAAGTAAATTATTGTTGAGTAAAACACATTATTGGATGTAATGCATTCTTTAGCAAGAGGTAAAAATACTCTCTTGACTATGCTAGGAACACCTGGTAAAATGAAAATATTTGATACTATGACGGTATAGTCACCTTCAGAGTTTTTATTACTTTGGAAAAATGTGACTTTGGCATTGCCTGGGATCGTCGCCATCCTTTTCCAGGCGCTTTTGTCTAAATTCCAGCCTGTTTTAGAGTAGATTTTGTCCCAATATTTCAATAGATTTTCGTTGCATACAAGAGGCACTTTAAATGCTTTTGCAACACCTTGATAAGTTACGTCATCATGGGTGGGACCTATCCCTCCAGTCGTAATTACATAATTGAATTTTTTGGAGAAGTCCATGACATGGGAGGCGATTTCCTCGACATCATCACCAATCACAGTTATTCGGGCAACTTTAACACCCAGCTGTCTCAGATTACAACACATGTAAAATGCATTTGATTCTACCACTTCACCATTCAAAATTTCATCTCCAATTATTAAGATCCCTGCCGTTGCGATTTCCATTTTTACGTTCACCGTTGAAAGTAGTGAAGAATGGTGCTTTTTAGAAATGCTCTTTTGTCTCACTGTAAGAATTCAAATCAAAATTTAAAATCTGACAAATTGTGCAAAACTTCTTCCTCTTTTCTTTCGCTCGCTTGATGTTTCTTGCACATTTCTTCTAGAATTTTGACATTCTTCAAATCTTTTTTAGGAGTGGGTGTGGGTTGCTTCGCAACTTTCTTCAAGAGGGAAGAGCTAATTTCTTCAAATTGTTTATTAACGTTCAATATTTTGTCCTTATTATCTTGAGTCACCTGAAAATGAGAAAAAAAGAGAGACATGTCAAAATACTTCAGAGGACACCGTGACACAAAAATTTTTGCTATGCAACATTTGCGCATGTGAGGGAAAATTTAGCTTAACTCATTGTACACCAGGATTACCTAAATGAATAAGAATGCAAAACTATACTTAATAGAGAACAAATATTCGGGCATCACTTCACAATGTTTAATTTTTTAGTATTTTCTTTCCGGGAGGTGGGGGAGGAAGTTTAAAAATAATGTGTATTTTTTGAAATGAAGCAAACACATACTCACATACTCAGTAACAGTAAATTGTGTAGGTACCTGCTCATGATATTAATTCTTTCAATAGGAAAAGTAGCCAAGATTTTCACATACGAAAAAAAAAAAAAATATAAATAATTAAGTAACATGGGTAAGGCAGGATAGTGCTCATTATCAACTTCCGAATTTGACTCAATCGTTCGATATTTTTTTTAAAAAAAAAACTGATCAGGACCGGATTTGCGATTTTTTCGCCGGGGACTAACAGCAGTTTACCGTCGTCAAATTTCGAAAATTATGACTTTTTTCTTCCTTTTCACTCAGCGTAGCCAAATTAAAAAGCCCTCCCCCCTCAGGGGAGGAAAGGTTATCATTTTGGAAATTTACTATCTCTTTAGCCTGTAATTTGTCGCCCCCGATTTGCCGGCAGGAGCTCCAACCCTCGTGAAGTCTACGTAGATCCGACCCTCGAACTGATCAATCAACGGCGACGGATAAGCGGTAAAAATGGGTGGAAGTTGTTGCGAATTTCGGAGCTTACTGTTGAACAACGCGTTGACATTAAGCACACAACTTCGAACGCTTCATCACTATCATAGTAACAAAACCTTGCCTGCTCAGTGGTCACAGTATCGTGAAGTCACAGACGAAATCGGAGGGGAAAGGGGGAGGAGGCGGTGACTCAAAAAAGAGCACACTCGCGTTATCACCCGCATACCCCCACCCTGTTACATACCTCAAAATACATACAAGACAGGTAGGGAAACTCAATGAACGGTATGACTACGGCGATAGACAATATGACAGAACTGGTGGCTGTTTCACAAATTTCAACGAACTATCTTCAACGTCTTCTGTTCAATTCACCTGGTGTCTAGAATTCTGGATCATGCTCAGAGACGGAGCTAGCAATTTGGCAACACCGAATTCCTTCATTTAAACCTATGTTAAATAATCGATTCTTGTCGGATGACGACCTGGTCCCTCCATAAATCGATACATTTCCATAGGTTTAAATGGAGAGAGGCAAAGTTGCCAATTTGCTGGATACGCCAATGATCATGCTCACTCATTCCCTGATCTTCAGGAGCTCATTCCATGGCGAGAAATCGAAGATTCCTCCCACTTACAAAGCCACGATTTTCTTGGGAGAAAAACGACATAACTTTCCGGAGTTCTAGATATGAATATGGATTTTTTTCATCTTCAAGCAGATTCTCTTACCCACACTCAAATTTTTAGCTCCAAAATCGTTCCTCGTTTATATTATCTGGCCAATGGAAGCTTCTCTAGTATTCTGATGATTTAAAGGTTCCAGAGATCAATAATCGCGGGCGCAGGTGCAATAACATAGACCTCAATAGGAAGGAGGAAGAACTTACTTTTCGTAAATTGACAGCTTTGTTTTTGTTGTTCTTCGCTTTAAAGTTATCGGATTGAACGACTTTCAAGTTTTTGTGTCCTTTTGCTTTGTTGTTTCTACCCATGCTGGATTCTGATAGAGCCTGCAACAATAGATGCAAAGTTAGAATCTAAATCGAGATAGTCAAGCACTATCGAGTGTCTTTTCCGATCAAATATGCACATGTGTCACTTAATTAAGGGTCTAACAACAAGTGAATACTTTGGGTTTCGTTTAAAGGTGAAAGTCTATTATAGCATTTTGAACTTGCTGAAGTCAGTGCATTTTTTGAGCGAACGGATTGCCGACAAAATTGCACCGAATTATTTAAGTTGGTCCTACAAGAGAAGCATGAAACATCCTCTTTTTTTATTTTGAATATTCTGATAATCTTTTTGAAGGGTAGAGGAAAATTCTCATAGAATTTAAAGACGAACCGATGGATAGTTTTCTGTGACCAAAAATGAAAGGGAGTTAGCAACGTCGAACTGGATATAGGAATTTTTCGACTTTGCCCATCGATACAAGTATTGAAGAATATTCGATTATACTACTACCACGGCCAGATTGACGGGATGGCCTCAAGGGCCGCGGCCTATGGCGGCAAAATCTAGGGGGCGGCAAATTTTGGATTCAGAAAATAAATTACAAACGAGAAAAGGCGAGACAATCTCTCATTTCCTGCAGAGAGTAAAAGTGTAGTAATTTCTAATTTTTTCGTCTTTCGGTGATACAAGAGACAACACCTTTCATTAGTCGAGTTCAGAGAGAAACCAAACACGCAATTTGACCTTGAGCGGAGCGGCGCAGAGAGCAGTGATGACGAGGAATGAGATGAAAAGCAGAAGCCCTCGACGCGGAGGTCGGCATGAAGCGCATAGCGCCTACAAGACTGCATGGATACTTCACGCATTGCGTCAAACAGTGCGGTCAGCAGCGGTCGGCGTGAAACGCATAGCGCCTTCAAGACTGCATGAATACTTCACGCATTGTGCCAAACACAGTGCGGTCGGCGCAGCGGTGGAAGTTAAAATTATTAAACCACATTTATGTTTATTCTTTTATACTTTTTTCGTTCGTTTGTTATAAATAGAAGACCTTGTCCAAGCAGGGATAGGTTTACGGAACTTAACTTTCGCGTACGTGCTCCGTGAACTTTTGTTAGTGTTGACAGAGCTTTCACAAAAAATGTGCACAACACGAGTAAACGCGTCTCATACACCCCTCCCCCCCCGGCACGTTCACTTAACGAATGAGATGGGGGCGGAAAAATACAGGCGGCCCATGGGCGGCAAGTAGGTAAATCCGGCCCTGATTACGACAATATTTTGCTTGTGAGTATTTTGCTAAAACTTTTTTAGTTTTCTTAGTAAAAGAGATAGGTATGCTGGATGCTCCGTAGCCCGTGACAAGATATGCATTGCAACAGTAAAGCTTACGAATGAGTAGAGGATTTGCGAGTTAAGTGGTTTTTTGCGTGGAATTTCGCGGAAATCACACTGGTTTCATCTGAAACTAACTGCAAGCTCCAAGACAGCTCTCAAAGTTGACGCCGTAAAAAATATCCCACGCTATCCTGGGAGTCCACCTCGATATAAAGTCGAACTCTCAATACGAAGATAGGGAACAGATACATTAGCAGGGTTGCCGTGTTCTTAGTTTTAGAGTCCCTAAACATAGTAGCAGCCCTTAAAATGTATTTGCTAGCTATATTTGCATGGAGAGTTCGACTTGATACCTATATAGAAGTGAAATCTCAGGATAGCGTGGGACATCCCTCCAGTACGCGCGGCTTCAACTTAGAGAACTTTTTTGAGCTTTGCAGTTGATTCATTATTTGAGCTCCTCGGAAAATCGCATATTAGGCTTTTCCCGCCATCTTGGACTTTTGAAAATTTGAGTTAAAATTTAAGTTATTCGTCAAAACATACCTCCTGGCACCAAGTTTCAAAAAAATCGACTGAACAGCGTAAGATCAGCAAGACTCTAAGCAATCGTAAAGGATACCTGTCAATTTACATACGGCAGTGCGCCTTCATTTTCGTCTGATACTGTGCAATACTTCAGTGGTCGAATAGTTGCTCAGAGCGCCTTCAAGTAGGTATCGCTTCGACTCGATGGCAGAAGATCACGTGATCACGATTACCGCTGAGATTACACTCCCGCGCGTAGGCAGGTAGGTACACAATTTCTTTTCATCAACGATGACGTAAAAATCATTCAAACCCCAGTTTGCGACGTTGCATGTTCCTCACTACCTATTTTAGGTGGTCCTACCAAAGGGAACACTTTACAATCTGCCGTGATTTTTCCGAGGTAAGATGATATACATTATTTCAATGTTTCATTGAAATCTATTTGTATGCTATCGTTGAAAAGGGAAAAAGAAGTACCTATGAGTTGGAACCTTCCGACGAATGAAAGCGGAATCTTTATGGCCAACAACATTTACATACAGAAGAAAAGGGAGAAAAAGACTAACCAAGGGCGGATAGAAGTTAATTTTTAAATCCCCCCAAGTTGAACCAGCGCAAAAAGCGAGGATTCAGTCCTCTCCGCATTCGCTTTGCGCATAAAATTTCCAAAAATTCGGCAACGATGCCGCGCGCCAACGGCGCGGAATGTAGTTTTGGCTTTTAAGCCGCATCCCTGCGAGAATTTCCCCGATTTGGAGCAAAATTCTCTAACTTTTCCTTGACATTCCAGGTTGTTTACAAGTTCCCTGGCTTTTCTAGGTTTCCCTGACCTTTGCAACCCTGCTTTTGGTATCACAGAAACTCTTGAGTCTTGAACGGTAGGCATTTGGACTCCTACTTCATTCAGCAATTCATCTTAATAGACTTGTAGATAAAGAGCAAATAAAGTTTGCTAATAATAACTACAGTTTCATATTTTTTTACACCTGGNGGGGGGGGGGGGGGGGCTGTTCGTTAATTGATTTGTACATTAAAAGTAAAAAAAAGAGAAACACGGTGAAAATTGCACAGAAAATAATAAGCTAAATACTTACCTACTAAAAATAAAGTTTTCTTGTTCTCCTTTTCTCTTTCTCTCTCTTTTCTGTTTGCTTCGTGTGTGAAATAGTAAGCGGCCGCACATTTCCTCGAGTGCCAATTTTTTTTGGACTGGGTTATTTTTTTTCGTGTCGACAGTGAAAGTAACGACACTGTTACTTCAAAAGTTTTTGGCATAATTTGGGATGATAGTTCAACTACAGCAATGACACTGGCAACCTTGAGAATTGTTATTTAAGTAAAAAATTGTTTTTAGGCCGTTTGCCTCATCCGATAGGGCAAAAGCCTGCAAATGATTCTAGGATTTATGATTGAATGATTTTTTTTTTCATACAAGAGACATGTACATGGTCAGTAAAGGATGAAGGCCGCACATCCTCATTTCATGCTGCTCTCATGGACTAAGGGTGAAGTTTTTTAAGCTGATATTTTTGTACCTAAGTATTGGACCATGTCAGTGTGAATTTACTGAAGAGTTAAAATATTCAAGCTGTGGATATGATGTATGTCTTCCTTTCAGATCTTTAGCATAAAATTGGCGATTTATACAATTTTAGGATGTATTTCAACTAGTGGAGTTCAAAATATTGGCTAAATTTTTGGATTTCTAAAATTTAAAAAAGTCAGTTATGTTACATTGATATCCCATGAAAAGAGCTAGTTGTAAGGGGTACTTTTTTTCTGTTCACTGCTTTCTGTTCACTGCTGCAGCATAGTTTCTTTGAGGGATACTTCGATTTCCATTAACAGCAATCCAAATTCAAATATGTGACTTTAAAAATTAAAACACAATCTTTTGGGTATTTTCCGAGCTTGAGGATTCTGATCCAATATTTGATCATGACTATTAACAAATTTTAAGTCAAAGGTTTGGTAGGTGTTGACGAATGAATAAAAGAAGAACTGACTTATATAATAAAAAAACTGTATTATTTACAAAATTTGAAAAAAAAAAATCACATATAATACAGGGAAATCACATATTAAAAGTTACCGTTCGTCATGACAAAATTTCTTACTTGGTGGAGGTCCTAGGTTTTCAAAATATCTATTCCTGAGTAAATTCTCAGTTAGAAAGAAGGAGACTCGAATCATCTCTTTATTGTTGGATACATTTCTGACAATTGCAGATTCTTGAATAAGTAAACTACTTGGGTTTCCAAGGCTAGTTTTTACAACAGCTTCTGCCAACTCTAATTTGTTTTCCTCAGTAGCTTTTATAAAACAGTACACATGAACCAGAAATAATTCTGTGAACGAATGCAGTAAATTCAATTCAGCGGGTGAAAAGAGCCCTACAAAGTATTTTAAAAAAGTAACAGCTGATTCAGGTAGATTCATTATAATATGTATTTGCGCATCTCTCACCTCGGGATTCTGAGAGAGCTGCAAGGCTATTCTTTTGAAATCCTCAGTGATAAAAAATTTTGCATCTTTATTGAATGTCTCTACCTTAGAACCTACATTGTTCAAAAATATATTTCTTTGTAAGGCTTCATGGCATGCAGGGTTGAGATCATTTGCATAAACTTTATGACAGATTTTGGCAGCCGGAATCACAAAAGGGCCAACACCAGCGAAGACATCGAACAATATATCATTTCTTTTCATCCTACTAACAATTCTTGCATGTTCAGCCCCTAAGCGGGGATTCCAGTACACATCTCTAAAGTTAAATTCAAATGTACAATTATTTTCTTTCACCGTTGTTGCTAAGTCTGGTGAACCGCAAAGTACTTCCATATTGAACGTTCTATATTCATTATTTATGGAGCCAATTTTATTCACAACTGTTTTACATGTTGGAATTTTATCAAATAAAATTTGACCGATTACATGTTTATAATCAACCAAATGATCTTTTAGGTTAATGTGAATTATTTGACCAATGATAGAGTAGCTTGAAAAACTCCCAACTTCAGGAGGTATGATTGTACGAAATAAATCATCAGGTTTCCAATTGTCATAGGTCAGAGTGATTGAACACGATTTTAAATTGCTGGGTTTGACATTGAATTCAGCTAATTTCTGTTGTATGGATGGGTCAAAATCATTGAAGGAAGAGATTATTTTAGGATTTAAAAATACACGTCTTTCACTGATTTTGTCAGCTATTTTATCACTTGAAGTGTCAGACGAATTGACAGGTACAACAGGTTTAAAATTAGGAAGCTTTAAAGTATAGTTACGAATAAGCTTCAGTGATGGGTTCACAACTTTTTCTTCGATATCAAGACATGGAACCGTAATCGTTTTCTTCAGAAGTTCTTTGTCCAGGACCTTCATCCCTCTAGCAGCTGTAGGTGGCATTAATATATCTTCCATTTTACTGAGTTCGACGACCATGCAAAATGTTTTATGAATCATGAACTGGAACCGGATGTGTTTCAAGTAACGCAAAACCGCCATCCAGCTGTGGATACATAATTGACACATATCACTTAAGGAGCATTCACTGCACATAACTTTGAATATAGTTTCACTTACACTTCATCAAAAGACGTTATAAAAAATTATTTACCCGGCGAGTTTAACAATCGATAATATTTTATTGTGAACAATTATGGTTAAATGCATGGGTTAATTGAACAAAGCTGGTGGTTTTGCCATGGAGTGTCAAATTTGAAACTCTCAAAAGAAAATGAAAAGCTCAATCCATTAAAATTTCTCCCTCGGAGGGATAGGCCGATTGGTGCAACATTCGTTAGGGGCAATCAAGAGGGCAACTTGAGAGGTATATGACTATCAAATACTTCCATCAGTGGGTACTTACAAGCATCATGAGTACATGATTTTTTTCGCAAAATTTTAGCTTTGACCTACTGAATTTGAAGCACATTGGCGAAGCAAATGGAGGGGGGGGGATTCAAAAATATGCGAAATGACTGACCCGTGTGGATTGATTTTGCTTCACCAATCCAGCAACTGGACAGACACCTTCTAAAGGCACGACTCAAAGTCAGCAGCAAAGACAATTAAAATTTAACAACCTCTGCTTTATTCCATGTGTATGTTGACAGAAATAAAGCTAAATGATCTTTGATTCTGGCTGAAAGGATGTGGAAAAGATAGAAAATTTTGAGGAAGTTTAATTCCAGAAAAGATCAATCTTTCAGGAGCTAATTAAGTTGCTATCCCAATCTACAGTAGTCTGATAGTTTAGTTTTGGATGGTTACAGGGGTATGTAGTTCAGTTCATAGCATGGTTATGATTTAAATAAACATGATTCGATCCTCCCCTTGACTGCACAGAACTTATACGCATTCTTCCCTTATAATATAAGGGTAGAGCACAGAATACCAAGGAATCCAAAGCCAACTGAATTTCATTTAAGTATATTTCGTAAGATGTTCTTTACAACTTTTTCCTACGCACAGAAAGCTTTCAAAACCAGTCTTCCTGGGTCAATTACTAGAAAAGGGGCTGAAAAGTGAATTTTAAGGTATTTACAGATTACCTGTAAGAGATTAGGTTCTGTTGCTAAATTGAGTATCGATAAGGAGCTATTTCTTAATAAAGAATTAACATGACGATTGGAGGCATCTATCTTATCTTCTCAACTGGGGCAAGGACTGAGCTCTCCACTATCACTGATAGTACAGTTTGATAATGCATGTTACAGTGTTTAATACATGGTGAATCAGCACAAGGAAAGTTTGGTTTGAAAGTTATTGTTACTCAGGAAATCGTAGACCGTTCAGTCTTGAGTAATTCACAAAATTTAGCTGGCGCCGAATCCCTTGGTATTCCGCACAGGGTCTTTTGACACATTTCAGATGGAATCTTGAGGTTTGCGAACCACCACAGTGACAAAGGCATGAGATTTTAGTGCAGCAATTTTGATACTATTCCAGAGCACATGTGAATCAGTGCAAGGCTGAGGTAAGAGGTCATGATACTATAATTGCTATCACGGACAGCAGAGGATAGTGCAGGTAATACCTGTTTCGAATGGTAAGGAGAACATCTTACCTGCAGAATATAAACTGAGCGATCCCATCAAAATATCCAATTTCTGGCGCTGGAGACAGGAGGAAGATGATGCAAAACTCATGGGCATTAGAACTCCTGGCCACGAACGATTTGCAATGAAAATACTCGATGCCCGTGGAAGCTTAATTGAGAGTGCAAATTACAAGGTTAGTTGCACAAAATGATAAAACTTCACTTCACGAAGCTGAAGTGATGTAACAACAATTTCTTTGAAAAAAAAGTGTCCTTGTTATCACGTTTGTCCAAAAAAGCGATTGCGAAACAACATTTTTGAGGTTAGGTAAGGCGGCGGCGTGTTTTTCCAGAGCGCCACGCAGCGCCACTAGCGCCGGCGGTTGTTTTTGGTTCTATGCCATCACCCGTATAATTTTCCTGCAATTTGGACATAGGCAACTTTTCATTCTCGGACACATTTTCTCTTCACCAGGAGCTAAATGCCGATTGAAACATCTAGAGGGGTTTTTTTTTTTTTGTTCCAGCTCCTGTGTTCACTGTGTAAGATGTAAAATGTGCCCTGCATATAAAGAATCAACAATACATTGTCATTGTAAATCTTGTTACTAGTGACGAACCCATAGTATGTAGGTTCAACAAGTGCCAAAAAAGATATCCGCCGCGGTGTATATTCTCTTAAGAACAATTCAGAATTAGCGCTTTAAACTCAAATTTTAGCCGAAAATGTATACCATTTTGAAAGAGCACGAGTAATAAAAAGAGTAACGGCACAAATTAAAAAGAAAAAAGGAAACGAAAATGCAGGAAGTCAAAAAATGTGTAGGAATCTCCATTTCGGCGTCCTAAAAATAACCAATTTTTTTTCTTTTTTTTTTAATTTATATGGGAAAAAAACGGATCAAATGTCTCCTTGAAGTCTCTTTGAATACAAATATTTGAAGTTGATTTGGCAGTTAGGTTTTCAAAATTAAAAAATCTAAGATGGTGGTTTTACTATCTCGACTCCTGTTCGATCGATTTTTTCGAAATTTCCATAAAACACGCTCTCACTTCAAATGTTGATTATGCGACTTTATTGAAAAAATTGTTAAAGCAGAGGGTATTCCTAACGAGAAATTCGAATTTGGAATCAAATGCTCAAAATTCGAACATCCAAGATAGCGAATGTGGCTTAAAATACCATATAGATTCCTGTTTGTACAAAGTGTCACCAGAGGGCACTTTTTGATGAAAAGAAAAAAATGGTTAAAATTATCAACGTGTGCGCTCCTCCATGCTGATCATACAATTATTACAGTAAGGGAAATTTTGAGAATCGAATTTATGGGGGATCTCTTGGGCGAATTTTTCATTCTCTAGAAACGGAGGGAAAGGATTTGAAAACTGTCTGTAATTTTTCTCTCTAATTTTTTAATTCCCTAAATTTATAGTGAATACAAGACGAGAGCCCACTTAATTTAAAAATAGGATTTAGAATTGAAATAATACTTCTAAAAAATAATGTTCCAGTTTTTAATATGTTGGTATACATGCAATCGGCAACAGTGCGTACTTTCATGGAAATCTAACCTCATAAAGTATTTGGCTCCATTCATTGCATCGAAGCTTTTTTGTTGTTGAATTTAATTACCATCACGATGATAAATTAACAAGTATGTTCTCAATTTTTTATTCACTAATCATTCCATAGCCTCTAAATAATTTTTTAAATCTTAAATCGTCCTAGAACCCGTATAAATAGGAAATTGAAGCACTGTTATAGGTTACATCTACCTCACCTAAAACATAGCGCCCTCACATACTATAATGCCTTCAAGACTATTTTGTACGGCTACGGGGCATCGGTCCAGAGAAAAGGTAAAATGTACAATTCCTATAATAATTCGTTTTTATTGTTTCCAAACGCCGCCATGTATAAATCGATAAAATCGATGCCGTCTTTGATTTTGCGGGATGTTAAGTTGGGTTCACTGACGAGTGTGATTTACTGATGAGGTCTACAAAGACCCTAAACGTTATAGATCTCTCGGCGTGACCTCCACTTAATATTCCAAAGCAAGCTGCCTGGGCAGAACACTCTCCCTCCTCAGTCTTGTCCTGGTACTCATTAAAGCTCAAATTTGTTTTTGACTCTAATTGAAATTTTTGGAACTTTTTGGCTCTGTTTTCCCCGCGAAATGGTGTGGACCCAGCACCATTTCACCACCTTTTTATCTATTAGGTACCTACCTCCTTTGTCCATCCCAACGACCCGCTTCCACCAATACTGCCGGGTTAAGGAAGAACGCCGTACAAACATTCGAGAGTTGCCAAACTTTCCTTGATATAACATGTATTTTTGACAACATTCATGCATATTTTTCCTTAAAATTTCCAGATGTTTTAGATTAAATTGCGTAAAAAATCGCCTGAAAATTTTGGAAAATATCATTCACAGTTTTCCCGGTAAATTCGGTTTTTATTGAGAAAACTTGGCAATGTCTGAAGGCCCATATGACGTTCTTCCGTAGCACGGCAAAATAGGATCCTTCCATATCCCTTTTGTCCTCTTTGTCTACCGATTTCAATAATCGGCCCGCGGAGCTTATTTTTCAGGGAGCTTTTTATCCGCAGGTGGGCGAGCGAAATGGCGGCTTGGAATGACGCTGACAACGGCGGGAGCCGAGCGGGGCCGGAAGAGACCGGGCGCCTGGCCCGGAGCTTGCGAGCACCCGGCCCACCTCTGCCTCGTCTGCGCCACCTCGGAGGACGGTTCTGACCGGGGCTGGGACCCGGAGCTGGAGCCGGCGCGCCCCTCCCAGGAGCGCATGCTTGGCGAGCACAACTACGAGGCCGCCACTGATGTGGACAACAACCTCACATGGGGCTTCACCCAGCCGCCCTCCTCGCACTTGCGGCAGCTCTCCCAGATTCAGCAAAGTATCCAGGGAACCCGAGACTCCGGCTGGAACTACGCTAACCCCTTGGGTCGATACGTCGAGCTCTGCGCCGAAGACACCTCGCGTTGCTCCACCGACGTCCAGGATGTAAGTTCTATGTGTCGTCACCTTCCAGGCAAAGTATCACAAGCGCCATGCGACGTTTGAAAATTTCCGCCGCTATTTTATTTCTTTACTGAGAAATTGTTGGTTGAATCTGTTTGGAAATTTCACTAAATTTTATCGGCAGCACAAAGAAAATTCAGTGAAATTTTCGGACAGCTTCGTTGAACAATTTCTCTGTAAAAAAATAAAATGGCGGCGGAAATTTTTAAACGTCGCATGGCGCTTGTGATACTTTGCCTGGAAGGTGACGATGTATGTATGTATGAGTCGCTTGTACGGCGCGCTAGGGCGATCTGCGACGCCCGCCCGCCACAGGTATCTGTAATGGTACAGATCCTCCGGGAGCTGGCATCTCTCTGTCGCAGGCAAATAGTCAAATCAGGCATTTTATCAAATGCCTTGGCAGACAGTCTTTTCAGAGGTTACGAGGTTTCTTATGTTTTCACAGAGACCCCTCGAATTTCCGATACCTTAAGAGTAAGAATCCATAAAAATACAGACTGTTATTGCATTTCTCGTTCCAAAACGATCCTCATATTTCTTCAATCGTCCGAATTGTAAAAACTATTTATTTTATGAAATGCTGTATATCTTGAGAAAATTGTGCATTTCGAGACAAGAAAAAACTTATTTTTCATTGTATGAATCACATTCCTACGGAGAATTCCTTCTCACATAATCAGAGAATTATTTTGTCTACAGTTAGCAAAACAATCAGCATTTCAGTTTGAGTAAGAATATTTGTCTATTTGCCTAGGCATTTAACCAAAAGCCTGATTTGGCCATTTGCCTGCGACATCTCCATCTCCTCACGGATGCCCTCTACCCACTATTTTGCTGATACGCCCTCTTCGTCGCCTACCTGGAGGGACCCACTCCAACACCTTCTTCGGCAACCTGGTATCAGCCATCGTCTGCACTTGCCCATACCATACCAATTGCTTGGTCATGATATCGTGCACTATTGTCCCTGCAACGCCCTCAAAGTTCTCATTGTCCATGGAGAAAAAAAGGAGGTGGTCCAACGATATACACGGTGATTCAGGGCTAGACGGCCAGCCTGCAGGAGCCGCAACTCCCCCAAACCCGCCCTCTTTAAATTGAGATTTCGATTTTTTTTTGATCATTTATGAATTCAGGGCGTATAAGTACAGGGGAGTAGGGGAGAACACATTTTCATGAGATTTTGTTGGAAAAATGGACCATAGCGTCCGTTTTCATTTGCTTGATTCAAATCAATATATAGTGTCAAACACTCTAAGTAGAATGACTTTTTTCCATAAAATACATAATCTCCAAGAAAATCGATGACAAAAAGCGTATCATAACCTATACCTACGCATCGAATAAATCAAAATTTTGTGAAATTTATGAAGAATTTGAGTCAAAAAATTATTCAATCATGTAATTAAAAATAGCATACCTCTATTTTGAATATAATTATTTGTGTAAAGATCCCTGTATTTGTCAACCCCGTTGATCCCCTGTCAACTTTTTTCTTCAATCTTTGATTATTAAATATGTATATGTTTTTTCTTGAGCAATGTAGGTGCTTGAAAAGTACTTTACCGTAACGAGTGTCACAAATAACTTACCAACTCAGAAAAAGGTAACGGCACGTCGTATAGCCAAAGAACCCATCAAAATTGAGGAGAAAATTTTTAAAACTGCAAAAGTTGGCAGTGGCCAGAAGGAGGGCTTCAGCCATGGTGAAAATACACTGAAACCTGAGAAAAAAGTTTCTCTGCTCGGAATCCATCTCCTCCGCGACAAGAAAATGTTCCTTCTCCAAACGTCAAATTCTATCCGAAAAACGGCCACGGAAAGGTACCAGAATATCTCCAAGGCTTTCAGGTTGGTTTGAATTGCATTATTAATGAACCGATGATGCAGAATTTCTATGATGAAAGTAGGTAGAAGCATCTATACTGTGCCTCTAGGCGGGAAAGGGGGAGGAGGAGAAGTGGATTTGTGTGGGAGCAGGCTGGCCCCCTCCCCTCCCCGGCCCATTACTTCTGTCCATGAAACAATCGTATGCTCTAAAAGTGCTTTTAGGTGCTTTAGAAAAAAAAAATAAAAAAAATACTGCTTTGTATGCACACGATTTTTACATAGAGTACATAGAGTCGTAATGTAAGTGGGAGAGCTGGCGCCATGTTCTGCTCGACGAGTTCCGAGCCCGGTGTGCAGGGTCACCTTTTCGATACATATTCGATCCAAAATGGTGGTGTGGAATATGGCCGGGTCCCCGTGTATCGCAAACAATCGGTTATGTATCGAAAAAGGGATCCAGCGCCGCACAGGAATCTCGGAATTTAAGACCTGGAAAATGCCTGTAAGTGGCGCCAGCTCTCCCACTTGCATTACGACTCTATGTACTCCATGGATTTTTAGGGCGAAACAAGAAACTATGAAACTATTAGATTCGGAGAGGTACTGCATGAGGAAAATTAAACTTAAATACTGATTTTCCAGGAATCATGGGTAGACAACAAGAACTCTTTTAGAAAATACTTTAAATTTATTCCTCTTTTCTTTATTTTGCAGGCTGCCCGGGAAAATGGCGTCAAATCTAAGGTTCGGCAATAGTTGCAAACGGATGTCGTTCTTTCCGAATGAGGAGCGTCGGGCGGACACGATCGGGCGGAGAAATAACTATGTCGTATCTCAAGGCATCCCTCGGATGAGTCAGCTCGTCCTCGCCAGAGTATGTGAAGCCCCGGATCAGTGAACAGCATATGAGTAAAACGACCGAACTTTTCATCCAAAACCTTCACTAGTTCTTCAAAAGTTTCACTGCGCACAACGAAATCATCCAAAAAATTGACCGTGTTTTTAAATAGCAGATCTTAGAGTTGACCCAGGGCGAGCTACCTCCGTCCACACATCGCACTCTCAAAAGACGGTGCCCCAAGACAAAAAAGAGAAGCGAATGAGAAAGACCAAAAAACTACACTCAGTTCCAAATTTTTTAGGTAGACAATCATGGCTCATGGCCCTCACAAACAGCAACAATGATAGGATACCTATACATAACATCCCTTAGAGTTGACCCCAACAGAGTTAGAGCGAGCTACCTCCGTCCACACATCGCAGTCTCAAAAGACGGTGCCCCAAGACAGAAAAGAGAAGCGAATGAGGAAGACCAAAAAACTACACTCAGCTCCAAATTTTATAGCTAGAAAATCATGGCTTATGGCCCTCACATAACGGCAACAATGATAGGATACCTATACATAACATCCCTTAGGGCATATCACAGGGGCAAAACTTAGCCTTCTTACTTAGGGGGCCACTAGAAAAACAAGATAATGCAAACTGGGTGCAATTGGCTCACGGTGACCTCAAGGTGGTCATGTGTGCGGTTCGGGGGACCAATAGCACCTTATTTCCAGAATCTTATTTCTCCTCCTCTTTTTAACTAAATTTTTGATTTGTTTTATAATTTGGTTTCCCTCTTGTCAGTACACTTTTATTGACACACGTACACATTGTCCTTATAATTATTAACCTTACAGCCTCTGATTAAAGTGTATAATAAAAGGTATACTTGTTTTTTTTTTTTTCCTTTGGATTTTTTTGTTTCATTTTCAGAAGTAAGTTAAATGGAAAGAACATTTGAATTACGATTTTTCAAAGATTTCTCACGCCTAGTGTAATGGTGCAGGATGTAGTTAATGGTCCCCTGAAAATTGGCAAGGGAAAATTCGTTCATAGTCCCAAGTATAGAACGGATTCCAATAAGTAGCAATTACATAGTTGAAATACTACAATGCCACTGAATGTTGTGTATGTTGCCTGACTCCTGTTTGAAGGGGCCCCATTTATTGACACTTAAAATTGAAATAAGTTGCGATTTTCCATTGCATTGTATATTACCAATCTCTCTGACACATGCAGTTTATTTTGCTGATTGTTTAAAATTGGCATAAATCGAATATGATGTAAAAAGATTGCACTTTAACGGTAAAAAATTACAATTTTATTGAAATCAAATTGCAATTTAATTTCAATATTTTCGTTGCACTGTGCTACTTGGGGTTTAGTCAGTTTAGTGATCAATTTTGACAGAATAATCATACAAATTTGCGGTTTCTGTGAAGAATTTTAAATTTGACTCCACTCAAAGGCGCGTTTCTCTGTGTGGTTTAACCCTGCGACCTCTTATAGAAACACGATGCTTAGAGACGATCTGGGGCACATCCCAGAAGACAAAACCCGTACAGAGCCTATCCTTAAACTCGAGGATTGATACAGGTGCCCGTGGCTCGAGTGATCGGTACACTCGGAGAACGACCGGGCACAATCGAAATCCATGTTTGCTCAAAGTTTGACGATTCACCAGGACCAGGCATCTCCCATGACGAAAGCGCGCCGTAGGAGGACCTAGTATAGGTTACAGTAACAAATAGACCGCATTCCGAGGGCACTTCTCGTCGCTCCTTTGACGTAAAGACGTATCGCTATTTCCCGATGAGCCCCGAAAAGCATACAGTTCTGCGAAGAGCAGGGCTCACGTAGAAATCGAGGTGTGCTTTTACGTCAGAAGAGTGACGTATCTCTCCGGCTCGGCTACGGCTGCTCAACCCTTTGCCCCCCACCTCCCTTCGCCCCTGACGTGCCTACTGACAATCAGTCTCAATGACAGAACAAACACCGTGCGGCCCTACTTGACCAACCGCCCGCCTCAATATTTGACCGGATCCACGGCTGTCAGATTCCTGCGAAATTATTCATACACCCATAGACTGACTGACGCCGGATTCCATCACCTCTGCGGGCCGATTATTGAAATTGATGCACACAGCTGTAGACAAAGATGACAAAAGGGATATGGAGGGATCCTATTGGTGGAAGCGAGTGGTTGCGATAGACAAAGAACGTAGGTGATAGACTAACTAACGACAATCCACTAGAGGCCCGACAGTTGGTGCATCATTTTCTACTTAGTCTGTAGGAACCATACATTTCAACCAATAGGTTAGCTCCATACTCCCTATGTCCTTTTTGTCTATCGCTGTGTCTATAAATTTCAATAATCAGTCCATTTCAAATTTTGTCAAAGCGAAACTTTCAACGGTTTTTTGGAGATTTGAAGGATTGTACATTACATTTCAATGGCTGAAGTACGAAACCACGTACCTTCATTTGCAACTTTGCTGACTTTCTGTCCAGGCTCGGACTGGCCATAGGGCCAATCTGCCATTGGCAGATACGCCCCCTTTCCGCGCCGAAAACGCGCCCCTCTAACAGATAGCAAAATAAGAAGAAAAAATTACGACCGAGAATATGTGAGAAAAATGTATTAAATGAACGGAAGAGGAGAGAGTTAGGAGTAAAGAAAGGTGCTTTAACGCATGATAGTGGTGAACAGAGGTCCAAGAACTACTTTCTGAATCGTAAACAATTTTCTGTGAAATTTTCACCTTCTTCTTGACATACAGGTGCTTTATCATACCCCTCCTTCATTCGCCATGTGTAACTCCCTTAGAAGCGATGGTCGGTTCGATTTTTAGACATACGCATCATTTATGGACCTCTTAAGAGACCTTTAAACATATTTCCTCCTTTTCAAATGACTGTTGATTTGGACATATCATAGCATATCTCGGGCAAACTTAACCTTAATTTATCTCGAAATTCAAAAGTAAGAGACATCTAAAATGTAAACGCGATACAACTATTCGCGCAAGATGGATGTCCACATTGCATATGAAAAATGTAAGACGCGATGCCGTGAGTCGTGAACTCGCAATGCTCTGCTCTAGTTTGAAGCAACATTACAAATAAGACAAACGCAAACAAACACAATATGGTAATAAAGCGAGGGAAAGGATGCGCGTTAACGACGGCGCAGAGATACAACTATTCGTACTTGATGGATGTCCGTGCTGCATCTGAAAAATTGAAGGCGCGATGACGCGAACCGTGAGCTCTCAATGCTATTTATGCTGTCAATGAAGCGTCGCTCTGATTCGGAAGAAAAGTTAAAAGAAGGCCTGAAGACGTCTCTCCTACCTTCGGCTGTATCACTCACGTAGTGCTTGAAGCGCCATTACGAATAAGACAAACGGAAACAAACACAATATGGAAAAAGAGGGAGGGAAAGGATGCGTGTTTACGACGGCGCAGAGATACAACTATTCGTACTTGATGGACGTCCATGCTGCATCTGAAAAATTGAAGGCGCGATGACGCAAAGCGTGAGCTCTCAATGCTGTGCTTCACGTTCAATTTTGCAATTTTTACTCCGTGCGATCAATAAACTTTGAACCTGAAAATAGCGTAAACTTGTGCTGCTTTGCCAAAATTTTCTGAGCTCCTCTCCACGTAGGGAATGCCCTACCAGGAAATATCACATTACGCCCCTTTAACTAGCCAAGGGTCTACGCCCTCAGATGCGAGCCAGTCCGACCCTGTTTCTGTCACACTTCATTTTTGCTTTGGGAAATTGGTCAACGTACTCTTGAAAACTTCCTTCATTTTCCTTGACTGTTTGAAGAGCATTCTTTATAAATTTCAAGCTGTAAATTTGGTTCCCTTCGAAAAAATAAAATAGGAGCGAAGATTTTGAAACTCCTCAAAGAGATACGTGGTCTCGCACTTTGATACTCGATTTTGTGGTCCGGATGACGTTTTCGGTCCTGAACGTTTTCGGATATTTTGGAACTAAAAATCGTAACCTCCAGTTAAACTCAACACGCACTCAGAGTACTTGCTGAATTTAACCCGGGGATAAATTTATAATGAAAGGTGACAGAATTAGTTCTTAGTGGCCACCCATTGTCCGGACTCCGGTTCTGGTCCCGAATCTCCTGAAACAATCTGAGTGCTATGGTTCCGGATTCCGGTTTGGTCAGCACCTTTGAAGGTTAAGTCATTCTTCAAACATCGCAGTTCGATGGCTTCAGAGTGGAAAGACGCAAAGCCGCGTCGTATTTAAGCTAGGGTTATAGAATGCGTCTAAATGTTTCATACAATCGTGATTTTTCGTTTTAAATGAGTCTCACCATATTTGTCAATGAAAAATCAAAATAAACTAACCCAATAAGTGCTACGAAGGATTTTGAATTGAGGTTGCATTCTATTGTCCTGGTTCGAAAGTTAATACGTCGAATATTGTAAGAATGACGTAGCCACTAAACAAAACTTGTCTTCACCTCGAGGTGGATTCCCTTTTTCTGCGCAATTCATTCTTACTACAATGGAAATATTCATGGTTAGGGTCGAAAAATGTGTATGTCTTTTTCTCGTGTTGTCTTGTTTTGATTGGGTTTTTATAATGCAACTATTCGGCCTTTGAGGCTACGCAGGGAAGTATCATTTCACAATGAAGGCGTTTTCTTATGTGTCTTCACACTTCATAAAATAATTATCTTAAGCAACCGCATTACTCGCTAATATACACCGTTGATTGGGTTTTTGAATGATGCAACTATTCGACCTCTGAAGCCACGCTAGGAAGTATCTTTTCATTCTGAAGGCGTTTCTTATGCGCTCATTCCTCACCATAGGAATTATACGAGTCAACCGTCTTTTTCGCTAGTATACATTCTGCTACACGTTTTAATGGATTTTAAAAGATCTTCGGCGTCTGAGGCCATGTTAAAAATTATTTTCCACAATGTAGGAGTTCCTAATGCGTTGTGATTGTTCATAAAAAAATTATCTCAAGCAACCGCATTACTCGCTTTATACATGCTGCTACACTGTTTATTGGGTTTTGAAATGATGCATGTACCCTCTCGAAATTCTCCAAAATTTGTCCTTTTTCCGATGGACAGTTACACATATTTGTGAATAACCAATATTTTTCTGCCATCGACCGGCAACAGTGTTCATTTAGGGCAGTAGATCTCACTTTTTGGTTCTGTGTTCTGACGTCGCTGGCCGAGAGGAATTTTTTGATTCAGCTGCTTCCCAGTTTACTGTAACAGCTACCGACCAATATTTGAATAGGTTTTGAGTGTTTCACGCGTTCCTTTACCATGCAGAGCGCGGCTCTAGCCAGCTCCTGGTCAAATTTTGATGCGTTCGGTGGTGTTTGGGTGTGAGCTTGTTTGCTGATTTTTCAGAAACAGCAACCGTTTTGCGAGGCGTTGACTGCGACCTTTGTCGGATGACCCTTGTCATTCCAATTTGAAATATCAGCGCGGGTGTTGATTTTTCTGTCTTGAAAACCTCTTGAAAGGTCTATTGCAAACTTCAGCGATAGCGCAAAAAAGAGTTGCCTTCAATGCTCTCGCTAGGGTGGAGCAATTGGAGCGACGGAACCATAGGCCTCGCATGGAGGAAGGCACCAAAATAGGAATAAGAATGAAGAGAGGAAGGATGAAAAAGAATATCAAATGCCAGAAAAAGGAAGATAGAAAAAAATGAAAAGAAAGAAAAGAAAGAAAAGAAAGAAAAGAAAGAAAAGAAAGAAAAGAAAGAAAAGAAAGAAAAGAAAGAAAAGAAAGAAAAGAAAGAAAAGAAAGAAAAGAAAGAAAAGAGAGAAAAGAAAAAAGAGGGAAGGGGAAAAGGATAAAAAACGAGAAGATTAAAAGA